TCCTTCTTTACACCATACTTATCCAATCTTACCTGTTGGCCATTAATGAAATCCATATACTTCTTATACATTATCTAAACAACCATCTCTTATCATATAAACAGATCCTCCATATTCTTCTTCTGCAGGTTAAAATAACAATCTAACTGTTTTATTTTTAGGTATTGTGCCTTTATTATGTTATGACCATCATGTCCACACATATGTGCACATCCATTTGTACTTCTATATTTTAAATGTTCATTAGCTTCATTTAATACTAAAGCATCAATATCTGCTCTAAATGCAATTAATCTATCTTCTCCAACCTTTTCTGCATTACCATTGAGATCAACTATTAATCCTGTATCTCCACATACTTTAATTACATCTTCCTGAATATTTAATGCAAGCAAGAATTCTTTAATTCTTTTTTGAGTTTAGAATTCTTTTAAAGATGCTTCGGGATTCTAATGCATATTATGTCGAAATTCAATAAGTTTCTATAGATCTAAGTATTTTTTCATAATTAATTTTATAAAATAAAGTGTGTCTATGTTTATGTTGATTATCGTGGAGATTCGTAATAAATTATTTGTATTGGTTTGGGAATATGAATATTATAATATAAATGAGCTTTTAAGTGATTAGATTTAGTAGTTTGATAAATTTTGTTGATTGATAATAGATGTAGTTTAGGATAGATTAAAGATTAAGAAAATAAAAAATATGACCATAGAGATTGAAAAGTAAAGAAAAAGAGAAAGAGTTAAAATAAATAAAAGAATAAAAGTAGTGAAATATTATATAAGAGATTATTATAAATAAATGATATATGAAATGAGACATGAGAGAAAAAAGAGCGATAATAGTAATGAAATAAAGATAAAATAGAGAAAGAGTGAAGAAGTTTAGGTGATTAACTAGATTAATTAATCAGATAGATTGAATTCAGATTATTCTTAATTGAAGCAATCAATAAACATTTCAGATAGGTGTAGTTATTTTGGGATGGAGAATCGTTTGTTAGGATAAGATAGTATATCAGATAGAGTACAATTTTAGAATAGAGAGTCTTAAGAGGGAATTCAAAATAATTTAGAGGATGAACAACCAATTCCTCTGATATAGTTAATTGAACATGAGATTAGGGATCGTTGTAAAGTGGATATAGTGAAACAATTAAATTGTTAGGGTGATTAAAATGAATTTTAAAGAAAACCAGAAATTGAAATAATTGAATATGATGTAGATTAAGACATAATCCGTAAACATACAAAACATTCCAGAAGAGATTACAAAATTGATCCATACTACATAAAGTTAATAGATTTACATGGATACCAAAGAATTAAACATGAATTGGAAGTAGTCCTCTTTATTTACATATATATAGCATTACAATGATACATATCCTTTGCTTCAATTGAGAAAGACAATAGTATACTTATCATTTTTGATTCCGATATTGGCTAAGACAATCGTAAATTCAATATGGTTTCAATTATTGATGACAATTCTTATTCTTTTTAATATTGTTATATACATAATAGTAAAGACAGAACATAGAGAAGATACAGGTTAAATAGAATAAATTATAACAATTCTCTTTTTTACAGAAATAGGATTAAGAATTACATCTTAAGGATTTTTATTTTCAAAAAATGCTTACTTTGTAAATTTTTCAAATGTTTTTGATTTTTCAATAGTGCTTTTATCAGCACTTAATTTATATCGTCCTGATTTAGTAATAATTGATTTATCACCATTAAGAATAATAACTCTTCTATAATATCTTGGAGATATCTTTGATGGATTGGGAGTGATGCTTACAGCTTTAAAATAATCAATCAAATACATTTTGGAAGCTTTGGCTATTGTAGGATTATTTTCGCTTTTCTTTGCCTTGGTTGGACTTTATTTATTTTAAGGATTATTTAATTATAGATGTATATCTCTTAATCCAGATGAAGGACCTGGAGATAATTGGATTTAATGTAATGTAGATTAATGTCCAGATTAAATGATTTGCTCATTTGTACCATATACTGTTAAGGTTCCTACATCTTTTAATAATATTATATATTCATATGGATAAATATTAAGAACAATTACTATGGATGATTGGAGTTGGGTTATGTTTTACACTATAAGAATATTTAGTCCTTGGGTTTGGATTTATTATCTATTAATCATATTTGTTGGAGGATTCTTTGGTTTTAATTTAGTGATTGCTGTTCTTAAAACACACTATGCTGAAGCTGCTGAAGAATTCTCACATTAATAAGAATAATTAGAAATTAATCAATAACTTTTAGAATCATAATAATCTAATCAAACTTAAATTAGAGATACTTCCAATATTTTTGATGTTGCTCTATTAAAAGACATAGGATTTCATAAAACATTTTAATAATATTACAATTTACTTAGTACTAATAAATAAGTTTCTTCGTATAAATTAGAAGATTTCCAAAACAAAAATTCAACTCAACCACGTCTACTCTCTGCCAAACAAAAAAATAATAATGATATCGATGTAAATTCATCTTATTTATTTCTTTTAGATGAATCTCATCCAATCTATCATTTTGTTCTTAAGAGGACTTACTCTCAAAAATATACTCCTTACCAAGTTCTCCAAGCTTACCAAGTAATAATAACTTATCAATCCTAAAAATTATACTGACGATGAAGATTATCTCAAAATCTTAGAAGATCTAATGAAATTCGATTTCGCCTAACTCTCTAAATAACTCAATCCTAATCAATATTAATAATTCTCAAGTCTTGAAGATGTTATGCCAACCTTTGAGTATTTATTATTTTTATTTATTTAGAAATTTACTTAATGTCAAAAAACACTTCGACCATAAGTAAATTGATTTCACAAAATATAACTTCTCATTTCAATATACAATACCCTTAACAAATTCATTCCATGGTCAAATCTTTAAATCTAATATAATATCCAATAGTTTTAAATATCCTATCAAAAAATCATTTCGAGCTTAAAAACATATCATTTAAGAAATTTGTTCTCAAGATTCAGCTACCTCCAGAAAACCATGTATTAGAATGGAAAAAAAAAAATATAAAGGCATTAATAAATAAAAAGTTAAATCTAAAAATACTTTTTAATTTGTTAAAAAAAAAGGAGATGTTATTATCTCTTTATTTATATAAGGATAATATTAAAATTATGAAGAAATCTTATTCAAATTAAAATAAAAAATTTAAAAGGAAAAAGTTAAATAATAATTTCTAGAATAAGAATATTAAAATATTAGAATAAAAGATATGAAAAATAAATTAATTTCTGATCTAAATTGGTCAGGAAACGATGTTATTGAAACAAAATATTCAAATACTAATTTCAGAAGTATATTAATTTCAATGAATAAAGTTGATTTTGTAATATGGGTTAGGGGAATATTTGGAAAGATTTTGATTTTGAGAAAGTATGTAAGTAGAATAATTTCTAGTAAAATAACTGAAATAGCATTAGATCTACTAATTTTTATCAACTTTACATTTTTATCACTATAGGGAATAGTTGATTCTTAAATAATTTCTTAAGTTGAAGATATTACTACAATTATATTGTCAATAGAAACATTTATAAGATATTGCAGTTTTTCATTAAAAGAATTATCAAATAGTAATGAAAGCATTTTATAAACAATGATAGTGATATTAAATTTGATAGAATTCACAATGAGTGATTATATGCATTATTTAAGTGAATAAAACTTAAGATTGATAAGGGGAACAAAATGTATTTTATTTTATAGATGTCTAAAATACAATAGCATGGCAGTAACTATAGGTCATATAGCATCAACAACATTTAAACAATATATTTATTTAACATTTTTAATGTTTATAGTAATATTTTTATACGCTTTAGTTGGAATGGAAGTTTATGCTGGTAGATTCGATTAGAATGATGTATTAGGATAGTTACATTCTTATGATAATGTATTAAAATCATTTATGACTGTATTTAATATAATGACAAATGATGATTGGTATGGAGTATTTGTATTGGGAACAGACATAAATGAAACATTTGCTGTAGTATATTCTTATTCTATGGTGATTATTTTAAATTATCTAACTTATGGATTAGTATTAGCTATACTTTTGGATGGATTTGGTAAATATTTGGATAGACAAATATTTTCTGAAATAGAGGAGAACGAGGCTCCTAAGATATTAACTCAAAATACAGAATAACTTGAAACCTAACATACTTAATAATTTTCAGAAATGAATAATTTAAAATCCCTTCAAAATATTCAACTATAAAAAGTTAATAGTAAATAAAAGATTGCTTTGATATAACATTTAATAAATTCAATAAGATAGATTTATTAAAAGATTTAAGATGAGCATCCAGATCTTTATAATGGTATAAGTTGTGAATAATCTTTATTCTTTTTTGATAAAACAAATCATTTCAGAAAATTGTGTATGCTTTTAGCTAGATCTAGGTTCTATATTTTAATTAATGATTTATCGTTAATATCTTCAATAGTAATATTTATAATACAAACCTATAATGATTATGAGGAAGATAAAGAAACTTATCCTTTAGTTGCTTAATTTTATATTAATCTGATTTTAGCTACTGATTATGTTATAAATGTTATTGCTAAAGGATTGTTTATAGATAATGGAGCATATTTTAATTCAATTTGGTAGATTTTAGATGTTATCTATATAATTGCATTCTTTATACAATATGAAAAAGAGGATTATGTCAAACCAATATTCTAAATTCTCTTATACATTGGATATTTCAGACCTTTTAACTTATTAAATAGAATAACATTTTTAAATGTATTAAGTTCTGCACTTTATAAATCATTAGTTGATATAGTAAATGTATTATTGACTCTTTTTTCAGTTTGGATAATCTTTGGAGTTTATGGTATCATTTTATATGAAAGACAATTTGGATTTTGTGAAGATAAAATGTAATTTGGTATTACTTATTAAGAATGTATAGAATAAAATAGAACATGGGTTAATTTTAAACATAATTTTGATAATATTACTATGGCCATACCTACATTATTTACTGTTTCTACATTTGATGGATGGGGTGAAATGTTATAAATTGCTGAAAATAGTGATTACTAAAATGTTGGACCTGTTTCATTTAATGGTTATATACATACTTATGTATTTTTTATTTCTTTTTGTTTTGTTGGTTCAATGTTTTTTTTAAGTTTATTTACAGGAGTACTTTTTTCTAATTTAAAACTAAATTAAAGAAAGATTGAAAAAAAAGATTTTAATCAAAATTAAAAAGAATTTATAGAAATATCTGATATTATAACAAAAGATATTCCTGTATTTTCTACACCACCAGACAATATTATTAGAAGATTTGCTTCAATCATTATGAATGATAATATTATGCAAACAATCTTCTTTATTATTTTACTTCTCGATGTAGTTAATAATATTTTGTTTCATTCAGATATGAGTACTGATTATTTAATTATAATTAACTACATACATCATGGTTTCTCATTAGTAATCATCATTTGGGGTTTAATCTAGTATTTGGCTTTAGGATTGCTTAGATTTTTTGATAATTATTGGAGATAATTCCTTTTTATTTTAATTTTCTTTGCAATTGTAGATCTTGTAGCTGATTTTGAATATTCATGGGTTTAAATATACTTTAAATCTAATCCTTTAACACCTTATTTTAGATTATATAGAATTTGTTTTGTTTTGAGAAGTTTGAGACTAATTCTAATATTTTAAGGATTAATAAATATTTAGAGATTAATGAGAGTAATGGTTTATGCACTTCCATTCTTGGCAAAAATATTCTTTATATTAATAGATACAATGCTTGTTTTTGCTTTATTTGGTTGTTAATTATATGGATAATTAGATTCAGGATAAGTAATGGATGAATAAATCAATTTTCATAATATTGCTTAAGCAATGCTTACTTTATTTAAATGTGCTTCTGGAGATGATTGGAGAACCATAATGACAGATACTATGCATCATAATCCTAATTGTTCAGAAGATCCTTAATATTGTGGATCAACTTATAGTCAAATTTACTTCTTTCTTTTTATGTTATTATCAAATTATGTGTTTTTAAATTTATTTGTTTTAGGATTGATAGAATAATTTGAATCTTTTTTTTAAGTTTAGAATTCTATTATTCAAACATATGTAGAAAATGAAGATAGAATTAAAACTATATGGTGTAAGTACTCTCCTGAAACTTAAGGAAAAGCAATGCATTATAAATTTTTATGCAGATTTCTTATGGATCTAGGTTCTCCTCTTGGTAGAGGTAAAGAAGAAAATCTATGGGATGCTGCTAAATAAGCATCAGCTTTTAAATTAAAATGGTAATTTTCTTATAAATATTTTAGTGATCACAGAGGATATATTCAATATAATTAATTGATTTATGAATTATTTAGAACATGCTTTTAAGAGAATGTTTTTAAAACAGGAAGCAAAAATGGTATCAAATAAATAAAATAATATAATAAAGAAATGCAAATGAAATTTATGAATTATAGAAGAAATCTTTTTATTAAAAGATCAAATATTTGTTTAGTTGATTTGAGAACAAATTTTAACATTTTGCATGATTATTTAAATGTACTAATTGCATTCAAAGCTTGGGAATCTCATTCAAAAAAACTTATTGAAAGAGTAAACTTTAAAATTACTGAGTATACAGAAAATATAGATTCTTCAAAAGAAAAATAGGATGATGTACCGTAACATTTATTTTTCTATCTTAGTTTTCCATAATGCGAAAATTCTATTATAAATAATATCAATTAAATAAGAGGTTCCATATAAATAAGTGATACAGATAGATTCCAACCTATGATTACTGATGAAAATTAAACTAAGCATCTTCTCATTAGTTTAAGTTAAGAATCTATGTAAGCTCCAGAATTACCATGTTATAATCACTAAAAACTGTAATATTCTAAAAATCTCTTTATTTACTAGCCAAAAAGAAATTGAAAATTAATTTTGATAAGTTTAGTTTTTTGTAATTAGCTATTTTAACTCTTTTATTTATTCTCTTTTTTTATAATAATTAAATTATATCAAATTAAGAATATTTACAAATTTAATACAAAACTTGTTCTTAATGGCTTTAAAAATTTTTATTACCCACTTTAATTATCAAACCTATATTACTCTTTTTCTACTATTAAAAAACTATATTATCGATAATTATCATAAAAATAATTAATTTAACATCCTTAAGATCTTTAAGAATTATAAAATATAAACTACTTTTTATTCTTTCAAACCATCTTCATTTACGACTATTCAAACTTAACCATTTTCCTTAAATAGCTAATTTAGATTTTTCTTTGATTTCAGTAAAAAAAGTCTAAATTGATGAACTTTAATAAACTCAAAAATTTATAACATTATAAATGAGTTTAGAGTTTAAAATATTGTATAGTTTTTCTAAATTTTAAAATTATATATCAACTATTTTATTTAGAATAATATATGGTAAGATAATGAGCGAGAATCTATTGAAGAATGAATTGAGAAAGAAAATGATAATAATTTTAGGATTAAAGTTATTTAAGCCGATTTTGAAAATTGTTTCAATTGTCTTTTCTTTTAATAAACTAGATTTTAGAGTACAACATAGTTATATTATAAAATACTTTAACTATAAACATATTTTTGTGAGGTTCAAATTAAAAATTTATACAAAATAATTTTCCCAAAGATATTAAATCAAAATTCAATCATTAATTTAAACAAAAGAGATTTCAGAAGATTAAAACAAATAAATATCCTTATAAAAAAAAAGTATCCAGAAAATAAATTTAAATTTACTGTTAAATTATTTTTGTATGAATTTATATTACTCTTAAAAGTTTAAACTTAATTGAGTTTCTAATTTTAAAACTTAAAGATTAGGATAAAATTAAATTTATATTAAAAATTATAGAATTAAATAATCAAAACTTTTTTGCCTAAATTTTAATTAAAGATCTAGAATCCTATTTTTATTAGGCCTATTGATTTTATTTTGCTAATTATTTCAACATCTGTTAAATTAAAATCCCTTTCATATTACTAGAAATAGATTCTTATTTTTCACTATGTAACCTTCTAAAATGTTAGGTTTATGGAGAACTATGATTTTTTATCTTACTAAATAATTAATTAGTTTCTTTATTATTTCTATCAGTTAAGCATCCTATTTCATGAACAGAAAACTTTTTTTACAAAGCTTTACCATCAGATTTAGTTTTTTTATGTTATTTCTTTTCTAATAAATCATTTTATTATAAGACATTATTAGGTTTTTGTTGATTATATTAATTAAGTATTTTTTCTTAATTTGAATTTTACTTTAAATGGTTTGAATTTTTTTACTTTTGAGCATTTAATGCTTTAATAAATAGATTCTTTGCAATTAATCCAATTTAATGATTTTTTTGAGGTGAATTAGTAGTTTTGAGTTTTTATTTTTTTTAATAATCATCTTTTTTTAATTTTTAAATATTCTATTTTTTATAATTAAGTGAAGGACTATTTCTATTAGATTAAGAACCAAAAAATGCATTTGTACTTGATAAAGGTCTATGTGTAATAGCTCCATTTTTTAATTTTGATTATTATTCTGCTTCTTCAAGGAAAAGTTTAGTTAATAGATTATTTTTTTGATTATTTTAGAATAAAATAAGTGGTTGTTATTATTATTTTAAAGAGGTAGAGGCTATGGATATTTTATGAGAAGATAGAGTTGGAGAATTTGAATTAAGATCACCAATAAATTTATTAATTTTAAGTTAATTTTTACTAACTAAAGTTTTAGACTTAACTTTAACAATTTCTTATGGTTTGTTTTCTAATCTGGTTCCACTTTCAATAATATCAGTTGATGCTTATCTATTAGATTTTTTAGAAATATTATTAAATTAATCTTTTGCAAAATTATTCTTCATTTCAATAGAACCTATACTATATTTAGTTTCATTCTTCTTATGCATGCTATAACTTTTGTTATCTTTTTATAAAATTTTAGCCTTTTATTTTATAATGAGTTATTTAATCAATTATTCTTATGATTTTCTAGATGTTGGAGATGTTTTTTAGCTTAAGTTAACTTTATTTCCAATATATAATAAAAAATTATCTAAAGATACTTTATCTTATTTGCTTAATTTAACAATTGACAGGGATGATTAATCAGCTCTAGAACCAATTTATTTGCATAATTCATTAATTGTTTGAGAGGCTTCTTTAGGTAGAGTTTTGTCATGCTAATGTAGTTTATATACTAAAGTCTTACATTTAACCAACTTAATTCTTTTAATATTTAAATATTTTTGATATTTTGATAATCCTTTTCATCATTTTCTTAAGTTATAGATTCTTATGAATTTGCAGGAGAAGGTCTCTCACCTACAATCCCTTTAGGTGGTTTATTTGGATTTAATTTATTCTCTTCTTCAATCATTTTAGCAATCCTAAAATAATCATATTTTCTTTTCTTATCATAATATTTATTTAATATAGAACATATTGGCTCTTCAAATATTCGTGCAATATCTATATGGAACTATTTCATATCTATGATATACTTTATAATATTCCGTAAGTAACTATATTTTTTGAGGAAATTCTTTTAACTAATAAAATCTCTTAAAATATTCTTCCTATTCATATTTATTACTTTTGATACATCTTCATCAATGGCCAGTTAATCTTTAAAATTTATTACTATTCTTGTTTAGGCATCACTTAATATCTCATTAATTTCTCTTATGTAGTAATAATTTTGTGATTGCTGATATTTTTCATACAATTTATAATTCATAACTGCTATTGGTTTTCTAACTATTAAAGGTAACGATTGGCTTTTCTCCTGGAATTTAAATTTCTAATTCATATTGTTAATTAATTTTAATTATATAAATATAAAACATTGTTTTATTCAATTATGCATATTTTTATATTTTTATAGCTAATCATTATCTTTTTCATTATCCTTGCTCTTTAATTGAATAACAATTAAGCTATTAAATTTTAAATTGATCAATAATCTTACATGGATACAAGAAATAAAAAAGCAACTACTTTATCAACTTCTGATTTCTTTTTTGTTTGAATTTGCATGTATTATCAAAATTCCAATCAGGATTATAATATTTAAAGTTAGCTGGTGTTTCAAAAATAGAAATTTCATAAGATTTATCGAAAGTCTACTAATACATTAATTGTTATATTAAACTTATTTCTTTTTGAAATATAAATGAATTTAGGTTTTTGATACAATTGAATCTTAATTCAAGAATTTTATTGATTAATTCCTTTTTCATTTAATAACAATTAAGATTAATATGTAAATTCTAAAACACTTCCGAATTGTTTTATTTAATTTTTTCAACTGCAGATTTAAGTTTGTTCTTTTGATTATTTACAAGTATTTAATGTTATTTTAATATTGCTTAAAATTTATTTTATTTCTAATCTACCTTCTACTATAAATTTATATCTTATTAAATTAATTGTTATATATTATCTTCCACATCATACAATTATAATATTTCAGGATTATCATTCACAATTTATTCAGAGGCATTTTATAATTCTTTAAGAATTTATGATTTACTTGAAAAATTAACTAATTTAACTCTTCGTTTAACAGTCTGGCGATTTTATTAGGTTGGAAATACTATTCTTTTAATTATTTTTTCTTTTTCAGGTATATAATGAAGTAATGGACATTATTAAATAAAATGATTATATTTTAAACAGCTAAAACATTTAAAAGGTAATAAAGAATCTTTTTATGATGAAAATACCAAATCTTCTTTAATTTTACAATAGATTTCATAATCCTAAGGATATTCTTAAAGAAGTTTAAGGAATTGTTTTTATCCTATAACAATTAATTTAGAAAAACCTATACTTGAGTATTTTTCTTCTGATAAATTTGGATTAATAAAATTATGTAAACCAATAGAATTTCCTTAATTTATGACTCCTAATTTTTATCCATTACTTAATAGAAATTATAATTATCCTTATGTTATATAATAGAAATTAATGTCTGATGAATTATTAATAATTAATTCTTATTCAGGTTAAAGTTAAATTTGCTTAGCATGTTTAACTAGATTAGTTTTGAAATTAAGAGAAAAGCCTAATTTAAAAAGTTTACATTTTTTAAGTAGTTATGAACATGATTCAGTTATTAAAGAATCATGTAAATCTTAGGATAACTAATTAATAATCTCATCTACTTCTGATTCTTTATTAAGTTATTCATTATCCCATCGATATGTTAAATATTCTCTTACTTAAATTTATAAATCTTTACTAATCTATTATTGATTTAGATATGAATTAATAATTCTTAACTTTCTTTTTTTTTCTTCCTTATATCCAGTAATCTATTAGATAATAGTTCCAACAGTACTTACACTATATGGTAATTGAATACTAGCTACAATAATATAAGTAATAGCTAATACTTTTTCAGCTGAAGATTATGGAGTAATATCTCCATATCCTATTGTAAAAATAGTTACAGCTGAATAATAAAAAGCATATAAATATTGTATTTACCATTCTTATTCAGAAATTCCTACTTATAAAAGCCAACTCTTTTCATAATTAACTACACCATAACTACCAACTAATATCCAAATACATGAAAAAAAATGAATAGAATAGAATAACACAAATAAAAGTTTCACTAATTCTAAACAAGATTATATTTATTTATTGAAATTGAAATTTTCTTCATAATAATTAACTATTGTGATTATTGGTTTGAAATGAACCAAAAATAAAACAAGTAATAAATTACTTATTGTATCTTTTGCTCCTGTATCAGCCTTTCCAGAAAATGATAAAAATAAAAATATTATCAATAATAACACTGAAAACCATTACATTCCAAATGAATTGAATAATGAATGTTTAAGTATTTCACTTCTATTTGTAACAAGCTAACCATCCTTATAATATGCTGTATTCAAACTTATAATCAAATCTAAAATTATTATTAAAAGTGCTATTGTTGAGATTACTTTAAAATCATAAAATATAAACGATTTATCCTACCATCCAAGATCTAGAGGAATTACAAATGCAAAGTATAATCTTGTAATCACTGCTATTATATTTAATAATGTTTTATATTTAGTCTGAGGATATATTAAAGGAATTCTGTTTAAAATTTTATTTATAGACTCTTATACATTTTTAAACCATCTGTTGTTATTACTATTTACTTATACTTCTTCTCTTTCTAATTATGAACTACCTTTATCATTTATTATATCTAAATGAAATTCGTTCAATTTTTTATATTACTTTTTCTCAACTTAAATATTGTTTAAGAATTTTTGAATGTAAAGATGACGTCTTTGCGTGTCTTTTCTTTTCTTATTGGTTTAAAATTATAAAGATTGTAAAATTTAGATTTTATTATCTTATCTACTTGTTTATTTACAAGGATTTATTGGCTAAGTTTCTTTGTTAGACTAATCTTCAAAATATTTTGATTCCAAATTTTCAATTCTTGTTGTTTACATTGAAAATTAAATATTAACATCAAATTACATCTTAAATTCAATCTAAATGTTATCAATTTTATATGTAAATTAACTATCATAAGAATTAGAAATTAATATATATATATTTTATTAAATTAATTAATAATAATATAAATATAAATAACATGTCATCACATCATTAACATAGTTTACCTTAGATAAGATCATTTATGGTTGAGAGAAATGCTTACTTAATAGATTTAACACAAAGAACCATAATTAAAAAAGGCAATCAATCTGTCAAACTAAAATTACCTAGTTTGAGTTAAAGACAATCAATTATTGCTCTTAGAGATCCTCCTAAAATAAAATAAAAAAGAGACTCATTAACTGAAAATATTCGAAAAATTCTTGTATTTCTACTAAATATATTAGGATTATTAATCTCCTTAATACACTTTGAAAAGAATGTTAGAAAAAAAAGTTAAAACAGTGACATTTCATTGATAATAAATTTACATTTTCAATATTATAATATAAACAATCAAAATAACAGAACCTTTCTTTGCTTTTCATTTTTGTTCTTTTCCTTTTGTTTAAATTCACACAAAATAATCAAGTTACAAACAATACTAAAGAGAGCTGCAAATTTTAAAACAATTAAGAAATCTAATAAAATCGCATTTTTTAATTTTTCCATTATAAAATCTGCTAATAATTAAAATTCATATAATAATATTAAGCATATCAATAATAATTATCTTTTAAACTTTTAATATTTATTATTATAATTTGAAATGTATTGTTTCGAATTCAATTCCTTAAAATTGCTTTTGCAATAAAACTGATGTTCTATAGAACTAATATTATTAAAAAAATGTTTCTTATAATTTTACATATATTCAAATTATAATAAGACTTTATCTTATATATAGAGTTAAATACAGAGAGTCGTTAATTGATTTTTAGTTGGAAAATCAGATCAATTGAAATCTTTATTTTAAGATAAGAATCATAAAAAAGTATTTTTTGAAATTCCAAGATTATCCAGTAAAATATTTTTTTAATTCATAAATATATATAATATTTTTTACATCTCTTGAAAAAGACTTCAAATAATTAATAATGTTTTTAATATAATATATGAAATAAATGTAAAGGAAATATGAATTTAAAATCTTTTGATCATTCAATTAATTATTAGAGATTATTCTTGTAATTTGATATATTTATTAATCTAAAGATTGATATATATAGAATGAAAGCATTATACATAATTATTAAGTATTATTATGTAATTTATGTTAACAGCTAAAAAATTAATATAATTATGTTTTCAAATTAAAGCAAAAACACAATTGTAAATTTGATTAAAGATGTTGTGAAAGGAGAAAAAGAAGTAGAAATCTTAAAGCAAAGTTTAATTCTTCAAATAAGTGACAATAATGTAAGTTATTAAACATGCTTTTTACATGTTAATATAATTTAATTAATATTAGTTAGCTTATGAGAAAGATAGAATTACTAGAAATGACCTAGAGGTATTTTTATAAAATTAATAAATACGATTTGATGTGAGAGAAATATCACTTTTAAAATATACTACTTATTAAGAGTAAAAATAATAATTAATAATCTTATAGTTTTTTAGATTTGATGCTTCCAAATAATTAGATATTTTTGAAGCAATATTAATAAAAGCAAATGAATTATAATAATCCAAATTCAGATATACTTAATTTGATAGGAAAAGTATTGGGGAAAAACATAGAGATAATTCGAAAAATCTAAGCATATTTAGATTCATTGATATTAAGATTTGATAAGAGTTCATTATTAAATTTTTTATGTCCATAATCAGAGAAAAATACACCAGTTTTTTTATAGTTGTTAAAAAACTTAAATTTAGATATAAGTTTTGAAGATGTTATTTGTGCAATGAGAAGATTAGATAAAGATTAAGATTCAGATGTAAATAGATTTGATTGGGAAGAGATATTAAAATGTCCAAAACCACCTAAAAGTAATTAAGGTTCAATTGGAAATCTATAAAAATAAATTATCAAATAATAAAGTTCAAAATCAATTCATAGAAGTGAATCAAGATAAAAAACAGATTAAGAAAATATTAATTCAAATAGAAATGTTCATTTTTCATTGATGAAATCTTCTACTAAATCTTTAAAAAAGCAAACTAGTTTAATTGAAGAATAAATATTAGAGTTTTAATTGCATTTAATAACAATAGGAAAATTAAATGAAGAAGTAGATTAAATAAAATTAGAAGTATTTAATAATTTATATTAAGTTATTAGTTATCAAGCAGAGCAGATTATTCAATATCTTAAGCTTTTTCATTTTTTGATCTTGATGTAGATGGTTCAATAGGATTGTAAGACTTAAAACTTGGATTTTTATAATTAGGAATTGATGTTAATGATTTCATAATTAGATCATTACTACATAATTATTCAACTCATCATTCTTAAACTTAATGGGAGTAAGAAAATAGTGTTAATAATTAGTTTTACTGATTTTTAATCATTATTTCCAGAAAGTAAATAAACTTTAAATAGTTACAATGGATAATTTACTTATGAAACAAAAAAAATAATGAAAATGCTGATTTATAAATATTTGGAAATAATTAAATATAGAAAAGAATCAACATAATAATTGGCATTAGATATAAAGAATATTGATATAATATTTAATTTCATTGATTTGGATTAAGATGGCATAATAACTTAAGATGATTTTAAAGTGTTAGATTTAAAAAGTAAACATGTTTTACTATTCTTTTAATCATTTAAAGATTATCCTTACTAAATAACTTATAAATAATTTTAGAAGTATTTTATTTGAATATAATAAATTGAAATTTAATTATAGTATAAAATTTTAATCATTATTTTTATTTATAATTAGAAGTTTCTTAATTTCATTTAAACAATTTATTTGTAATTATATATACTTCTCATCAGGATTTTTAAATCTTTTAAGTTTTTTTTAATTTCTTAAGTTATTAAATCTACTATTAATAAAAAAGTTAAAGAGATTCTTGTTGAAAATACTTTTTTAGTTAATTCATTAATTATTTCATTTTATTATAGATTAATTCTGGAGATTGTATGACAAATGATTAATAAATTAATTATTTCTAAGAGATACTTTTCTTTATTTCAAAAAAGAAGGTCTTTTGATTATTTTTATTTTAATTTAAAATTTTGATTAGTATGATTATCTTAACAAATGAATTAGATTTAGTTGATAGTTTAAATAATTAATTAAATTGCATCTTAGAATATAGGTTCTAATTTTTTTAATTATAGTTTTTAAGCATTAATAAAATGATTAATTTATTTTAAGATAAGTTTATTATGTTTGAAGATTTATAATGTTTGATTTTTTTAACTTAATTACCAATAATTTTTTCAATAAAAATACAGTTCTTTTAATTAACTTACAAATTAATTTAAATATATATAGATAAATGAAATGAATTGAATTTTATAAAATTTCATGATTCATAATAATTTTGTTAAGGATTCATATAGAAATCTAACAATAATTGCCTTTATTCAATGCTATTTAAATTTTTTTGATTGATAAATTCTTTAAAATGTGTTTAATCAATTTAATCATATTCATCTTATTCTGATTCTAAAAATAGTAAATAAATATTACAAGATTATTCTATGATTAGTTATCTTCTTTATTGATATTAAGTAATGGCTGTTGTTTTATCAAATTCTAGTAAATCAATAAGTAATTATTTCATAAGCAATCTTTTATTACATACTAAAGTTCTAGGGAATAATTTTAATTTATAAATTCCATCAGGTGATTCTACATCAGATAATAAATAATTTGGATTAAATAGAAATGATTCTGCATATTCTAATAGAAACACTCCACAATCTACATAATTAACTTAACGAGGAACTAATAATTAAAAAGAAGGAATTAATCTAATTGGACAATCATTATAATTCACATCTATTTAATTAATATCACAATCCATTTTATGAAGATACCTATTTATTTATATATATATATAAATTTACATTTTAATGATTGTAATTAATTTTTAATCCATAATTCCAAAACTATCTAAATATATTATAACTGAATCTGCAAATGACTTTGTCTTTTTATGAACTATTAGCAAAGACCAATGTTCTGGTAAATTAATTGGAAATAATAAATATTCTTTTTCTGTTAAATCTTCCTTTATCCACTTCCTTATTTATTCATATGATGATTTAAATAACTCACTTAATCTAAGATTATCATTTTGACCTATCATTTATAGTTTTTCAAAACAACATAATTTCTATACAAAATATGTATTAAAAATATAAGTTTTAGTACGTAAAGTTTAATCTGTCATTTCGAATTCTATAAATTTAAGATAAAAGTTAATTATGCTATCATTCAAATAATTAGGTGGATTCAATTTTTGAATATCATGAAATTTAATTTATATAGTTTTTTTTTAATTTCCACTTATGTATTATAGAGTATATTCATAATCTTCTTTCAATTAGGCATCTAATACAAATATTTTTTCTAAAATTGTTTCATCTTAATACTTAGTAAATCTCACTTTCTATTCTTACTTTATTTAATCCCACATTTATTAATGTTTAATTTATGTTTGTCTCTTATTCTTGTCATTCAACTCAAAAGTTAAACTATATTATTGTAAATAGTACTATTTTTGATCACTATAGAATGGTGTTACTAATTATAATTAACAAATTAAATTATCAAAATTATTGAGTACTCTTTTTTAGTCAGTTATTGATATATATTTTGGTTCTTAATATTGTTTATTCTCTTCAACCTAATCATATACTTATATACTTACAAACTCTATATTATTTTATTTGATTTCTTCATCTTAACATTCATAATCAATATCATCAAAAACTTTGAAAGCACTTTTTATGCTATCCTTCATAGAGTTCAAATGCAAAATAATACTTGACTACTCACTCATTTATATTAATATATTTATTGAAATAAATATTCACTTGTTTATTTATCTAATATATTACTAAATAGATGGAATTACTTTACCTTTCCATCTTCTAATCGAATTATTACCTACAACCATATAATTTAATATAGAATATTTTAATTAATTTCAATTTTCATTATGCTACCTTGAATAGAAATTGAACCTAAGTAGTTTTTAGAATTTCAAGCTAAAGAAAACTAATTTGCACATGCGTAATTATCCCTTAAAAATTTGACTCAACAAGATGTTACATTTAAAGTATCAAATTATTTCAGATAATATTAAGATTAAATCTACAACACCAACTTTATTTCAAGTTAAACCAAGTGTTGGACTTATCAACTCTAATTAAACTTAAATTATCTAAATATCTACAAATCAACCTATATAATATGACACTAAATTAGATCCTAAATTTTAAATTAATGCTTGTTGTATTGATTCTCAAGATTTAGGTAATCTAAAAACATCTAAAATAATTAGATCTTATCTAAATTTGGAAAAAACAAAGGTTAATCTAAAATTTAATCATAATAAATTAAAAGCAGAATCAAATAAAATATTTAACAAGATGTCTAATCTCATTTACAATTTCATGATTCTAAATTATGGAATCAATCTAAAATTTTTACTTCATTTATTAAACCAAAAACAGAAAAGGATGATTAAATCAAATATTATTAAGATTAATATGAAAATCTTGTAATTATTTATATTATCTAATCATATAGTAACAAGAATATTAAGAATTAAAAAAAAAATAGAATTACAAACTTAATAAGAATAATTTAAAAAATGTAATTAAAATTTTCTTTAATCATAGAAAATAACAATTTGAATCTCTTTTAATTATCCTTTGCAGTTTCGATAGCTTTAATTGTAGGTTATTTGATAAGAAAATGATTCAATTATTCATATTAATCAATATTAATTTTATACAATTTACTAAAATTCTATTTAAAATAGAAAAGATATATTATACATTATAAGATAATAAAATCAAACAAGAAAGTTAATTTAATTCAATAAATCAATAATAAAATATAATAATGTCATATTAGTAATTTTAAATCATAAAAAAACTTTCATAGGTTAACATTACTATAACATTGAAGGTTCTCTTTAAAATTCTTCTAAAAAACTGTATTTTTTATGTATTCTATTTTAATTACTTGTAATATTATCACCAATTCTAGGTAATTTCTAAAATTCACTAAGTTAATTTGAATAAATTATTTCATTTTATTTATTTTCTAAAAGTGGATTTTAGGGTGTTTATTACATAGAAAATGACTTTACTCTTGTTTCTTATTTTTAATTTTATAATCTAGAATCTATAATTGGTTTTAAATAGAGAATTTCATTATTCATAGCTCTTTAAGAATCTCTTTCTAATCTTAATTTTTATGCTTTCTCCATATTCTTAACGACTTTACTTTATAATGACCCTGGCATAGCTCCATCAATATCATTTGTAGTTAATAGTCTATCACCTTATATATTTCATCATTTTATTAAACAAATACTTAGGTTAATCATAAAAATTTTCTAAGGCTCTCAATTATTTTATCTCTCCTTCCTATAAATTGTAATGTTTTTTTTAAGATCCATCAAAATAATTTTCTCCCTAAGGAACAAAACTATTGCAAAAATGATGAAAATCATGTTGATATCTTCGTCTTCCATACTATTGATCTTATTAACCAGCATTTAATCTAAAAATAATTATTATCAATGTATATTACAATAATTTTAATTATCTATTTTATTTTATATCTAAACTATTTAATTATATTGATTTCTTTTTAGGTTAAGCTCCTGGAATATCTATTGTTAATAAGGATCTGTCAAATTAATAAAAATTATTCATTTTATTATATTTATATATAAATATAAGTCATGAAATTAACCGAGTAATTTATTTAATCAAACTCTAATACCAATTCTATTGAAATTGAATATTGTAACCAAAAGACTTAAATTTAATGAAAAAAAAGCATATATCCTATAACAAATGCAAGATATATGACAAAACCATAGAATTATCAATAAATTTAGAAAATAAATGAAAATATTGAAGATCTTATTAAATAATCAAGATTATCAGAAGATTAAAATTTAATGAAAAAAAGGTATATTAGATATAATAATTTAATTAATAAAAAATTAATTAAATTAAATTATTGAAGAAGCCTAAGTTGAATTTAATAATGATTATAGACTACCTGAAAACATTAAAAATCAAATTAATTAAATTGTATATATAAGAAATAATATATTTACATATTAAGAGTTGTTTATTGTCAACTAGAAAGTTAAAGAACAAAAGATTTTTTAATGAAAATAGAATAATTTTCCAAAAAATAATCTTTATAAAGCTTACTCTTTAATTGTTAGAAAATTAATAACTGATAATTCTGTTTTTATTTCAACTACTTACTAAAACTATGTGATTGGTAAATCAAGCTTATAAAAAAAGCAGGAATCTTATAAAGAGAACAATCAACAACTTAATTTTTGTCAGAATTATTTTCTAATGAATAACAAGATTTAGAATTAATTATAATGGTGCAAAATTATCTGATGAATATTTAATTGAATTAATATTTGATTTTCATAAAAATGGATTTTAAATTTCACTTGCTTTACTTTTAATAAATTTATCCACATTTTCAACATTTTATTAACTTATTTAATGTTTTCTAATAATTTAATCTAATTGGATTGCTAATTTATCTAAAAATGCAACATTTTAAGATTTCTTATTTTTCTTTTGATTCATTTTCATATTAATCTTTTATTTTATTTCTAGAATTATATTGTTTATCAAAATAGAAATTGTATTTTAATATCCTAATTAGTTGTCAAATTTTGCTTAAAGCTCCTGTAATTATTTTATATACAAGTCAAGAGCTTTTTTACTTTAATCAACTTCCTATTGTTTCAAAATCAATTTATTATTAAGGATTCTCAATTATTTTTGAGATTCGTCATCTACTAAATTATATTCACTAACTGATCTACTTGAAGTCAATTATGCAATATCTAATTAACCTTTTGCTAATTTTATTGATTTAGCCATTGATAAAATTTCAGCAGATTTTTAATAATATTATAAAGCAGGTGTTATATTTAAAAATATGTTAAATTACATATTCGTATTAACTTAACAATTTAATATCTTTTAAACAACATTCTTGAAGTCTCCTTATGGTAACGAAGGACAAGTAGCAATCATAAAAGTACTTGTAGTTTATAATTAATTTTCAATAAAAGTCTAATAAATAATTGATAATTTTCGAATTTTTTCACCAAGGGCTTTTTATTTAGTCAATAAATGTACTTTAATAGCTTATACTGTATATTCTAAATCTGAAATAGATGAAGTTATTGTATTAAATTATTCAATTTCTATCCATTACTTTCCTATTCTTTCTTAATAGCAAAAAGTTATCTTTTAGTTTAATTATTGCTTTTATATCAAATTATATAATAATTCTATTAACATAATCATTATTAACTTTTTATGAGTTTTTGATTATCCTAAAATAAGATATATTTTAGTTAGATCACTTGATAACTTCAATTTAGATTAATCTAAAAATTAATGTATTTTTTGGGTATCAAAGAATATTTCATCAAATAAATAAGTGTCAAACATAGCTTTTTCAATTTTACCTTTTGTTGATTAAAATAATTTTATCTATTTTCTATTTAATTCAATAAATTAACATTAATAAGACTTTTATGATTTGATATACAAAAATGATGAAATTTAATATTTTTCTTATTAAGTTAATTAAGTTTATGAAAATTCTTTTTTTGGTTCACTCTATAATGTTTATAATGCTTATGGTCCTAAATTATAAATTGTATCTAATTAATTCTTAAATTTTATGGTTTATTGTTTTTGTTTAATTAATTATTCTTTATATTATTCTATTTCTTATTATAATTATTCTATTTCATTAGATTGTTATTCTATTTATTCATTCAATTAATGAACATTAAATGATTAAATTTCTTCCTATAACTCTTTTATTTATTTTTATAATCTCTAAATTAATTCATTATCTTATTATTTTTTTCTTTCTTCCTTAGCATCAGATTATTTTCTTGGAGTTCCTGGTTTTTATATATTTTATAATTTTTCTTCTAATTTTTTATTCTTGTCCTTCAAATTATAAACTTCTTTTTCTAATGATTTTCTTAAATTATCCATGTCTTCGACTTTTTTCCTAAATAATATTAATTATAAAATACTTCAACTAATCAGTTTAATTCAAATCTTAGAACTAATTTATTTAATTTTCTAAATTATCAGATGGTTACATCAATTTTTTTATAATACTTTAATCATTATCTTATTCTCCATTGATTTCTAAGTTGTTAAGATCCTTTCCTTAATCATTAATTTCAGTTAATTAAATTATTTAATTTGATACATTTAAATCTTCTTTTTATTTTATTTCTTCTTAATATTCTTCAGTCTAACATATTTGATCATTAAATTATTGATTATTTATCTTTAAAGGAGATTGAATAAGATCATCAGTTTAAATGAGTTAAGATTCAAATAATTTTTAGTCAATTTACAATTTTACTTATTCTTATTTTTCATTATCTATTTCAATAATATTTTCTGTTTAAGTAGAATTTTCAACATAATTAACTTGTTAAACCTTTTTAAGATCAAAATGAAAATTATTTATATTAGTTTCATCATTATTTACTAATTTTTCTAATGAAAGATTTAAATTTTCATTTGTAGTAACTTCATTTTTTTCCATATTCCCTTATTGTAATTCTTAATTTTATTAGTGTTAATCTGTACTTAAATTTTATAAAGATTAAATTTAACCTATATTTTCATTTAATTCTTAAATTTCTAATTAAAATTTTTCCACTAGATTGTTTTATTCATCTTGAATAGATTAAAGTTTATTCCAATATTCCATAACATATTAGATTTTAGATTCAAAAGTTTCTCCACTATTTATATAAGTATCTAATAATTATTTAATTTCATTTAATTCATTTTGTAGATTACTTTTTTCTTATTTTAATAAATGGATTTCCCTTTGTGTATTTTCTTTAAATTTTATATATTCAGCTGTAGTTTCTGAATTTTCTTATTATAATTTTGAAATCTTTTTAGGAGAATCACATTCAATTTATTTAAGTGCATCCATTTCAATTTCATAATTCTTAATTTTTTCAGTAAAATCATAATTTTAAGTTTTTAAATTTTCATTATCCATTTTTAATTAATCTAATTTTTATAAAACATCATTAATATCTTGATTTTAGCTTTATAGAACATTTAAAGAATTTTCTAATTCTTCTATTCTTTATTAATATTTTTGATTATTTTCTAATTGAGTTTAGAGTTAATTAGATAATAGTTTATTATTTTCTTCAAACATATGAGCTTATTCTTTAAAAACCTCTAATTCTTAACAAAATTAAGCTGCTTAATATAATTGCTGATCTTTATCTTTAATAGTAATATGAATTTATTCTTTAAATTCTTCATACTCATCTCTCAATTAAAGATAAAGTGTTTGATATTCATTATTACTTTATAAATTATTGATTTATTCTTATGCTTTATTAATTAATTATTTTAATTCATTATTTTCTTCTAAAACTTCATTATGATGTTCTAAAGTAGTTTCTAATTAAGTAATTTAATCTTATAATTATTCTTTAACTGATAAATATTCTTAACATTTATCAGTTAATTATTAACAATCCTATTCAGATTATTAAAGTTTTTAATTGATAGAATTATACTCTTCAACTAATTCTTCAAATTATAGTTTAAGATCTTCAAGTTATTATGTAACATTTGCATCTTATTCTTACTATTATAATTCTTTATATTATTTTTCTAAAGATTCAATCTATTATTAAAGTAATTATTTTTCTTTTTGATTTGTCTCTTCCTTTGCTACAAATTATGAATTCTCTTCTTAATATTGAAGCAAGACCTCTTCTAATTGTGCAATCTTTTCTTCTAGATTTTACTATTCTACTTAAGAGTTTTTGCCCATTTCTTCCATACTTCCTTACATTCCATCCTTTAATTGAAATTATTCAATTTGTTTATCTTTAATTTATAACTACCTTGTTTATTCTTCAATTTAAATAGTTAAGTTTTCAATCATCTTTTATAATTCCTCTGAATCACTAATTTCACAGAATTACTTACTTTGATTTAGATTGAGTAATCTCTTGCAATTGTTTTACTTCTACATTACTCTATAACTTTTAAAATTCATCTATAGTCTTTTATAAAGCCTATATTTTAATCTATTATTCATTCAAAGATTTTTAATGCTCATCTTTAAGAATTTCGATCTCCATTTCATTCTCTTCATTTTTAGTACTAATTTATATTTATATGATTACTTAAGTTATTGTGTAAGTGCTTTAATTTTTTAAGCTGATTCTTCCAAGTATTAGTTAAGATCATGAATTTCTACTTCCAATTAGATAATCTTAGCTCCACTTACATCATCTGAATTATTCTTAAATAATAATATTTTAATATTACTATAACATCTGCCTTTTTAATTGCATCCTATAATTATTTTTTGAGACTCTTTATTTCATTATCTTTACTATTAATATCTTATTTTTATTTATCTATAGTTTCTTCATGTTCCTTTATTTAATCTTCAAGCATCTACTCATACTCTTTCAAACTAACAAATTATCTTATAGATATTACTCTGCAATTTCTTGCTAAAGTTTCTATACTTGCAAGTCCATTTATTAAATAAATAAAACAATAATGAGAAATGATGAATAGTTTCTAAGTTTCATGGTTGAGAATGATGACTCTCAATTTCTGGAATCTAGACTCTTCAAAGATAACGATGAAGACTACTTCCAGTCTCTTAGTAAATAATTTTATGGATCTAAATCTTAAGATGGTATTTATTACTACTTTATCAACTTACTTAGCTAAGAAGCAATTGAAAATTATTAAATCTGCTGGAGATTTAAAAATTAAACTATCCAATACTGCTAATTTGAATAATGTCTTATAACCTTTCTCTATTAGCTATTAACTGCAGTAGGTACTTTCCAATTTTATTATCTGTTTTAGTAAATTCATAAACTTTTAAGCAAACCCAAACCTTAAGGATAGAGTTTACAAAGTTCATTTAAAACTAATCAGAAAATGAATCAAATTAAGTTAACATATTAACAGCTCTAAAATAGAAAATTAGTTATTCCAAAAAATGAAGATTCTAACATTTTTACTCAAAACTCCTATCGAAGTACCCTTAATACAAGCACAAAAAGCTAACCTAAAAAAGATAATGTCTTAGATTTGTATTAAATGAAATTAAAAACAGAGAGAAGTGTCGAAAAACCCAAATTAATGAAGGTCATCAAAAGAAATAAGATGCATTGATAAATTTTATATATTTTTCTATTTTTTGTTTTTTCAAATATAATATAATGATCAAAATTTGTGGTTATTGTATGTCTAATTTATAGAAATTGAAAAAGTATGCTCCTCCTAAAAAATTAGATGAAAAAACTATAAGACCTTATCAACATCCAACAAATCCATTAAGTAAAAAAATTGATATTCTAACTCCAACAAAACCAGAAAGATTTTTATTAGAAGATTATGAAACACCAACTACTCTTTATACAACAGATGAAAAAGTAATAAAAACAAATGAATTGGGTACAAAAGTGTCAAATAAAATATTATTGAAACCATTAGCAGATAAACCATCTGTTTCTATTGAAGAATAGAAATATTTAGCTGTTTCTATTATAGGACCTCCTAATTCAGGAAAATCAACATTTTTAAATTAAATGGTAGGTGAACCTATTAGTGCAGTATCAAATAAAAGTAATACGACAGTATCTGAAATTAGAGGAGTTCATACAGATATTAAAAGTGGTGTTTAAATTGAGTTTGTTGATACACCAGGTGTTACTAAACGTTATAAATTTTCAAAGTATTTTGTAACTAAGGCTTGGAATGCCATTGAAGATACTAACTTGGTTATTATTTTAATTGATGCTATTAAAACTTTAGATATTAGTATGAATAATGTAATGTAGAGATTAAATTAAATAAAAGTAGACTAAGAATAATTAAGAAGTTATTTTAGAAATGAAGATAATTTCAAACAATCAGAAGAAAAACCTATTCCTAAAATTCTTGTTTTTAATAAAATGGATTTATGTTTTAATAAAAAGAAATTAAAATGGTTATAAACTGAAATGGAAGATTTAGGAAAATATGATTAAATATTTTATATATCTTCTTTAACAGGATATGGTATTGAAGATTTGAAATAATATTTGTATTCTCAGAGTTTTTAATGTAAATGGAAACATAATGAAAATTAGAAACATTTATTTACTCCTATGGATTAGTTAGAATAAATTATTAGATAGGCAATTTTTAAAAGATTTTATAAAGAAATTCCATTTATAATAGGTATTTATGTAAAAGAATTCAGAGTTACAAGTAAAGAATCCGCAAAAATAGAAATATAAATAAATGTTCAAACATCATCATAAGCAAGAATTGTTATAGGAGAAGAAGGTAGAGCATTAAAATAGGTTAAAAATGATATAGAAATAAGTATGGCAGAAATATATAAGAGATTATTTTAAATAAAATTACAAGTAACAATTAAAGAGGGAGAAAAATAAATAGAATTTGATACTGAAAAAGAGGATAGAATTGAACATGCTTAATTTGATGAATCATTTTTTAGAAAATAAGAAAGAGATAGAAAACAACTTCTAAATGTTAAATTTTCAAAATTTTTATAAAATTGAAATATTTGATTTATTGTGAATAAAATCATTATTTAAAATATCTGATAAGAGAACATTAATTAGACTAATTTTTATTAAGGATTTTATTTTCACCAAATTATAATTTTTATTACTTTTATTCATCATTCTCTGTTAATGGTGATTTCATCTGATTTGTTTAATAATTATTTGCAAGTTTTTATAACTATTCATTTACTTTTTGTGATGAATAAGATCTCAAATCATTTTATTAAACATTTAAAACATTATCAGGCATACTCTAATTATTTTTCTTATGTTTTGTATTAACTTTTATAGCCATTTATGAATTATTCTTTATCAAATTTTCTTTATTTTCCTAATCATTCTAAATCTATTTTTTTTTCTTTAATTAAGATTAACTAGAAGATGAATGAGTTTATGAAACATGCTTAGATTTTGTAGTACTCATAAGAATATTAGTAAATTTATCATCAACATTCGAGATGTTTATTTACGTAATTGAAGAGGATCTTTAAGGTTATTTAAAAGTAAAGGTTGAATAATAAAAGTTATGAAAGAATGGTGTAAAAACGCTTTCTGATTCTGAATTTATTGATTTTTATAATTCTTTTTAAAATTAAGTTTCTCCATTAACTATTTCTTTTTAATCAAAATTCATTTTAAATAGATCTGGTTTAAATGGTGGATCATATGATCTATTAATTAATTTATATAAATTAAATTCTTATAACCATGGATGTTTAAGTATTTCATAAATTCCATATGATTTTCCCAATCTATTTAACATATCTTTTTATAATAATTTAGATATCAAATCTTTAGCATCTGTACTTAAATTTTATTTAGGTAAAGGTAGATCATGTTATAAAATATTTTAATAAATTTATTCTGGATTACTAGAATAATAAGGAGGTAATCCAGTTAATAATTCATATAAGAGTGCTCCTAAACAATAATGATCAATCTAATAATTATGTCCTAATTTTAAAAGCATTTCTGGAGCCATATATTCTGGAGATCCACAAAATGAATATGCCATTTTATCATCTTCTACATTAGGTTTTGCTAATCCAAAATCAGCCAATTTAATATGGCCCTCTTAATCTATTAATATATTTTCTGGTTTAATATCTCTATATATAATTTTATTTTCATGTAAATGATGAATAGCCATACATACTTAACTAAAATAAAACTTTGCTTATTATTCATCCATCTTCTTGACTTTCTTTAATTATTAAAATAATTCACCACCAGGACAGTATTCCATTGCAAAACATACCCAATTTTTAGTTTCAAAAGCACATAATAATTTACAAAGATTAGGATGGGAATTATTATTATTTGCTAAATGTACCATTATATCTCTTTCATTTTATACAATCTAAAATTTATCATTTTATTCAATAAATGATTTTGAAATCATCTTTAAAGCCATAAATTAACCGTTAAACTTATATCTTACTAAATAAACTCTACTGAATCCTCCTATACCTATACATTATAAAAAATAAAAGGAATCTAAACTGATCTAATTCTAATATATTCCATACAAAGGTTTTAAAGACAGAGTTTAATTATTCAATAATCCTAAATCCTTATTTGTTGTTAAATAATAATCCAGATGAATATTATTCTCCAAACTCTAAAACCCTACAATTTAACTTTAATTTATTAAGTTTCGTAAGTAACCAACTAATTAGTTAGCAGTTTAATTGCATGTTGGAAATTATATCTGTTAAGAAAATTCATTATTCAGATACAACTTTACTGTTACTTAACTTTGCTTTGTTTATTCTTTCTTCATGAAATTATTCATCAAATGTTGCATCTTTTATTTTTGATCCATTTTTTTTTTCTGTTAATTTATAAATTAAGCATAAATATAGATAATTATTTCAAGTATCAATATCCTTTGCATGTAAGAATTCTTTTATAAATTATTTAATTGATCTAATTCTTTGTATTACTCTCAATGGAATCATCATTATCATCGACCTTGTTCTCCATATATCTCTTGTCATCTTTAATACAAGTGGTAACCACAAAATGAAGTAAATTATAAAAAGTAATACTTCAAAAACAATAAATAATGCCAATCTTTGAGTTTTTGCACTATCTATATCATTATTGATACCCTTCTCTAATTAGCTCATCAAATATCTAAATGTGCCTATAGTTAATAATCAAATACAGATACCTCTATTGTAAGATTCTTAAATAACTCTTGCTTCTTTGGATTAATTAAAGTTATTAAGATTAAGAATATTATTCCTAATATTATCTGAATCCTTTGTGATATTTTTAAAAGTTGTAAACCCTCTTGCAATTGCTGTAAAGTTTGCATTAGAATTATTCCAAAATTAATCATATATAGTCATTATATATCTTATATTTTCGAAATAACGAGCTACTCCAACTGCCATTCCTTAATACATAGCACCATCAGCAAAAGTTTAGCAATCAGTTTCCGTCATTTCATTCATTTCTTAAGATAATATTGTACAAGGCTAAAGCATAAAAATTTATCTAAAAGCATCAGAATATATTGAATTTGTTATATCAACATTTAGTGAATGTTCTTAATGAATTGAAGAATCTAATGCATATAATTAGTCAATATTCGATTTTACTATTTTGTAAGAGTCTTCATTCAAAATTGTCATATTTCTATTAATATAAAGTGATCTTTCAGAATTATCAGCAAATCGATAAAATCCTTCAGCTCTGCAAGTAGCATTTATTTCAGGTACAAGTTATGCTAAATTACTTAAAAGTGTATCTGATATAAAATAATTAAAAATAAAATAAGCTTACAAAATTAAGATGATTAAAAAGAAAGCAAAAATATAATTACGTTAATCTTTATTAGTATTCTTAAACTTTTTCTTTTTTCTTTTACTCTTGAGTGTTCTATTTAGTTCCTCTTATTCTTCTTTTTCAAGTTCTTCTAAATCTGATAATACTTCTTCTTCTTCTCCAATTTATAAATTAGAAATGAAATTTTCACTTTTGTTATATAAATACTTGACTGTTTTATCTGGTATATCTAAGAACATTGATAATATTTCTTCTTGTGTTTTATTTACAGATAATGTTATAATTGTCAATAGAATTAATCCCAAACCTAGGGCTCCTGCAGATATACCTAAAATTAACAAAAAGGTTTCTTTTTTTTCAGTAGTTTTTTAAGTTAAACCTATTGCATATAAATTACTTGAGTTTCTTAATTAAAAAACTAGATCATTGAGTAGATTATAAATGATAAATCCAACATCATCATCCTCAAATTGAATTTTATTTAAAACCTTATCTCTAACATTTAAAGCCTTACTTACAATTTATTAAGTAGCTTCCATTATATCATATTGTTGATATTCATCACCAAACCTCATTTTAACAACATTTTCACTCTATAATTCATTTAATTAATCACTAATAAAGATTTCAGACAACATCAAATTTTTATTTAGAAGCGAAACCATTTAAATAGAATCATTTAGTTTTTATTTTTCAGATTATTCAAATGCATCAATATCTGCAGTTGTATTGAATTGCCAAATATTTAAATTTAACATCTATAAATTTTAAACTGATGATAGAATAGTATGTAATTCAGCTGTTCTTAAATTTGTATCTTCAACTAATAAGATTGTATTAAAGATTTCATCATATTATGCTTAACAAACAAAGAAATCAGCAAAACTTAATGCTACTAATACAAGAATTAAAATATTAGCAGTCCAACTTAATTTAGTAACAACAGGAGGTATAACTTAACTATTAACTACAATAGATAAATTCTTTCTAGATCTAAAAACATTATTAAAATCCTATAGTTATCCTTCTTAATCATTATCTACATCTTATTATCTTTAGAAAACACTCTTTCCTTACTCATCTTCTTCTGACATCATTTCTTCTCTATCATCAATATCTTATACTCTATTTTCAAATAATCTTAAAGTTTTAATTCCTTCTGCATAATTTATTTTAATTTATTATAACTATACATTTTATTCATCTGATTTTTCTGTTTTTACTTAGGATTTAAATATTTCCGCTCCTCCTTAGACTGAAGAAACCATAGATGATTAATCATTCTAATCCCAAAGAATAGTTTAATCCACTCTTTATGAATTAGTATCAGCAACATATTCACCTAAATAAAGAGCTTTAGATGGATTATATTTAAATTGCATACTATTACTAATCACTTTCTATTATAAATTATTGATTTCTAAATTCATACTAGTATCTGTTCCTTATTATTCTAGTTTTACAATATATCCAACAACTTAATCCTGATTTTCATTCATTACTTCATAAGTATAACATTAGAATTGAATATTATCATCTTTCCTATCCTAATCTTCAAATTCTTGAGATGCTAATTGACTATTACTTACACCTGATTGAGTAGCAGGATTAAATACTATTGGACCTCCTACTTTAGATAAAAACAATTGTTTCTATTGCATATAATTTGGAAGTATCTCTGTTATTGGAGTCTTTTTATGTGAAATTAATTTTGAATCTATATTCAGCAGAGGTATACAAGATGATGATATTGAATCTATCACTTCCTCACTATCTAATATTAAATAGCAGCATGGTTTAAATGATTTTGGTATTCTAAACTATGCTGCCAATTAAACATTATCATCTATTGATTATATTACTTTCAAATATATATAACATGGTGTTATATAGTTTGATTTCATCTTTACATACACTAATCTCTCCTTATTTATATTTCTATTATCATTTGATGATAAATAATTCTCAATATGAGCATCATGAAATTTAGAATATAAATTTGGCATAAATATATTAATCTTACGATTTATCATCTCAGATTTATTATAACCAAATAAATTACAACATGCCAAATTCAAATTTGTTATCTATGCAAACTTTTCTTAAGCTGTTGATACCAATAAAGTTGGTTATGATTCTTAACCAATCTCCTCACTACTTATTAATGATATTGTTGTCTTATTCTTCATCTTATTATTCTAAGTCTATAAATTTCTAGATCTATCTAATAATTCTTCTCCATAATCTTTATCTTATAATACTTCAATTATAAATTTTCCATATAATCTCATTGCTTTTGGTAAATTTTAAGTCATTTTTTACATTTTATTCCATAATTCTTCAACTTAAGTAATAGCTAAATTTATTTTAGCACCAATATCATTCATTTTACCTAAATCAGGTGAATCTTCTTATAATTAAGACCAAAAATCCATATGCATTAATGTTGCTCTTTCTATTTTATTTTAAAATGATCTCATATGATTTTAAAATGCTAATTCTGTTGCAACATCCAAATTACCTAAATTTTCATTTTATGCTGCATTCATTTCATCTTCTATTACTTTTTTATATCTAAATATTATAAATTCATTATCTAAACTAGGACATAATTATTCTGCTTATATTAATTCATTTAATGCTTATTGTCTCTATTTCATATTATCAAGTAAGAAGAATGAATACCTTATACGTAGACTAATTTCATTAGGAAATTTTTTGATTAAATTAAAATAAATTTAACCCATCACCATCAAGAGATCTACATCTCTTTCAGTAACTGTTCCTTCTTTAAATAATGGTTTTTATTATCTCTAATTGTTTAATTTCTTTTATTTTAAATAACAATCTTCTCTTGTACAAGTAGCTTTATGTATTTCTAAAAAACCATCTAGTAACAATGAACAATTTTAATTTTATTAAGATTTGTAAAATAATTTCAATAAATGATTTGTCAATTAAAGAACTTAATCTGGATCCTAAACTTTATTTAGATTTAATAAAAGGAGATCATAATGCATTTTTTCACTTCTAATTATAGCAATTATCATTAATGGTAATCCTGCTAACCAAGCATAGACAGTACCATAAAATAAAACTCCTTCTAAAAATTTAGAAAAACATAATAGAGTTGTACCCCACATATTCATAGCCACCAACATAGACCAAGCTTTTTATATATACATATTATTAAATGGAGCATCAACATGAATTTTCCAAAAAATAGTGAAACTTCCTATCATCATAATTAATATCATCAAATAATCATAATTCTTACCATTCATAAATGTGTAACAAATAACCATTATCAATTCATATGTCAAAAATACTGCATTTGCTCTTCCTGTCAATTTTGATGAAGCTTCGTGTGATTAATACCTTGACTCATAGTATAATAAGGAAAATAAAATACAGAGTATAAAAAATAAAATAGTTCCAAAGATTGCTACAATTGCATGTACAATATGAATATTAGACCAACATTCAATTTCAAAAAGTAGATGTTTGAGCACACCATTTTAATCAGATTAACATGCCAACATAGATAATAACAAATCAATGATAGGCATATATAGTACTTGCAAAAAAATGCTTATCAAAAACCTTAGCAGCATGATTGGCCATGTAAATGAACTCTTAGATTTACTGATACTATAGCTTAATAAGAAGATGAGCATCAATGCAAATAAAACTAGTCCTAAACATACATACATCATAGCTGCAAAACCAGAAAAACTTATCATTTCAAAATATGGTGTCAAGAGGACATATCTAAATTAAGAAAAGCCTTTACCCAAATATTTTATTAAGCTACTTAGATAGAATCTCATTTTGCCATACTCTCCAAATCTACCTATTAAATACTATATAAGTGATCTGCATGTATTGTAACAATATTCCAATGCACGTAAAAGGAATTGACTGTTCTTCATCTTTTAACATAAGTTATATCACTCTAAAGAACACCCCTTTTAGTTCTGTTTACATTTTATCAATTAAGGATTTCTCGGAATCGATAGTACCTTTTGTAGTACCAAAATTTGATTTTAGTTCCATTATTAATTAAATAAATAAAATTTCACTACTCTTGTAATTGCATCATATTTCCAATCTGTCCTTCATTTTATTTAATCTTTAATATGTCATTTAATTACATGATAATAATCAATCCTAGGATTCTCCAAACATCTCTAATCATTCTAATACTGGATTAAATTCTATAAAGTATACTAAAAATACTAATACTTAAAACACTATGAATGTTCCAAATAATTAAATCTAAGTCAAATTAATAACATTCTTCAACACCTTAATGAATTAACCCATCAAATAAATGAATTCATGTATTAATCATATTTTCACAGATATCTTTAAAGAAAACGCTTAAAACCTTTGATGCTTCTCAATATTATAGATGTAAATTGTTGTATTATCAAAATCTTAAATAATTGTTGTAGATATTCTTTAATGAACGAATCCATTTATTTAATATTCATAATATTCATGATTTATGTATACATGAAAAATTTACAAGGATTCACCATTAACAACTTTATTATACTTAATACAGAATTTTAAGCATGCTCTTACTGCAAAGAGGTATATAAAAACCATACTTTTATAGTATTATTCACTATTGTTGTATTCATTTTACAATTCAATTGGATCTTTTACGTTCATAGACAATTGTTTCTCACATGTCTGTATAAATATACATATATATTTATTTAAATTATTCATATCATCTTCTTCTAATTGATATTTCAATGATTAAGTAATTCTTTTGCTTCATCCTTCCCTTATCATTTATTTCTGAAAATATATCTTCCTTTCACTAATTTATAAATTTAATATAAATTTTCACTTTTATTTTATCAAAATTTAATTATAATTTCGGAATTTCTATAATAATTAAAGTATTTTTATTCTTTAATTTAATTAATTTGCATTAAAAAATTTATATTAAATTTAATTACATTAAAAATGAGCAAACAACTAAAATCAATCATTTTGAGTATTTATTTATATTTTATAATCAAATCGAATATTAACCTGTTTTTTTTTATAATTGAAATCATATTTTAATTAGAAATGGTAATCATTGAAAGTTCCTTATCTCCAATGATCAAAGCTTTACTTATAAATTTATTGAGTTGCTTCAATTAGAATAATTTATTACTCTAATATTAACAAAGCTCTATTTGTATTCCAGATTTTAAAATATTCTAATCGATCTTATTAATCTAAATCAACTAAACAATTCAAATCAAATATCTAAGATGATACCAAATTAAGTAAAAAATAAATAAGCATAATTGACAAGGTTAAGTATCCATAAATTGTAGAGAGTAACAATAATTTAATTGCATTCCAAATATTTATTTATAAAATATATACAAATAAAATGAACGAATCTTGAATCTTAAAAAATATAGATAATTCATCAAGATAAGGAGCAAAAATCAAATTTTTCATAGATGTATTTATAAAAGATAAAAATAAAACAGCTAAGCCAAAAAGTTTGTATTTTAATAGATATTTTCGAAACTAAATATATTTATCAATTATGATTTTTTTAATTTTTTAGCCTTTCAAAGAAAATTTGAAATTATGATCTTAAGTTCTAGTTGTAAATGTTCTAAAAAATTTTTCTTTTTTTATGTTGATTTTTCTGGTCATAATAGACTTTACAATCCATAATTTTTTAAATTAAAATAGATATTAGATATATAAAATAATCACACATCTATCTCATTAACTTGTATATTGTCTTTGATATAGGTTTTAATAGATCTAATATTTTAAATAACTCTTAAAGGAATCATCATAATCATTGATCTAGTTCTCCAAATGTCTTTGGTCATTTTTACAACTAATGGTAACCACAGTATGAAATAAATAACAAACAAAAGAGCTTCAAAAACAATAAAAAAGGCAAGAAGTTAAGTTTTACTATTTTCCATATCTTAATAAATTCCTTCAATCATTTTTGAAATTAAATAACGAAAAGTTCCTCTATGATAATTGTCCTACATTTATCTAGCCTCTTTAGTATGATTGAAATTATTAAGATTAAGAACATAATTTGTAGTATTATCCTGATTCTTTGTGATGTTTTTAAAAGTAACAAATCCACGAGCAAGTAAAGTAAAATTAACTTTAGAATTATTCCAAAATTAATCATATATAGTCATTATGTATCTTAAATTTTCAAAGTAACGAGCTACTCCAACTGCCATTCCTTAGTATATTGCTCCATCTGCAAAAGTCTCACATTCTTTTTCATTAACTTCATTCATTACTGTTGCTAATATTGTACATGGTTAAGCCATAAATATTTCTTTAAATGCATCAAGATATATTTAATTTGTAATTTCAACATTTAATGAATGTTCTTAATGCATAGAGGAATCTAAAATATAAAGATTATTAAGATTATTTTTCACCATAGTATAGGCATCTTCATTCATTATTGTTTAATTTCTGTTTAAAAATAAAGATCTTTCAGCTATATCTACAAATCTATAAAAACTTTCAGCTCTTGCAGTTGCATTAATTTCAGGTACCATTTAATCAAGATTACTTAGAAATGTATTACTTAAAATATAATTTAAAACAAAATAACCTTGTGTGATTAACAAAACAAAAAAGATACCAAAAATAAAGTTTCTTTAATCTTTATTAGTGTTTTTAAATTTTTTCTTCTTTCTCTTAGTTTTTAAAGTTTTATTTAATTCTTCTTACTCTTCTTTTTCTACATCATCAATTTCTGACATCATTTCATCATCTTCTCCCAATTATAAATTAGAAATGAAGTTCTCACTTTTATTATATAAATACTTAACAGTTTTATCTGGTAGATCTAAAAACATTGCTAAAACTTCCTCTTAATTTTTACTTACAGATATCATAGCTATTATCATAATAATCAATCCGAGACCAATTGCAGCAGCTGAAACCCCTAAAATTAATAAGAAATTTTATCCATTATTTTAAGCTTTAATTCTTAATTCATTTGCATACAATGTTGAAAATAATCTCAATTAATATATTAAACTATTTAAAGAATTGTAAAGCACAAAATTCACATCAATATCTTGTACACTAATATTTGCTATGTTTTTTTCTCTAATGATCAGTGACTTACTGATAATTTATTAAATTGCTTCAGATAGATCATATAATTATTCAGTTCCATCACTTGATTTCATAATTACAAGATCTGATCTCATCATATCTATTATTGAATCACTTAATCCAATATTTGATAACATCAATTCTTTATTTAAATTATCAACATTTGTAATTGATGTATTTAATTTCTATTTCTATGTTATTTCATAGGTTGACTTATCACTATCTGTTTTTAATTACCAAATATCTAAATTTAACATTAAAAGATTTTAAACACTTGTTGTAATACTTTAAAGTTCGGCGTTTCTTTAATTTTAATTTTTCACTAAAAGAATTGTATTATAAATATCATCATATTAATCATAGATGATAAAGAAGTCAACAAAAGAAAGTATCACTAAAATTAATGTAAGGATATTGGCTGTCCAACCTAATTTAGTAATTACTTTTGGTGTTTAATTACTATTGATTATTTAAAATAAATTTTTTCTTGATCTAAATATATTATTTTGTTCATTTCTTTATTAATCATTCTCTATAGCTTATTCTTAATTATTTTAAAAAACACTATTTTTACCAATTTCTTCATCATCAGACATAATTTCATCTCTATCATCTATATCTTAGATTCTATTTTCAAATAATCTCAATGTTTTAATACCATCTCCATAATTAATCTTATTATTTAAATTTTATTCTTCAGATTTATCAGTTTTTACTTAAGATTTGATATTTCCTGTGTTTAAAACATCAACTTAATTAGAAGAAATCATAGATGATTAATCATTTTGATCCCACAATATGGTTTAATCTACTCTTTAAGAATTTGTATCTGCCACAAATTCTCCGCTATACATTGCTCTTTATGGATTAAATTTGAATTATAAATTACTCACACCTTTTTAAGGATGATTAGTCCCAAGTAATTCTTAATTAATACTTTAATCTTATCCTTATAGTTCTAATCTAATAATATAACCAGCTAACTAATCTATTGTATCATTCATTATTTCAGTCATATAACACATAAATGATACTTAACCCTATTCCTTCTCTTCGGTGATATTTGGATTACTTAATTAAGCCATTTATGTAGAAACTTGAAGTAATCCTCCCATCTTTGTTAAATATTACGCTTTATTTTCTGCAAATTTAGGAAATAAATCAATCAATGAAACCTTTTTATGAGAAATTACTTTTTAGTCTATGTTCAACAAAGGAATACAAGAGGCTGATATTGAATCTATAACTTCTTCAGAATCTGCAATCATATAGCAAGTAGGTCTAAAGATTTTTGGTAATCTAAATTATGCAGCCAATTATAAATTATCATCTAAGGATTAAATTATTTTTAACATTAAATAGCATGGGGCTATATAATTTGATTTCAATTTAATATAAATTAATCTCTCCTTATTTATGTTTTTATTATCATTTGTCTAAAGAAAGTGTTCAACATAAGAATCGTGAAATTTAGCATAAAGATTTGGCATAAAAATATTAATCTTTCTATTTATCATTTCTGATTTACTATATCCAAATAAATTGCAACATGATAAATTTAAATTTATTATTTGAGCAAACTTTTCAGCTGCTGTTGAAACCAATGTTGTAGCATTTGGTTCTTAGCTTAAATCTTCTCCACTTAATATTGAAATCATCTATTTATTCTTATTCTTACTATTCTACTATTAAAGTCTTCGAGCTTTTTCTAATAATTCTTCTCCATAATCTTTATCTTATAATACTTCAATTATAAATTTTCCATATAATCTCATTGCTTTTGGTAAATTTTAAGTCATTATTTACATTTTATTCCATAAATCTTCAACTTAATTAATAGCTAAATTTATTTTAGCACCAATATTATTCATTTTACCTAAATCAGGTGAATCTTCTTATAATTAAGACCAAAAATCCATATGCATTAATGTTGCTCTTTCTATTTTATTTTAAAATGATCTCATATAATTTTAAAATGCTAATTCTGTTGCAACATCCAAATTACCTAAATTTTCATTTTATACTGCATTCATTTCAAATTCAACAATTTATTTATATCTAAAAATGATAAATTCATTATCAAAACTAGGACATAATTATTCTGCTTATATTAATTCATTTAATGCTTATTGTCTCTATTTCATGAGGTCTAATAAAAATAAAGAATATCGAAGTCTTAAAGCTATTTCATTAGGGAATCGTTTGATTTAATTAAAATAAATTTAACCTAAAACCATTAGTAAATCTACATCTCTTTCTTATAGATTTTAATCTTTAAAAAAAGGTTTTGCTAATCTTTAATTTGGCAATTTTTTTTATTTTAAATAACAATCTTCTCTTGCACAAGTTGCCCTATGTATCTCTAAGAATCCATCAATCATCAATTAAGAATCTGCATCTTAGATGTAATAGAGTTTGATTAAATGATCTGTCAAATTAAGTACATCTTGTGGATCTGAAACTTTATTAAGATTAGTTAAAAGTAAATCATAATTCAATTTTTCAGTTTTTAGAACTGCTATTATCATTAAAGGCAAACCTGATAACCATGCATATATAGTTCCATAAAATAATTAACCTTCGAGAAACTTTGCAAAACATAATAAAATAACACTCCACATATTTACAGATACTAACATAGACCACGTCTTGGCGATGTAAATATTATTGTGTGGATTTTCAATATGCATTTTCCAAAATATAGTAAAACTACCTATGACCATGATCAAAAGGAACAAATAATCATATGTTCTTCCAATCATAAATGTATAGCAAATGATCATCACTAATTCGTAAGTGAGAAAAACAGCTAAATTTCTTCCAGATTTTCTAGACATTGATTCCTTTGGTAAGTACCTTGGTTCATAATAAATCATGGCAAAAGTGATACAAAATAGATAGAATATTACTATTGCTAAAATGGAAACAATGCCATGTACTATATGAACACCTTACCAACATGCAACTTCAATAAAAATCTAATTAATTGAGTTTCCATTCTCATCAGTTGCACAAGCAATCAAAGAGAAAAAAAGATCCATTATTGGCATATAAAGAACTGACAAGAACATTTGAATCAAAATTCTTAATATGTAGATTGGCCAAGAAAATGCTGATTTCAATCTATAACTTAGAAAGAAGATGAGCATGAATGCAAATACTACTAAACCTAAGCAAACATACATCATGGCAACAAGGGCTGGAAATGAGAGCATCTCAAAGTAAGGGACTAACATCGAATATCTTCTTATCTTATTTAACATTACCCAAATATTTTATTAAGCCATTCTGTTACTTCAAAAGTCTACCAAATTTTCCATGTTTGACGATTGAAAATAATATATGTGACCTAAAAGAACTGAATTATTATTGCAAGTAAATTGATAAGGATTGATTGTTCTTCCTCTTTCAATAATTGTTAAGTGACTTTGAAATATATCATTTTCACTTCATTCTATATTTTATCTATTGTAGATCTTTCTGAATCTAAAGAAGACTTGCCACCAAAGTTAGACTTTAATTCCATTATATATTATATTTTTAAAATATGTCTAACGAAATTATTTTAGAAAGAGAACGTGAATTGCTACCAGAAATTGAAAAAGAAATTATAGAACAAGTTAAATAAGAATTACAAATTCAATATCAAATTAAATTTTAAGAAGAAATTGATTCTCTAACATAATTTAATGAACAATAACTAAGAACAGAATTAGAAAAACAAATACGAATTGATTATGAAGACTAAAAAGAGCATTTAGCTACAGATGTTATAAGAGAATTTGATGATTCTCTTTAAAGAGGTTTATTCGAATAATAATTAAGATTCAAAATTCAAGAGGAATTGAAAGAACAAATTTGCAAGATTGAAATCAGTTGAGTATGTAAAACTTAAAAAATTGCAGGATGAGTAGAAAAAACACAGCCAATTATTAAAAGATCAAGAAAATAAATATTAAGATATTATGAAATCACTTCAAAAATTAATATAAGATCTTACTCAAATAATTAGAATTAGCCTTATAAGATTAAATAACTTAAGAAAAATTGCGAAACTAATAAGAAAATCTTGATAACTTAGACTATGATAAATAAATTTACATGCAGTTTTCAAAATAGAATCCAATTTAAAATTAAAATATAACTCCAATTTATTAAAATTAATAAAACACAGAGGAAGAATCATAAGAATAATAAATTTAAGTTAACTTAAAAAAATATAAATTTCAAAATATTTAAAAAGCTCAATAAAATGAAGAAAATAATTTAAAAAGCTAAAAGAATACAAAAAAGAAATAAAGTTCATAATAACAAAATTAATTAGATAGAGGTTTTAAGTAATAGAAAAGAAATATGGAAACATTAAAACCTTAATACATAGAATAAGAAAATAATTAAAGACAAATTAATAGGATAGATATAATTATTAAAGAATATGATTAAACTTCCATTTTATGAGCTATAATAGTCTTTTAAAGAAAATGATCTTGATATTATCTAAATTGTTTTTTATCAAAAATATTTAAAGCAATTTTAAGAATGATTAGTTTAATATTTTTTCTGGTAGATTTTATAAGATACCAGTTTTTATTTTTCATCATTCAAATTCTTTAGCTGTAATTCTAAAAATAAATAAATGAAATTGCGAAGATAAAAATTTGTAGATTAAGATTAAAGATTATAAACGAAATATTTAAGAATATAAATCAACATTATAAATGACTTTATTGTTGATTATGTTAGTAAGATATTTAATAATTTCATTTATATAAACATAAATCCATAAATTCAAATTAATTCAAAATTATTATCCTGATTTTTAAAAACGTTTTAATCTTAAGAATTAGATTATGTCTAATTATAGTTTATTTAGTAAGTGTAAACACCTATTTGATCAATTAAATTAATTAAATTTGAAATCAATTAATATGTCAGTTTTAGAATGTGACTTTTAAGAAATGTTGTAACTTTATTAATGGGAAAAAGATTTTTTAGAAAGAGAAGAGCTAAAGTCATAAATTTTTGTAAAATATAATCGAAATTAATATGATTTTATTGTGAATCAATTTATTGTTAAAATAAACCCTAATGCTTGATATATTAATGGCATTAATGTTGGATGAGGAGCTTATAATTATAAATTAATTGCATTTGGAGTGTGGATGACATTAATTAAAATCGGCATACCATTAACTAATGTAATAGAGTAAGATAGTAATTCCACTCCTCTATCATCCTTTCTTATTCCAACTAAGTATAAACAGTTTTTTTCAAGCTTTTCTCTCATCTATGAAATATAAATCTATAGATTTTACTCTTTGATAGTCAATTTATATTTATAGGGTTTCTGTTTTTCTGGCAAAATTTTAAGCTTAACTTAATTCAACAAACCTTTGCTAAGTAATTTGACCATTAGAACTCTATTATAATTAGAATAAAAAATACAAATAAAACACTAAGTGACATAGGTATAAAAAAGTAAAACACATCTAAATTAGTTTTCAGTGCAACTTATATTTTGTAAGGCATTTATGGAGCATCCTAACAAACAGGTCCATTTGTATTTATAAAAATTTATGTCATCAAATTTTATCCAGGTGATATAGGAGGACATGAAATTTCAATAGAATCAGGTTATAATTTAAATGGATTATTATTAAATTTAATTCCAAAATCCTACTTAAAATTTTTAATTACCTAAAATTATTTATCTGATGTTTTATTAGCAAATTTAACTTCTAGAATAATCTTATCTCCATTTTTTTAGAATGCAGCCTCAATCTAAAGTCCTACTATTTTATTTTATGCTCCTGGTGTATTGAAATTGAGTACTTCAGAAAAAGGAATTTTAATATTGCTTTATGTTAATTATTATTATTATTATTGTTATTATTATTATTATTATTATTATTATTATTATTATTATTATTATTATTATTATTATTATTATTATTATTATTATTATTATTATTATTATTATTATTATTATTATTATTAAGCATCATCTAAATCTAATAAATCTATTTTTTATGATAATTATGATATCTATTGTACTTATGATTATTAATTAGTTTATGAAGGTATTTAAGATGAGGTTTCAAAATTTCCATCATAAATATTAGATTAAGTTCCAGGTTATTAATCGCTGTAATCTTCCGGTCTTCCATCCATTAATTATTCTCCATCATATACTTCTTCTGCTTTATCACTCATTTTTTAATTCAAAACATCTCTTAATTTTTTAACAAAATTCTCTGGTTTCTTTGTATATACAGAACTTAGATTTCCTATGTTCTCTATTAATTTATCTAATAATTCATTTTCAAGTGTGTAACTGGAATCAGAAATAGTAGGTCTTTCAGAAAAAACAACCTTTTTTGCTAATTCTGGATCAGTGGATAACATTCTCCAATAAATATATGCTCTATCCCTTAAATCAGGATTCTCACATTCCATAGTAGCAACCTTCAACAAATTATGTATTAATTCTTTTCCATCAACTGGTCTTTATAAAAATAATTTCATAGCAGCAACTAATATTTAATTTTGTACATTAGCAGGCTCATCTTTAAAACTAAATATAAAAATTGTAAATTTACTTTTCACTGAAATTAGATAATAAATCATCAGCATTTTCAATAGTATCAACATATTCACCAATAATCCAAATCATAGATGCTTTAGCTTCTGGATCCTCTAAACTTTTAAGATTATCACACAAATCTTTTAGAATCATTTCATATTTTCTAGGATACTTTCTAAAAATATCTCTAATAACAATTATGCATTCCATAACAACATAATTTACTTTAGTTTTTAGACATTCCCACAAAGCTGTCACACATTTTTCTGCTGTCTTTTCCAATTTAATAGCACATCTACCTATAGTTCTAACAGATTTTCTCACAAATTCTACATCAACTTCTTGAGTATATTCTTTTAATTCATGTAAAATTTATTAAATATTATCTTAATTTGCCAATTTAGATAATACTTCAAGTTTCTATAATTTTATATAGATAGGATCATTAAAATTACAAAAGAATACTTTAATTTCTTTTTCAATAATAATAGGTCTCTTTTAAATGATTAAATTAATATTTTTAAGAGCAACAAATTAAATTTCAGGCTCTTTGCCTAAACTTAATAATGAAATTAAAGGAGCAGTCATTTTAAGAGCATTTTATCTAATAGTTTCTGGATTTTAGAGATAATCTAAGAATTTCATCATAATTTTGCAAGCAGATAAAACAACTCCTGGATTGCCATGATTTAATCTTGGACTAACTCTTTCTAAGATTCTATAAATATTAATAATATTACGCTTCTGCTTCTTTTCCATCTTCTGGAACATAGAGTGCCAATGCATCAAGACAATAAATTACACCCCATTCATTACATTCATTCATAGCTGTTAATATTTTTTAAACAGTATATGGATTTAATTAAAGCATAATTGTTCCTTTAGATTCTTAAACAATTAATAAAGCACACACAGCATTTGCTACAACCATAGCATTACCATCATTAAGTAAATTTTCTAACAATTTTAAAATTCCTTATTCTTCTATTAATTCTGGAGATACATCAAATAATTTTGAAATGCAAATTGCTGCTGTTTTTCTTACATATGAATCTTCATCCTATTTTAAGAAATATTTTTCACTTTAATAGATTCTTTTAATGGATCCAATAAATATTCTGTGATTTATTTTACTCTAATACATCCCATAGTCCGTATAGCTAAAGCTCTTAAAAATGGATTAGTTTTATCTCTAGCATCTTTTCTAAAACTATTTATAGCCATAATAGCAAGATCAGGCATTATTTTTGCATAATTGATAATGTACAAATAGACTAATTTTTTAAGTTCTAAATTGGCGGTTTCCATATTTTTAGCAACATCAGGAAAAAGCATACTTACATCTTTACCTCTAGTCATTGCATCTATTATCTATAAATTTTAAATTCAATTTATACTTTTCTAATTGCATCTCTTTTTGATTCAATTTTATTCTAATTCAAAGCATCTTACAATTCTTTAACTTCCTTACCATAACGTGATCTTGAACTTCTATTATTACTTGCACTTGATGCTGAGGGTCGACTCATATAATTTAATTTTAATTTAAAAAATATCTTAATAATAATTCTTCATCTTGTAAAAAAATTTCCTTTGTTATTTCTTGAGTATCCTGGATTTGTGCTCTTTGAATGATAATCATTGATAATATATGGTAATTTACCAACACCAGGTTAATTAGAACTAAATAATCTATTATTATTACTGATTAGCTTCATATTTCTTCAATACTTTTAATCTCTTCAAACTTTGTACTTAATCTAATAATTCAGGTTTCTTTAAAAAAACATCACTATCCCTTATTAAATCTTCTATTATATGATTCTAAATGGTAGTTTTAGGTATGGAACTCGTTCTTTCATCATAAAGCAAACTTTCCTTAAATTATTTTAAACTTATGGCTTTCTTCAATTAAGTTTCAGTTTTTTATTCAATCTAAGGTAAAACATCTTTCTTTTCCTCTTTTGGCGTAATTTCCTAAGGCAATTAAACGTGTTTTTCTTCTTGATGTACAGGTTCAGGTAATCTTTATGTTTTGTAGCCCCAGAATCGATCAATCATTGATACATGTGGAATTTGTTTATCTTTTTCAATCAAATCTTAAACTCTAGTAGAATCTTATGTCAAGCGAACATAATATTTATTATTGATTGGTAATTAATCATCTCTATACCTTGTTGTATTTGGAATTTTCTAATGAATCAATTTATAGTTTTTAGATGACATTCTTTATTAATTAATTAATTTTTGATGGATTAAATTTCTGAAAGGAGAAGACAAAAAATAGAATCAAGAATGAGTGAATAAGATTTAAAAGAAGCTCAATAAATGGAATAAGCAGAAAGTTAAGAAAGCTAATATAAACTAATTTAATAAATAAAAGTCAAATAATCTGAATATAATAGAGGAACTATTTATGTTGCTATTTTAGTTTCTTTTATTACAGCATTATTTCAATTAACAGGTACTGTCATATTCTATTTAGGCTCAAAACCTTAATTAGGATAAATATGGTTTACTGCTCAATTGATATTACTTATAATTCATTATTAATCAACTAAAAAGTTAGATTAAAGATGTAATTTCTACATTTATAATTAATTAGTAAATAATGATGAATTATCATCAACTTTAAAATCATTAATTGGAAACAATTAATTTATTTTGAGCATTCTTAAATACATTTAAATGGCCATGACATTTTTTAGTTACTTCAAGAATGTTGTGATTGGTTTAGCTATATCATAAATAGTGTTTGTGTTAATTGTTACAATGGTATGAGTATAAAATTTTAAATTCATTGAAAATAAAACAAATTTTACTTTTCAATTATTTTTCTAAATGTTCTTCAAATTGATATTACTTTCTTTAAAATTTGTACTTAATACTAATATAAAGAGATATAATTAATTGAATTTATATAAAATTATGGGAGATTTATTTTAAGAAGCTTCTGTTATTTATTTGAAAATATGTATAATTTGTATTGAACACAAAAACCCAAGAGATTTTTATAATGGTGATTATTTATTTTTCTAATAGATCATATTATTTCAATGGAATATGAAACCGTGTTCATTACCTCTGAGTGCATGCTATATTTTAGGTTGAACACATGCTTCAACACATGTCACCAAATCTCTATATGGATACATCTATTTAAAGAATATATGTTAAATGTACACAATTCTTCTCAGGATCAGCATTTTTCAATGATAAGAATGCTTTTACACATCTGTCGTATTTATCATCATACCATTTACATTATGGTCTGCAATATTAAATTAATAATTCTTTTGGATCCTTTCCTTATTCCAACATTGTCTTTATAGCAGATGGATAATTCTCATTAATTTTCCCTTCTCCAAAATTAACTTAATTAGACATTTTTTATCAAAAAATTAATTTAATTAATATCTTTTTTATTATTATATTATATAATTAAAATTGGAATCTCAATAGACAAATCTGCTTGATATTTCTAAATAATCCATTTAATCTGCTACTTTATAAAGAAAATCTAAATCTTCTTTAAAATCTTTTTCAATTTTCCTGTCTTCTTGCAAATGCAGAATCAAAGAAATTTAGAGAAAGTCCAATCAAAATAAAGAAAATGGTCTTTAAATTAATGATATAAAAGAGTTTACATTAGAAATACGTTTTTTCAACTGTTTCATTTCTTCAGTATCATTTTTTTAATTGCCACTATAATTAATAACTTGAATATATATTTTTTAACTTGTTAAGTATAACCAATATAATGAGCTTAGAAAAAGAAGATTTTCCGTTTATTTTCTTTAGGAATAATGAATTCATCTTAAGCTTTATGTTCTTACTCATTTATCTAGCTACAATATTTTCATAAACCTTAACTTCTTCTGGATTAATTTTAAGAGGTTCTTACATAATTTTTTAAATTCTACTTCTACAGTCTTATCTTCAGTAGAATCTTTATATTCTTTTTTTATGAATGTAAAATTGATTCCATCTTTAGTTTATTTGGCTGTGTATATGTATTTTCATCAAATTCATTATTTTAAGATCTTTCTTGATTAACAAATGCTCTTTCCTTTAAAATAGTCTAATCATATGATTATCTTTTTTCAGGAGTCTTAAGAGTATTGTATGCTTCTTGAATAAGTTTGAATCTAAAAAAATAATATTAAAATCTATACCTATTTGAATTATATCCCTTATATACATCTGGATGATAGATCTTGGCTAGTTTCAGATAGTTTTATTTTATCTGTTTTTAGGTACATGTTGCATTGAGTTCAAGAATAGTGTAATAGTTTATTTATTATATACTAAACCTATATATAATTTTGATCATAATTATCTTTAACTTTTCACTATCTATGTATAAAATCTTATAAAATCTTCTTATGTAATTTCTTGTCCATTAGCAGAGGTCACTTTTAAAATTTCTTTTAAGTCTTCTTCTTTAAGATGATAGTGATCCAACTCTTTAGCTAATCTGTTTAAATCTTCTAATTTGATGGATCTATTTGCACTCAAAGTTGTAAATAGCTATTTTAATTATTCCTCTTATTAAGCTTCACCCTAAATAATGAACATATTAATCTTACAATGCATTATACATATAGTTTTAAAAAACTGATAAAATTTAAATCATCATCGATGAGAATCATTTTTGATAATACATTTTAAAATAAAGTTGATTCTTCATTTACTCTCAATAATGTATTTTAAGCTTCTACATCTTTTGTCTTTATATGATTAAAACATCATACTCTTATTGTAAATGTACGTTGACTAGCAAATAAAAGAAATAAATCCAACATCTAATTGACTTAGCTTTCATTTAATCTCTATAAATCCTTCTCCTTACTCCAATTTTTCACTTGATCATCTCTATACTTTTAGATTTCTAATTATTCATCATAATATATACCTTAAGGAGTTGCTTTTTTATAAATTAACATTTAATAATAAAAATATCTGATTTCATTCACATTAATATTCAATAAACAATAAAGAATCAAACATTATATATTTATAATTCAATATTAATCTATTTAAATAACATTCTTCTTATCAAATGCTCAATTTTCATCAAGTAAATTTGAACTATTAAAATAGTTATTATTAATATGAACAAATAAGATAATAGGAAATTGCCTAATCATTTATAATATGATACTGTTAGTCCTGCTACTAAATTATTGGAAAAAAGAAGGAAAATGTATGAAGTACATGAAGCTTTTGAAGCTTAAAGAGAAGAATTTAAAAAGTGATTATTACAAATAGATATAGGTAGGAAGACAAGTTTAAATAAGAGGAAGAGAAGATTCGTTCAAAGGATATGGAAATTTAAGAATCATTAATAAAGTTTTGCAAATTTCTTTAAGATAATGAAGCTAAGAAAAAAAGAGCAGAAGGAAGATTAGAAGAAGAGAAAAGATAAAAAATGTAAAAGGAAAAAGAAATATCAGATTTGAATGGACAATTATAAGAGTTGTAAAAGAAATAATAAAGACTTGAGAAAAAGGGTATGTTTAGGTTTATATCAAAACAGTTACTTCTATGAAAAAATATGAAGAATATTTAGATAGTGTTGCAAAATAATATCCAGAGTAATATCATGATATGTCATCAATTTTAGAAAGACATAGTACACTATCAAGTTAAAATACTAAATTAGTGGAAGAACATTAATTCATGGAAAAAGAATATGAAACATTAAAATACGAATCTACATAATATGAGAAGGAGAAGAATCACGAAATTTTGTAGTTGAATAATGATATAAAAGAATTATAAAAGAAATTAGAAGAAAAAATATCAGAAAGAAATTAACTCCAATAATTAGTTGAGGCATCAGCTAATGAGGCTTCTTCAAAAAATTTAAGTTTAGGAAGAATTTTAATGGCTATTGATAATTTATTTAATAGATGTCAAGAGGGAACTTAAAAGATTAAACATGAATTGGAAGAAACTAAATAAGAAAATAATAAAAAAGATGAAAAAAAAGTAAAAAAGGAAGATAATAAAAAATAATAGAATAAAGATGAAAAAGAAGAAACAGAAGAAGATAATTATGAAGTTAAAAGTTAATAAGCTATGTAAAAACTAAAAATAATATCTTTATATTTAAATGATTTTAAGAAAATAATTTTTGGATGTAAAGAAGATTATAAAAAAGCATAAAATAAATGAATTCAATTTATATTGATCTATATAAATAAAACAACAATAAATTAATCAATCTAGTTTTTTTGTTACTGCAGCTAAAAAGTATTTTCTTTAAGTTTAAGACATAGGAAAACGTCTTGAAGAACGTGCAGTTTCTACAAGATTTATCATCTTATTGGGGGACATAGATTATTTTTAAGGAGTTTCATATTCACTGCCATCATCAAATTATACATTTTTTGATGTCATTAATTCATTAAACTCTTTGAGTAATATTTGCATTATATTTCTCATTTTAATTAAGTATTTTTATTTTTTTTATATAACTTTTGATTTTTCATCTTGTAAGAGTTCAGCTGCTTTGGAATAGTGTTTGTAAATTTTAGGAGAATCTTAATAAAATTTAACTAATTAATTAAGTTAATTATGATTTAAAGCAGGTAATTCATTTTAATTAGAAATTTTGAATGGATCTATTTCATTATCCATATTTTTTTGAAATTAAGAACAATTATCTTAAACTTTTGTCATATCACTATCAATTTATGACTTTAAATCACTTTTGATGAATGTAAACCTTGATTTAATGCAATCAATGCAATTTTCTAATTCAAAATCAATTTAGCTATCTAAATCTTTTTAAGGAGAGCTAGAAACTTTTTAGAATTCAACTTAAGAAATTGTTTCAATTGATTAGTTAACTTACTCCTTAAATTAAGTAGTGGTTTTTCTAATATGAGTAATATGATCATCAAGAAAACAATCAGCACAACCTAATATTAAAATGAAGAAATACCTATTTTTTTTGAAATGCTACAACTTGGATCTACGCATATATATTTAAGACGTTAATTGTCATGATTGGGATTTTAACACAAAGCAATATCCATTAATTTTAATAAAGTAATCACGCGCCAATATATTCGCGGTAATTATATTCAAATTGTGTATTTTTCATCCAATCAAATGCAGTTTTAATTTCTTAAACAGTTTATTACTTTCAAAAGAATCAATAAATTGTTTTTATGAAATAAGCCTATAATCTTTAAGTATAAACATATTTTGAAGCATTATTTAATAGAACACTGCACTTAGAGAAGCATTATATAATTTAATTAAAATTACAAGCACTTTTAATTTATAAATTAAAAACAAAAATCATTTATGTTTTTATTGGAAAGTACTTTCACCTCTTAAATGGATATTTTTATTTTTGATTTTTTAATTTATTTAAGGATTTATTTCAGCTTCATCTTCAGAATTACTGCTATCAGAATCATTTACTAGAAATTGATTACTTTAATGTTTTAAATGTCTCACCTATACATAAGTTAGACATATACTTTAGGATTTCTAGTGGGAACTCCCATTCCTGGATCTCCTTTATTAGGAACCTTAATTTTCTTTTTAAAATTAGGTAAATTTAACAATTTTAATTTAGAAACAAACCCCAAAAATTCTTATAAATTTACATTATTGAAATGGCATTCTTTTGGAGCCTCTGTAATTGTAGATGTAAATTAATGAAATTTTAATAGAATTTCATAATGTTTATTGGTTTCTTGATATATTTCATAAAGAGAAAGTGTGTCGCTACTAGGCAAAGTTACATATTAATCAATTATTTTTTCAATTTCAGTACAAATAAATTTTTAAAATTTACATACATCTTAATAAAGAGCAGTTTGAATTTCAACTAGATTTTGATCATATTATAATAATATTAAACCTGAATTTATTAAGTTTTATATTTTATAATGCCACAAGAACATAAGTTTAGGTTCAATTTAATCTTTTTCATTTACATAGGGATACATAAATTTAGAGACAGCTCTATATAAATCAATATTAGCTGCCAATTTTTATAAATAAACATAACATACTGCCAATTTTTATAAATAAACATAACATAATTGTACATAAATAGTAGCTGGACGATTAGAATCTTCAAATTCTGTAAGTATAATTTGTGATTATTATTTCTTTGGTAAATCAGGTTCTGTTTTAGTAGATTGCCATTCATGTTTTTCTAATTAAATCCAAGGCATTTTAGTTTCTCTTAATTTAATAGCAACTTCTTGAATTAATTCATTAAATTAGAATTATTAATGAATTATTGATAGTAAATGAACTACTGATATAGGATTAAGATCTTTAGAAGTAGTTTGTAAAAAAGAGAACAAATAGTCAATATGTTCTATATAGTAAAAGTTGGTAATTACCTTCTTTTTCCAATAGAAATTGGGCAAGAAGTTCTGCCTTTTATTTTAAATCCATTTTAGCATTTGTTTTGAGTATTTGTGAAAGTAATTCTTGTAATTATTAATTTAATGGAGTATTGGAAACCTATGTATTATAACTAGAACCAAAAATGGATGCAAATTTTGACAATAATGACATTTTAATAAAAATAATTAATATGAAAATATAAAATTAATAATTAAGGTGAATTAGATGATAAGATAATAAAATGTTTTGTTATTAAATTCATAAATTTATATTTATTCAAAAGTCTTTATCCCAATTAGGATCTTTAGCAAGTTATTTATTATACTTGATTTTTTGATTATTTTATTCATGTTTGATTTCTTAAACAACTAATTTATTTTGATTGAATCTTTTTTAAATATCATTTTCAGAAACCATATTTTCTGATTTAGGTATATACTGAAATTATGATTAAATAATTTACAGGAGGTTTAAGTTCTCTACTAAAAAGTTTATCGAAATCAAAATCATCAAACCAAGGATGAGCTTTCAAAGCTGAATAAGATGCTCCTAATCTTGTTTCTGGTTATCTATTCATTAATTATTCCATAAACTTTCTAGCATATTTATCTTTTAAAAATGTAGGATATTTAATTTAAGTATTCATAATTTCTTCATAAATTTAATATGGATCTTCTAATTCTTCTCCAAATGGTACTCCTCCACACATAAATTCATACATACAAATTCCAATACTCCAAAGATCTACACTAAAAGTGTAACCTTTTCCTGCCATTATTTCAGGAGCCATATAATGTGGAGTTCCAATAATTGTATATGTACGACATGCCTTTTATTTTTAAAGTGGTTTTGCTGTACCCAAATCAATTAAATACATAAATCCTTAATAATTTACCATTATATTCTCTGGTTTTAAATCTCTATACACTATACTTTTAGAATTTAAATATTCTATACAAAGAATCATTGTACCAATATAAAATTATGTCTCTGGTTTTGATAATAATCCTATATCTCTTATTACATCAAATAATTCCATTCCTCTGATAAAATCAACTAAAAAATAGATTGACATATCATCTTTAAATGTTCTAAAGAATCCCATAATAAATGGAAAGTTTATCTATTCTAATACTTTTTTCTCTTACATAATATGTTTCTCTAAATTTTATTCTATAACACTAGCTTTGCTTACACTTTTCAAAGCAAATACTTTATTTAATTCTTTATGTTTAACTAAATATACATTTCCAAATTGTCCTTCTCCCAGTTTCTTTATATAAACTAAATCTTCTACTAATATATGAGAAGCATCTTCTCTTTTACCTATTTACTATATTTTCTTTTCATGTGAATTTTCATTCTTCTTTAATGCTGTTTCTAAATCTCCTCCAAAAATCTTAAATAATGCTTAATAAGTTATTGTTGCCAATACTCCATCTCCTACCATTTCAAAACTAGATTCAATAAGAGAACCATAAAGTTCTTTTTATAAAAATTAATCTCCAAAACAAGATCCTTTTGATACTGATTCTTATTTTGAATTTATTAATACTCCTTCTAAAACAACTACTAATTTATCACAAGGTTTTTTTGCTTCAAATATAATTTAACCTTTTTTAAAATTCTCTATTTTAGCTTTTTATGAAATCTTTTCTAATTATATTTTAGTTAACTATTTTAAAATCTCACTTTTTTCAAAACTCCATCTCATAATATTATTGAATATTATAAGTTAAATTTTATCTCCCAATATCTTTGTCAGATTCTCTCTTCCTAAAGCAACACATTTAACTTCAGTTTCTGCTTTGACTGTTGCACCTCTTACTGATTTTTCATAAAGAGCTTATTCCCTAAAAAATGGATGAAAATAATAATTTACCCAAAACTATCTTTTGCACCCATTTTCCTTATTAATTTATCTCCTTTCAATATTTATACTTAACCACTTTTTATAACATAAAATGAATCTGCTTAATCTCCTTCATTAACTATATTTTATCCTGGATTAAACTTTGTTGTAATCAATGCATGTCCTATCATATCTCTTTATTCAGATGTCATAAATGAAAAGAAATTTACCTAATACAAAATCTATTCATACTTAATCTATAAATCTCCTATTTTCATCATATTCTTTTAATGTTATTTCTTCAATCGTTTTCTTAAAAGTAGCTCTTTCTAAACTCCAAAATCCACAATTACTAAGTGCTTTTGTTGAAGCAGATCTAGTAGCATTATATAATAAAGCTATTTCACCAAATTAATCTCCTTCTTTAAGAATCCTTATTGGATTATCATTAATAATAATTTAAACCTCTCCTCTCTCAATAACAAAATATGCACTTGCCTACTTATATCATTTACTATTTTAACCTAATTCCCTTATTTAAATACAAACTCTCCTGCTTTTATTGTACAATAAAACATATTTTCTATTAATTTTTATAACGAATCCTCTGGAAGACTAAAAAAGACAAAATGATTTTTAAAGCTTTTTATGATTAGATCTACATCATTTTCTGAGTTATGAAAATTATAAATTTTATACATTGCATCTCTTTTTCAACTCTTTTTACATTTTCTATTATTTAACCTTCAACATCCTCTCCTCCTCTATATTTTTTTTACACTTTTTTTTAAGCTCTTGCCACAACATTCTCATTTTCTTATGGAGATTACATTTAAATTAAGTCACTACCATTTTTAAATATTCCAAATACTTTTTAATTGCTTCTTCATCAGCAGTAAAACGATGTTTCATTTCAGCTTATATTAGTAACTTACCAATATTATATATATTATACTTTAGGTATTTTTTTACCTATCAAGTCTTCTATTTCTGCTGTGTTTGAACTTTTCAAAGATTTTGACATCTGATCAGGTTCAGCAGCTGGTTACGATGATCCACAACCCATATTAAAATAATAATTATATTTTTTATATGTATTTTAATGTAATATTGTATTGTATCAATAAACGTTTCCTTCAAATGTTTATTTAAACCATTCTACAGCTTCTTTTTTAGTCACTCTTTATTATGTACCCAATCTTGAATTTCTTGATTTTCTTTAAGCTACTCTCAATCCTGGTCTTGATAACACAACATAGAAATCCATGCCAAATATACCTATTAAATATATAAATATAAATATGTTACCTGTATATGGATCATATTTTAATCCCAAATCAATATGTTCTTAAATACCAAATCCAAAGTTTCCTGAATCAGAAAAGTTTCTCTTCTTTAATTCCATTTCTTTCACTCTTAAACCTCTAACAAGAATGTCTCTAGCTTAATCACCTCTAATCGTGCAATAGACAGAAATTTTCTCATTTCTTCTAATACCAAATGATCTCACTGTATATCTTGCTTTTCCAAAAACAGGTTTCTATCCTGTAAGATCCTCTAAAACTTTAGCAGCCTTTGTCAATTTATCACCTGATTCACCTGCACATATATGAACCATCAATTTTTCAATTCTTATTTTTCTCATAACATTCTCCTTTGTTTCTTAAGGTTTTGCAACTTTTCCTTATGCACCTGGTTATGGCTTTGCATCAGTTTTGCTCTAAGCTCCCTTTCCTCCCTTTTAAGCCTATTAAGACATCTTATTTCCTCAAATTAAATTAAAAAAAAATCTTTATATTTGAAATACACTATCAAGCAAGATATTAAATGCAATATATATATATAATGTTTTACTAATATATGTACTATTTTGTTTATACTGTAATAAATTCATCATTCTGATTCTTATTGGGTTTATTCCTTTTCGATTTATCCTTACTTGATAAGATTTAAAGCACTTTAATCTTCAGCTTGACCGTGTCTTCTAACTGTACCCTTAGATCTTTGGGAATCATCATAGAATTCTCTCAATTTTTAAGCTAAACATTTAATCTATATCATTACCATCAACCTTAGGTCTCTTTACCAACTTCACTTTTCTTAATGTAATATTTTAAAGTGGGAAGATAGCTCTTGTGGCTTTTAAGATTTCTTTTGAAAGAGCTTCTTGATTGAAAAAATTAAGTAATTAGGTGATGCTTTTCTTTGAGACTTCCTTTAAGACAATTTCAACAATCTTTTTTCTAATATCTTTTATTTGACTTCTTTAAGCATAGGTTGTTTTTCTTTATTGATTTTTAATACTCTTGGTGAATGCAATCATAAAGATTCTCAAAATATATCCATCTGATGATCTGGCTTCAACTTATGTCTAATTTAAGAAATATAAATTGTAAGTACCTCAATTAAAGTTTATCGCTTTTTAATCATTCCAAAGATCTTATCTTTTGTTGAATCAAGGCCATAGAAAGAAGTTCTGCATCTTGTGCCTTCAACATCATCGATAACTAATTTAACTTTTCTCCATGCCATTTGATCTGATTATCCTTGAAGGTCAGCCAAGGATGCCTCAACAACTCTTCCTTTGATAGCTTCAGTTGCGACCACTAAAAGGTTTAATAATAATTAAGAACCTGTTCCTGCAGATTTATTAATACAAGTATAGCCAAATCCACCTGCGCTGAAGGGGACTGGAGCAGTTAATTCAAACCATTCCTTTCTAGCTAATGGATCGATGGTCTTTTTTTATCCCTTCTTCTTTCCTAATTTCTTATTCTTTCCTTGAGTCATGCAAAAAGATTTTGATTTTTTTTAATTTTTTCAAAAATTTATTATATTGATATAGAAACATTGATAATATATATAATTAAATTTAATTAAATGAATTCATCATCAATCCAAAGTGAAATAGGTAGGTATACAGACATAAATCACATATTTGAGACAGTATAGAAACGAGGTTATCTAAATCAATTAGTAACATATTTGGAAGAGGTCTTTACAAATGAAATAAACTTTGCATCTCAAAGTAATATAATTTTTGCATCTTTCTAAAAGGACTTAAGGAAGTGATTAGTGTGATGTAAAAACAAGGATAAAAAGTAGAATACTAAATTTAATTAAATCGAAATATTCAAATATTTAAGAGTAACTTTGATTTAATTTTAACTGCTACATCAAACAATGTTTGGAATCAAATAACAAAACAAATGAATTAGCTACAAGATGATACAATATAACTAAATAATAATAAATCAGAAATAATATCTTCAGTTTCTAGAAAAATGGAGAGATAATCAGAAACTGATCTTAAAAAAATGACATTGAGTTAATCTTATGTTAGTAGATCCCCTAGTAAAATTTCAACAATAAAACAGTAATAAACAATTCCATTGAGTGAAATGTCAATTTAAATGAGAGGATCACCAACTACATTTAATAAAGCAAAAAGATAATTAGATAATAGTTTAACAACTAGTTCTCCTGGAGTAGGTAGATATAGAACTGATGTAGCTGAAAAACGTATTAGTTTTATTTAAAAATTTAGACATTAGAGAAACATCTCCAAATGCAACAATAGGAAAATCAGCTAAGATAAGTTGGATAGATGAAAAACTTTAAAAAGAAGATGCTCATTCTCCAGGACCTATATACAATCCAGTTAAAACATTTTGTTCTAAACGTGTTAAATGAAATGGTTATTCATACATAATATTAATAAACTTCATCCCCATAGTTCTTTAATAATTATTTTTTATTCTTCTAATTCATTTACTTTTCTATAGGCTAAATAAGGCATCACTTTTCTTATTTATTTAAACATATTTTCTATTGAAATCTGAACATCTCTTCCCATCTATGTAGATCCACATACATATATTACACCATTAGATTCTAAAAATTAATTAACAAATTCAACATCTAAAAAGTTTGTGATTCTTATCTATTATTAAAATATATTATATTAATATACCTATTATCCTTCTCTAGAAAATGCAACTTTTAATTAATTTAAAGTACCATTCTTCTCATATTCTTCTAATTCCTCTTTAAATAAATAATCATTCTAAGTTCTGCAACCAAAAAATAATGTCATTGGACCTTTAAATGGACTTTAATCTAATTTATTTTATTCAATATATTCATCTTTTTCTTAAATAATAGCTCTCATTGGAGCTAATCCTGCTCCTATCCCTAATAATAATATAGGTGCCTAAGGATTTTAAGGTACTTAAAATGCAGAATCTTATAAATAACATTTTATTTCCTATCCAACTTTCACATTTCTTAAGAATTAAGAACATAATCCCAACTAAAATATATTTATAAATTATTTTTTACTCTCTCTTTATTTATTAGTAATTCACTTGCAATTATTTCAATCTTATTTGGATATTTTAATGGACTTGATGCAATTGTAAAATATCTAGCTGATATTAAAGGACATAATTCTATTAATTATTCTAATGGAATATTTTTAATATTATATTTTTTCACTAAATTGAAAAAACATTATCGAGTTTATAAATAATCTGTATCATATTATTCTCTTCCTTTATGTGATGAAACAAACTTTAATTCCTCTTTTGCTTTTGGATCATCAACCAATAATGATAATGTATATAATTATTTTTTAGTAATAGGTCCCAAAAAATCACAATATTTCTTTAAATAATTATAAACACTTATAGGAGTTTAAAATGGATGATTTCCTTTTGTTTCAATTTAGAAGAAAAATTTAAGATCTAAATTTAACATAGAACATAATTCTTATATATTTTCTTCACTATTTTCAGGATATATTGCTATATTCTAAGCTGCTTTATAAGGAATATTCTAAGCTTCTAAACTTAAATAAAGTGTAGAATTTCCAAGACTTGGAGCTTTACGTAATTCTTTGATTTCAATAATCTTAAGAGAGTGTGATTCTTTATATTTTTATGCTTAGAATGACAATGTTTCTCCAACAATAACATCAACATTATCAAATTCTTTTATTCTATAGATTGAACTTTAAACTTAGTTTGCAGGAACACTAATCAAAGGAGATAAAGATTCTAATGTAGCAAACAATCCACTTTCTACCCATACTGAATAATCATTATCAGTAGTTTCATCACAAGAATTTCCTTTTCCTAATTTAAATATTCTTGTTGCTCCGAGTTCTTCTAATCTTGCATCTGTCTTTACTCCCATACCACAAAAATGTTCATGTTTTGTATTTCCCAAAGCAAATACTGAAAAATGAACTCCTTGTAATTCATTTTATTTTCTATCCTTAGACTATAACCAATTATTAAAATCTATTGCATCACTTGTTGGACCACCCATTCCATATGTTGAAACAAAGAATATATTCAGTCTTGATTATATGAATTAGTCAGAATTGAACTCTTTTAAATTGAATACTAATTATGGATATATATATTTATTACTTTTTGGTATAAATTTATGTTAAATAGCTTCATCTGCAAATTAGAATGCTAAACGTGAAGAATTCCCAGATGTAGTACCATAATATACATTTATTATTTCTCTCGTATCAATTGTTTATTACATATTTAATTAAATAAATAAATTTATACGTATAATATTATGAGCATTTATATACTCATCTATTTTAATATCATTTTATTTAAAATATATCATTTATTATCACAAATAAATAATAAACATGTTGATTCATTTTTTTAATTTTCTTGTTTAAAATAGCTTTTAATTAGAAATATCAATTATATCAACATTAGTACTAATCAAATATGATTAAAGTAAACTATTAGGACAAGATTAATGTTTAAATTTTTAAGATTTCTAAGCATCTATTGAATCTGTATATAATTGATTTAACTTAAATTCTGTATAAGAAGCAAATGATTCTTGATCTTAATATCTTTATCTATCAGTGTAACAATTATCAGTTATTATTTACAAAGGTTATGTCTTTTATGATTTTATTATTTTAATGGAAGCTCCTTTGTATTAATTTTTATGGAATAAATTCTAAACTCTATATTATTACTATAATAAAATAATTACATACTTTAACAGCTGTTTATTATTATTGATATTCTTATTACTTCAATTATTTTCTTACTTAATTTTCTAAATATTAAAATTTTTTATTATCATCTGTGAGTCTTAAGAATCTCTCCTTCTATAAATAATTTAATTCTTTATTTTTTTCTAAAAACACACATACTTCTCTCTCTATTTAAGATTCTACTTGCATAGGATCCTTTTCAGTAAAAAATCTCGATATTTTTCTTGATTTAACTTATGAATTTTCTTATGTTTTTGTATCATCAGCCTTTGTAGATTAAGTAACACCACTCCTATTTATTGTTGGATGAAGTTTATTCCCAATTTGACAATATCTCAGAATTACTCTAGACTCCTTCTTTATTTCTTATTTTTTATTCCTCTCTCCACTTAAAAGTTACATAACCATTTCCAATTTCTATTATTTTTTCTACTATTCTTAATCACTTTTCTTTTTCTTATATTTATTTAACATTCTTTTGAAAATGTGTGAATATTATTGCAATTTTGCGATATCTTCAGATTTTGCAATCTATTCTCTTCTATCTATTATATGATCAATTAATTTTATTCTTTGTCTATAAGTGCTTAATCCTTCAACTGCTTATTTAATCTAAACTCGAGAGAAAACATCCGAAATTTTGTTATATGTTTTCGAGATTTAATAATTCATACTGAAGTCTGTTATTAATATTTTTATATAATTTTGACATATTAATTTAGAAATAATAAGCTAAAATAATTCTCATCTATTAGTTAAATCAAAACTTAAACCTATTTTATCTCTCGCCTATTTCCATTATTTAAACAATTAACTTTCTACTTACAACATAATTAATTTAATTATTATTCTTTTTATCAAATTGCTATAATTGTTAATGTTATATAACAAAGATTCTAATTAAAGAATACCTTAAACAGTTTCCTTTAGTATTTCATACATTTTTTACGCTGAATCTAATATAACACTATTACACCAATAATAATTATCATAAAAAGTTAAAAATTTTTCATCTTTGAATTTTATTCATAATTCACCAATAATAAAATCTATATCCTAATTAATTACAGCCATTAGTTTTTCTTTTATAATAGGCTTTAACTAACTTCTTCTTAAAAACTAATTCTTTTTATTAAAGCTTAAGCACAGCTTTCATTTTGTATAATAATATTAGAAACTTAATTTTCTTCGATTTATCAATTTTTCACATCTTTTATTAAAATTAATTAATAAATTTCAAACTATTACAATTTATTTTATCTTAAATATACTTAAATAGAAAGTATTATAGATAATAATTCTTGTTGTTTTAATACACAAATTCATCAAATTAAATTTAAATTATTATATTTATAATACAAATAATTGATAAAAAAAAGCTAAACGAACTTAAAATCTAGGTAATAATGATAAATATAAAAATATGAAATTCTGAACTTCATTTTTGGTAATATTAATCAAAATATTCTTAAGCCCCAGTTCTTAAATAAAAATTTGAACAATAATTGATAAACAGAAACCAAAACTGTATAGGCATATAGTATTCAACTCCATCTTAAGTTGATTTATATATCTTTTGTAATTATAACTATAAATAATAAGAGCTTTTAAAATAATATGAATTTCATCAAATTATTTGTAATAAGAAATATTTTTAATAATATCATTTACTCATGATCGTTTTAAAGTGAAAATTATTTAAATACCGTTATCATTTATAATATTTTTCATGAATAAATAAATATGCAAAAATAAATTTCATAAAATAAGATATTCCTTAGCTATTGATTATGAATTGATTTATTGAAAAACACAAAAGGAATTTCTTCAATTTTCAATTTATAATCAACTGTAAGGAAAAAACATTTGTTTTATTAAGGTCAATATTAAGATCTGTGGTTGCAGCAACAGACATCATGTTTATATTAATGTTAGGACGCCTTTAAAATCATCATAGATCACCTCTATTTGTTATTCTTCAATTTTTATTCTCAAATTAATCAAGGAAGTTAATTTAACATAAAAAAGATGATAAGTATCTGATTTATTTTTATTTTATTAAAAGTTATAAATTTTCATAAAATAATTAAAATATAAGTTGAATAAATCGAAATTTATTTAATTTGATATAAAGTCATATAGCTTTTTTATTGAGTTTAGAAGTATATTAAAAATTATTTGATAAAATCAAATAATATGGTTTAATTAATAAAATGTTACGCACTATGAGGATTTAGTGATTAATTTTTGGTATATTTTATTTCTGAATTTGAAGATTTTGTTTTTAAACATTAAAATATTAATGGAGTTTGTAACAGCACTAGTTTTCATATTTATAGCTTGTGGTTGTGGAATAGCATGGGCAATATTTAATTGGATTGCAGTTCATAAAATAGAGATTCATCATAAACATGAAGGATTAACAGAAAAATTATAAGGAGCAGAATAGGAGAAAATCGAAACACTTTTAGAAATAGGTGAACATATTTCTGATGTAAATATCTAAATTTAATTATGAGGGTGCTTAAGCCTTTTTGAGAGAAGAATACACAGACTGCAGTGTTTTTATAGCAATAATGGCTGTAGCTTTGATTGTAATTCTATAATGTAATATAATTAGTTTGTATCCCCATGGTCAACTTTGGCATTCGTTTTGGGAGCAGCAACATCAATGCTTTGTGGATATTTAGGTATGGCAATAGCAACAGCAGCAAATTTTAGAACAGCATTTTGTGCCATAAGATCTTTAGCAGATGCCTTTTAGGTACATATAGAATTAAAATTATTTAGATGGCATATAGAGGTGGTTGTGTTATGGGATTCTTGTTAGTATCGATTTCATTGTCAATTTTATCACTCATCATCATCATTTACAATTCTGTTTTAGTTAAAGAAGGAGATCTTGATAGCTTGATATCAATGTTTGATTATGTAGCTGCTTATGGTTTAGGAGGATCTACATTTGCATTATTTGGTAGAGTTGGTGGAGGTATTTATACCAAAGCTGCTGATGTTGGTGCTGATTTGGTTGGTAAAGTAGAAAAGAATTTACCAGAAGATAGTCCAAAGGTATTTTAATATAAAATATATATGATAGAATCCAGCCACAATTGCTGATAATGTAGGAGATAATGTTGGAGATATTGCAGGTATGGGAGCAGACTTATTTGGATCATTTGCTGAATCTACTTGTGCTGCATTAGTTGTTTCATCAACATAATTAAGAGTAATAAGTGGTGATGGACCTGTTTCAATTTCAATAGGAGAATTAATGTATCCATTGATGGTATCAGCTTTTGGTATTGGTATTTGTATTTTGGTTTCTGGATATGCAGTATTCATTTAAAAAGTTACTGATATTCATAAAATTGAATCATCTCTTAAATTATAACTGTTATTGTCAACTGTAGCATTATCACCAATAATTATTGGAATTTCATATTGGGCATTACCAGCAGATTATATGATGATTTAAGCAGATGGAACACCATTATTAGAAAACCTAAAGCCATGGCATGCATTTGTTTGTTCATTGATGGGATGTAATTAATAATAATATATTTATTTAGTATGGTCTGGTTTATTGATTGGATATTTCACTGAATACATGACTTCCCATTCTTATACTCCAGTAAGAGAAGTTGCTAAATCATGTGGAACTGGAGCAGCTACTAATATTATTTATGGATTAGCTTTAGGTTATTTATCTACGATTGTTCCAATTGTTGCAATAGCTGTTACAGCTTTATTATCAATGAAATTATTATCATTCTATGGTGTTGCCTTAGCTGCTCTAGGAATGTTATCTAATTTAACTATTGGATTAGCTATTGATGCTTATGGACCTATTTCAGATAATGCTGGTGGTATTGCAGAAATGAGTGAATTGGGAGAAGATGTTAGAACATCTACTGATGCATTAGATGCTGCTGGTAATACTACAGCTGCCATTGGAAAAGGATTTGCTATAGGATCTGCAGCATTAGTCTCCTTATCACTTTATGGCGGTTATTTGACAAGAATTTAAACATATAAAAATGATGATGGTGATTACCCTTATGCAGTAGGCGCGAAAATTGATGATCCAATTATCTTTGCAATGTTGTTAATTGGAGCTATGTTACCATATGCTTTTTCTGCATTCACTATGAAATCAGTAGGAAAGGCTGCTTTATAAATGGTTGAAGAAGTAAGAAGATAATTACATGAACATCCAGGAATTTATGCTGGAACTGAAGAACCAGATTTTAGAGCTTGTATTGCTATCTCAACTAAAGCCTCATTAAAAGAAATGATTCCACCAGGATTATTGGTATATATCTATCAAACTAAAATTAGGTTATTGTTACTCCTACTGCTGTTGGATTATTATTTGGTCCTTAAGCAGTTGCTGGTCTATTACCAGGTGCTTTAGTCAGTGGAGTTTAGATGGCTATCTCTGCATCAAATACAGGAGGAGCATGGGATAATGCTAAAAAATATATTGAAGCTGGATTTTATAAAAACGAAGCTGGAGAAGTTAAGAAGAAGGGATCAGATGAACATAAAGCTGCTGTTATTGGTAATATATTAAACCTAATAATTAGGTGATACTGTTGGTGATCCCCTTAAAGATACATCAGGACCTTCTTTGAATATTCTAATTAAACTCATGGCTATTCTATCATTAGTTCTTGCTGAAACATTTTGCAAAACTGGATGGTTATATTCTGAATGATTATCATCTTATTTTGTATTGTACAACATTTAATATATAAATAATTTACAATTCATTTATTATTATTTATTTATAATAATTATTATTAAAAATCAATTCAAGTCTCTAAATCTATATATTTAGCTTTCTTCCATTTTTTTATTATTTCATTTAATATACAATTTTCTAATTTTCTATATTTCATTAAATTTATAATTTTCTATATTCAAGATTCAAATATATTTTCTTAAAGTGAATGCCAATATAAACATATTTATCAATATAAATTAAATCAACCAATTTTATATCTCTCTTAAATTTTCATCATTCTGAATCTGTTAGAAATTTCCTTAAGAGATGGTAATTACCCTTCTTATTTAACAAAACACTTAAACTCTGAGTTAGGATGATTTTATTTTCTTAATTCTAATAAATACTTTTGAGATATTAAATCTAGTAACTAGTATTTATTTGGATAATTTTGATGTATTTACTATTTAATCATAATCTTCAAAGAAATAATTCCAGAATATTTAAAAGTCATTACAATGTCATAAATATAAGCATACATTTTATAATATTTTTAATAATCAATTGAATTTTTCCAATTCACAAACTTACAAAATTATTAAAGATTTGATTAATAATTAATTCTAACTCAAGATAACACTTTGTTTGATAATCCTAAGGTTTTTACAAAGTTTTATTTAGAAGTGTGTAATATTCTTTGATAAAAGCAACTAGTTGATTTAAGTAATTTGATAGAATTGACTCTTTAATTTTGAGATATGTTATTGTTATTCATTTATAGTATTAAATAATTAATAATAATAAATGTCTAAGAAATCTACATTTGTATCAATTGGAAGAGAGATAGAATAAGCAAGAATGACAAAGTCTTCTGGGTTTAGTGATTCTTTAAATGAAAAGGAACTTCGAAATAGAGCAAACAGTTTGTTACAGAAACCTTAATTGAAGAAATTTTACAAGAATAAGAAAGATGGAGCCATAATAAAGCCAAACAAGATTGCAGAACAGTTAAGAAATACTTTTATAGATAAATTAAACTAAACAAACTTAGAAAATGTTGCTCCTCCTAAATCTACAGTCTCACATTAATCTTCAACGACTACACAAGCATTTTGCTTTGAAATAGATTTTGATTGGTTAGATTATTGTGATGAGTAGAAGTTCAAATAGATATTTAAAGAAGACTTAAAGGACATACCAGATGTTGAACAATATGTAGAAGATAATTAATCATATCTATGTCATATATTTGCTTAATGTGCTTGTGCTAAATGTACTTGCAATAAATGCATATGTTAATACAAAAAGAAATTAGAATTAAATTATGCATATGGAATGCTTACAACTAATAAGTTTGATTATGTACCAAAATAAAATAAATGTTTTACTCCAATAATAACACAATCTCATTATGATAATATTGGATTACCAGTAGCATCTATGCAATTCAATTCTACATAGAGAGATAATTATAAATGGATACCATAAGATAGACCAAGAACAGCTGCAAAATCTATGTATGAATCTCACAATTTGCCAACTGGATAAACCACAAACAATGTATGAATTCATATTCAATAGTCTTGCTCACTTTTATAAATTGGAAGGACTATAATCTAAATATTTTTAAGGCTCCCCAATTTCGTACTACTGTCAAAACTAATCTAATGGCAAGAACTAATTATAGAAATCAATTTATTTGGAAAGTTAAAGATGAAAATTAACCAACAGCTGATGATATTAAGTAAAAATAATTTCAGTATAAATATTATAATATCTAATAGTTAAACTATAACCAAAATATTTCCTAATCAATAACGTTCTGTTTATTAGGAATCTTTTGTTTATAAAAATCAAAAACCAATTAGGGTATTCGTGAAGCCTGAAGAGATTTAAACTTGTAATGCGTATTAGGGTTAGTTTCTAACTACTAAATAGATGGATTATGAGGGTAAATAACATACAGTCAAAGAAATCTTATAAAAACCATGGAAAGGAAGATTGATAAAAAAATTATAAAATATTTTATGATTTTTTTTATATTTTATTAATTATTCTAAATTTAGAATATGTATGTATAAATGTAGACTAACATTTGTTTAAATAAATAATTCACAAATCTTATTTTTAAGCAGAAATACCATTATCTTCAATAAACTCTTTTATTGCTTCTACAGTTCTTTTACCATTATATTATATTTATTACACCCTAGTACTATCTTTCTTGAAATGAATTAAAGTAGGAAATCCTTTGATTTCAACAATTGGAATTTTATGAATAGTTGCATCTAATTCAGCAATTAAAACATTTTCACTATTTTTATATGATTCTGCTAATTTTACATATTCTGCTGACATAGCTTTACAATGTCCACACCAAGGAGCATAAAATTTGACAAATACATCTTATTTACTTTTTAAAACAATCTATTCAAAATTTTCAGATGTTAATTAAATAACTTATCCATCATTAGGAATTTCAACTCTATCAGATTCATTAACTTTTAATGATTCTTCTGTTAATTAATTTTCTGATTAATTATTATCTAATTATTTCAATAAGAAATGTTTCATTCCATCAACTGATCTTGCTCCATCAAACATTATTTATTTCTTTTAATTTCCTTCAGACTTAAAAAATATTAAAGTAGGATATCCTTAAATATCAATACCTTGAATTCTATGAACTGTATAATCAACTTCAGCAATCACAATATCTTATCTACCTAATTCTTAAGCTAATTCTTCATAAATAGGTGCTAATTATTTGCAATGACCACACCAAGGAGCATAAAATTTAACAAATACATGATTTGGATTCTCATATACTTATTCATTAAAATTCTCACTTGTTAAAACTTGTACATCTCCATCTCCTTAGAAATATTTTTCAAATTCAGATTTTATAGTTTCTTTACCATTAATCAATTCTGTAATTAAATTCTAAAAGATTTATTCATTTGTTTCTAATGACTCCTCTTCAAACTAAGCAGTCTTAGTTTTTTAAGTACTATTAAATTTAAATCTAATAAATTACTTATAATTATAAAAATAAATAACATTTTTTAGTAAAGATTTCTTCTTAATTAAATATTATAATCTTTTTTGAGGTAATTCTTAATTTGGATCAATAAGAACAAATCTAATTTTATTTTTATATTATTCTGCCAACTTATTTAAAGTTTCACTTAAAGGACTATTTTTAACACCAATAACTCCTACTAAATTTATTTTATCTTTCGCTGCTTTAAGAAATTCTTACTCTGTAAATGAAAATATATCTAAATAACCATTTGTTGATATCCATTCTTATAATCCATTAAATTCACCATCATAATTTAATAGTTAAGGCAGTTCTTTGTGATATAATGTGTATTTTGATGGATGAGCCTTTTAAAGTTCTGGATTTACAACAATACCATATTTAATTCCTAAATCATCCTTAGCTAATAATTGTAAATCATCATCATTATTAACATATTTAAGTATAGCAAAATTAGATCTTTTTATAAATAAATCAATCTAAACTTTATTAAATATTATATACTTCTTCTTATGTCTATAAATTAGTAAACTAATTATAAGCATTTTAGAGGGCAAACTCAAATAATAATTAGACTGAATCTGAAGAGTTAGGAAAATCTTAAGAAACACCATCTTTGAAAAGTTTAAGGGTTGGATAAGATTTTGCATTATTTTTTGCTGCCAAAACTTTATGTTCTTAAGCATTTACTTCACCTAAAACAAATCCATATTCTTTTAACATCTCTGCTAATTTAATAAAGACTGGTTTCATCTATCCACTTTTTAAGATTAGTTTAATATCAATACCAATATTTGCATTCTTCGATATAGAATTTTACTAATAATCTTGGATTCTCATTGATAGCTTATTAGAAATTTTTTCTTGTTAGTTATAATACACCATCAATTTCTTCAATCTGTTCTTTTGAAAGGACAATAAGGAGAAGTGTTAGGAAGAAGAAATGTTTCATAGAAAAAAAATATTTTTTATTTTTATTGCGTGTTCCATTAATAGCATTTAATGAAGAATATTCTAGATATAAATTTTTATGTTAATTTAAATTAAGTTGTTTGTAATCATAATAAATTTATCTAATAAAGTCCTTAATAATTATTAAATGGGAGTTTCTTAGGTTCAAATACTACATTTTCAATATCCTTAGTGATCTCTTTATATTATTCAATTTATTTATCAATTTTGAGAATTACTTCAAATTTAGGATATGAAAATTAAAGATGTCTATTATTCTAAGAAACTAAAAATTTAGTAATCTATTCATATCCTCTTAATTATGCTAATGATTTAATTATTTATACCTAAATCAATTGCATTATAACCATATTTTCCTATTTTATCAATTTAAGCACCTCTTTCAGTAAGGGTTTTAATAGCCTCAATTTGCCAATTAATAACAGCTTAAATAAGAGGAGTACGACCTTGATTATCAATTTCATCAATTGAGGCTCCCCTTAATAATAGATAATCAATAATGGCTGTACGATTTAAAGAAGCTGCTAAAGAAAGAGGAGTGAATTCATATTTAATAGAATTCAAAGAATTAGGATTCTAATCTATAGCCAATTTAGCTTCATTAATATCATTATCACATATTGCTTTGATTAATCTATAATCTGTAGTATGATGATGAACTGAATCAGGATTTGTATGCCATGCTGCATTGATTATCCTATTGAATGGACTTGAAAAAGGATTAAAAGTTTCTGTTCCATCATATTAAGTTCCTACATACTGAGGTAATTCCCAATTTAAAAAATGTTTGACTTTTGGAGGTAAATAGGGAAGCATTCTTAAAATTACAAAATAATGTAAATTTATATATATTTAATTCAAAAAGCTTATTTAAGTGATCCACGAATGCTATTAGCATTATCTACATTGTATTTCTATTATTCCTCTTAATCTATTAATTGATGTTAAACCATTACTCTTTTTTAATTTAGGTTGGATCTAATACATTTTGATCTGATTACTACGAGGAATGTCATCATCTTCATTAACATTGTAATCATTCTCTTCCAAAATGCATTCTTACTTTTAAACCTTAACGGATTGACTCTATTATCTGAAAGTATTTCCATTTTATTCTTCTCTATTAATGTCAGCTGTATTTGATTTGCTTCTCATCTATGGAGTAACACTTAAAGGAGTTGATGTTAATGATTAATTAAGTTCTTAGCCCATCAATGGTGTTCTAGCATATAGATCTGAATTTCTTTTATGTCGTGGTAGGTTTTCTTCACTGAATATTCTATAAGATAACAAATTAGTACAGATGTAATTAATAATCTGCTTGTTTCTAAAACCATTGATGTTAAAGTGCTAATTCTGTGCTGATTCTTAAATCTGGATTCTTTTCAAGTAAGGATTTTAATAAATGAATAGCTTCTTCACTTAGAGGATGATTGTTTATTAAACTATATTCGATTTGACAATGGTAGTTTTTCATCACTATCTCATCATAAGACTTAGCCTTAAATGGTGATGCACCAGTTAACATTATAAACATGAGCACACCTGCACTAAAGATGTCAACCTTATAATCATAGATTTTATCTTGCAATAATTCAGGTGCAACATATCCTGGTGTGCCACATCGTTTAAACATGTAATCACCTGTTGGATTATAAAAGTCAGCTAAACCAAAATCAGCAATAACAACATCTGTCATATCTCCTTTTGTTCTTAATATAAGGTTTTCAGGCTATTTGGAAATGATCATTTACTTTGATGTCTCTATGTAATACTCCCATCGAATGTATATAATCAATAGATTGTAAGATTCTATAAATGATGTTAGCAACAGTCTTTTCATCATAGGCTTTACCCTTCATCTAATTGAATAGTTCTCCTCCTTCTAATAATTCACAGACCAAAAAAATGTAATTGTCATTTTCATAAACCTCATACAATTTGATCACTCCTCTGAAATCCATCTTTCTCATAATGGATAACTCCTTTATTAATGCAGGCTTATAATATGTAAATCTTCATTTCTACCTTATCAATTCGAATGTCTTGAAATTTCAGTTTGTCAAATGCCTTTACAGCATACAACGATTGATCGCTCTTTTTTTATGCACTATAAACCTTTTTACTTATCATATAACTTTTACCTTTGCAAAATTACCCTTCCCAATTAATTTGTTTATGGAGTAAACATTGTTAAACCCTCTTTAAATGCAAAACGATTTCAGATAATCATACCATACTATTTGTGCTTATTCATTATGGGCAAACAACTCTATTGTTTTTCGATTCTTAGTCAACTTAAAACCATAATGTTTCAGTTTATCCAATGTCACATTTTAAAGATCTATATATTTTTTATTATTTGCTAGTTTTCCATCTTATATAAAATAGTTGATCTCTTTCTAAACTCCTTTTTTTGAATTTTTTAATAGAGTCCCACTTATTATTGGATCTGACATCTAAATAACTTCTTTGATCCACAATTAGGATTTTGGATCATCAAAAAATGATATTTTTGGTAAATTCATCTATAATGTGTTTTAATTTTACAAAACAGAGAGAATAAACAACATAAATTAGAGTATAATAAATTATATCTATATTTAGGGTTTCATTATATAATGCAGCTCCAACATTCCTTATTTTATTACTTTTACTGAAATTTTTGTAGATAGATGTTCTCATCATCGAATTTTATCAATTAAAACGGTTTCAGTAACAATGTTAATTTTGTTTTATATTTATGACATTTCCTATTATGAAATCATAATCATACTTATATAATTTTTCATATTAATCTCTTAAATATTTTTATCTAGTTCTTAAATAACCATTTACATCATCTAAACAAGTGATCTTCATTTCTAGATTAATGTATTTATTCTTGCCATTAATCTTTAATGGAAACTACTTTGAATCTTCATTTAAATGTGTGAATGGATCCAAATTACGTTAAGCTATACATATTTACTCATTATCATATTCTTAAAACAAATTTATTTGTAAAGTTCCAATATCTATATTCAAATCTATTATCATCTCTTATTCAAAATTTAATCTCTATGCAACTGTCTCAACATTTCCCTTAATCTTTCTTAACAATGTTTAATAGGATAATTCTAATGTATAAATATAATTTTTATCATCTTTCTAAAAATCTAATATATTAAATTCCTCAACTTTTAATATTTAAAATGTTATTTGCATTGATTTATTTGCATCCATTTCCTCATAACTAATTTTATCCTAAACTATTTTTGATATTCTTTTATCTATCAATTATAATTGTTTCACTTTCTCCAAGTGTTATTTGTATTTCACAAATACATTATGAATCTAAATTTAAAAACATTCATTGTTACTTCAACAGCATAACTATGAAGAAAACTATCTAAGGAAGACTTGCAATTAACTTAATCTGTTTGATCCCATATCTTTTTCTATTCCCTTTAATTATTTAGAATGTACCACTTAATCAATATGATCGCTATATTTTTTTATAGAAAACCATATTTCTAAATCGGAATATCCAATCAAAATCTTCTCCTTAACTATATCACATAATTAAGGAATTTATTGCCCTTTGTTTTTACAAGTATCAATAAAATATTAGTATTTAAGCATGAATTATATGTTATCAATCATATTTTAAATTATCAATATAGGTTTCGTAAATATCCTCATCATTTGGCACTGTAGGTTTAATTTGTATATCATATGGACTTTGAAGAGTAGGAAGAAATCTATCAACATCATAAAATTGCATTATTGATGGTTTCTCTTAAAATATTTCAACCCATTTATTTGATAATTATGCTTTCATTTTTTATTGCTTAATTTCTTTTTGCTTTACAAAATTAGGTAAATTTTAGTATCTATTAGGTTATTTTTTTGTTTATTGTTTTGAATTATCTTCTTTCTTTAATCTATTACCAACTTCCTTTAACTTAAACTCTTCACTAAATCCATATTATTATTCCATCATCTTTACTTCTTCCTACAACTATTTTAACCTCTCATCAATTATAAGAACATCATTAATCATTTTTGAAAATAATTCAATATTATTAATCTGTTAGATTTAATCTTTTTATGGAAATGAAAAAATCCTTATATTATATGAGATCAAGTAAATCTAAATAATTATCAATTCAATAATAATAAAAAGTAGATGTAAAAAAATCTATTCAATAAAACATATGAATATTCATTTCATCTCCAAAAACTTATATGATTTCTTTAGCTTTTATCATCTGAAATTTGATTCTATTATCTTTTTTTTAATACATATAAATATTAGTAAGTAATATAATAGTTTGATTAGGTTATTTTAATTCTTCAAAAGAAAAAAAATGTGAAATTTTATATTTTTTGTAAGGATATATTAAAAGATTTATAAAAGAAATTTGATATTAAACATAAAAACTAAATGGATCTATTGCATTATTAATAATATTTCACATTTTTATGTTTTGTAAGTATTTAATTGTTTGTTAATGAGAGTTTTTAGTATTTTCATAATGAGTTGTTGTCTATAGTCTAAAATTAATTTTGTTTTATAAGATTAGAATCAAAATCTATAAATTAATAAAGAATGGAATACAAAAGGAAAAAAAAAAAGTATTAGAATTATTTTTTTCATAAAATATAAATTCAAATTAATAATAATAAAGAATGTCATCTATTCGTATTACTAATTACTCAGCAACAAGTTTGAGTGTGAAAGGAAATGATATTCCAAAAGATGCTTGGAATAATTTTTTATGTGATTTTCCTAGATGTGGACCTGAAATTTAATTACCTATGGATAATACAAAGAGATATATTAAGACAGCAGCTGTTTTGATGGCAGCTATAATGGATAGTTTGATTAGTTGGTAATAAATTGATGTATTATATGAAATAAGAGAATAAATGTATTCGGATAATGAATAAAGTAAAAAAATAGTTGCGGATTATAATAAATTTATTAGTTAAATTACTCCATGTTTTGAAAAAAATTAAGGTAGTGTTCATTTGAGATAATAAAGAGAATACATTTATTCACATTTAAATAACTAAGAAGGAATTGAACTTTTATTTAATGTTTATAGATGTATTTTATTGAGTTTATATACATAAAAATAAAACTCTAGTTTAATTAGAAATGGTAGAAAATTATCAAAATAAGAGGCTATTTTTGAATTGATGGGGAATTTGAATGAAGATGATTAATTTATATTGAAAGATCATCATTATATTGCTATATCTTCTTTAGTAGGAATACCAATTCATTGCTATATAAATTATAGTGATGGACAATAGATAATTAGGAAGAGAATACATTAATTGTCAAATATTAGATTTACAGTGGGTTTGTTATTTGAACCTGGACATAACAATAAATCTTCTAGATCTGTAAGAATATTGTATCAATAACATGATTCAATTTACTTAAATAATTTGTTAATAATGGATTAAAATATTTAAAGAACAAAAAATATAATGTTGGCAATAAATAAAGTATAGAAAGTGTTAGAGTTAGCTGTAATTACGGCAGTTTAAAATTGTTAAAAGATAGTTGAAGAAAAATAGATAAATTAGTTATGGCCAGATGAATTATATAAAGATTTACAAATATTAGTTTAATAATTGAATTTTAAGACAATTAAATTAGATGAGATATTATCAGCTTTGGATTATAATGTTTAGATGTAATTAGATTCTTTCAAGATTACTGTAGAAAGTATTAGAAAGTCAAATTCTGAGATTTCACCCAATAGACAAAAAATATTTTAGAGTACATATTTCAGGAATTAGTAGGCAATAATCAATTATCAAAATCAAAAGATACAAAAAGGGAATATAATATAGATTCAATAGCCATAATAAACTACAATTTTTGAATCTCCTATTAAATAGTCTTAAATAATTCAACCACCGAAGACTTATATGTAGACGACAGAAGATAAATAAAAGTCGGTATCACCATCTTCATTGAATAAAAATCTTTCAAAGAGTTTAGAGTTTCATGATAAAGCATTTAAGATGAGTAAATCATAAACGATATTAAATACATAATAGATATAGTAATAATAACAATAATGATAATAATAATAATAATTACATTAAAAATGATATATAAAATTTAAGTATTTTTAGATCAATATATAATAAATGCTAAAATGTTCAGGATCAATATTTTATCCCAATTGATATCCAAGATAGTATCTGGTTGTTTTGCTTTAGTTCTACATGAAACTAAATTAACAGCTTTTTCGTCAGTAGATAGATCTGGATAACCTGGATGAGCTGAACCTGCAATCATATACCTATGTAATAATAATAATAATTTACACATTGTAGTCAGTGTCTTCAGTAAGATTGAAAATTGCAATTTAGTATGCTTAATTTGGAATAGTTACTTAAGTCCAATTAGCTGGCATAGCTAGATTTTGACTATTATATCCCCACCATACTTATTATGCTAAAGGTGAAGCAGTATCTTAAGCAGCTTTAACAGAAATAACAAATAAAACACCTACCATATCAAGTGTTCCTTAAACAGTACAGGTTGTGAAATCTGAGCTTACTTAAGAAGGTTTAATCATAAAGGATGGATAAACAGGTGTAAAATCTTAAGCTTCTAATTTTGCAGATGTATCAAGATTGGATACTAATTTAGATAATTGAATTAATCTTTGATTCAGAATTGCAACCATATTATAAGGAGAAGGGAAGTTTTCGGTTGTTGGAATACTTATTAAAAACACTGATAAACCAATTGAAACAGATTACAATATTCTTTAAGTTGTATATGATGTTTTCTCAATTACTTTTGTTGAAGGCAATGATAAGACAAAAGCTATTCTTTTCATTATATTTTATCTTTCAGCTTAATTTAAATAGCTTTATTTAAAAGTTAATGTTACACTACTGGCATTAAATCTATTAGTAGTATTAAATTTTAATGATTTAATATCACTAAATAAGGAGCTTCTATCTTCAGCTATAGCATATACAACATAATTAGTTTATGCTCTAAGATTTCTTATTCTGACAGTATTTGTATTAGTTTTTCCTATTGAAACCTTTCCAAATTGTGATTAAGTAGTGTTAAATAAAGCAGGACCTAAATCAAGTAATTGTTTATTAGTTGGTTATTATGTACCTTATAAGGCTATCATATAATAAACAACAGCAATTTCACCAACACTGAATATTATATTAGTTTAAGTCTAACTAGTTTAATCATTTAAAAGTCCAGTAATGAATGGAGGTTCTGTATCTTCTTAAATTATTGTAATATCAATGAGTGTTTAGGTAAGTAAGTAGACTTCTTTGTTGATTCCACTTAATGTTAATGAGATTTAAAGATTATTATTTGAAAGTTTGTAATATTCAGTTTTATTGCAACTAACTCTGAAAGTAGCATTATTTTAACCAGCAACAAATTACATACTTCTTTTATCTAGAGTTAAGGCAGTACTAAAAGATGTTAATAGGATTTCAAATCCTAAATCAGGAGCATAATCAACAGTAACATAAGTATCAAGTGAATTTCCACCAATAGGAACTTCATTTAGAGTAGGTACATTAACTCTAATATTTTTATTATTCGTAACTTTAACTATACTTTTCTTAACTGGAGTATAATAGGGAATATCAGGTAATTCTCCAGTTACTTTCCAAGTTATGTAATATGTTCCTGGTTGTAGAGTTTATGATGCAGAGACTCTAAACTTTTGTTGTAAATCAGTTAAGGAAAGTTTAATTTGACTTGGAACTATAGTTAATTCACTAATAGGAGTGAATACTAAATCAAGAGCACATGGATAAGCAACTTTAAACCAAAGATCTTTAGTTTGAGTTCCTCTTTCAACAGTAATGATACTATCATCATTAATAGTAATAAGAGGACCTGGAAATTTATAAGTAAAAGTCCATGGATCTAAATTTTTATATGATTTTTCAACAATTTATTTTTTAAATCCATCATATGTTTTAACTAAGATTTAATCAATAGTAACTTCATCTGAAGGATTAGCAATATCAGTAACATTGAATGTAATAATTCCATTTTTATCTTCAGTGTTACCTTAAATAGTAATACTGTTGGTTAAAGAAGTGCATGTTAATTTGGATGCAAAAGTAGATTTATAGATTGCGCATCCTTTAGGACCATCAGGGATATCGAATTATTTTGGAAAATCAATAATAATGCTTCCTTAACTGCTTTCTTTTGGTACATTCAATAAGGCTGTCATATTAAACATGTATGAAGTATTGCTCCATCTTGAGAATAGATTCTAAGGGAGTACATTATATAAATAAGACCATCCTGGTGCTTGTACTACTTGAAGTCGACCAGCTTTAGAATTATAATCAATATAATTGTAAGCATTTTATTTAATAACACCAATTCTGAAATAACCAGTCCATTAATCATTAATATTCTAATTTGGATTAATTATACCTGAAACTATAACTATTATTGGATTAGTTCCTAATGGTTAATAATTAGTAACTCCACTAACCCAAATTTATCTATTTTGAGCTATACAATCATATGGTTTACAAATAACTGTATTTCCTAAACGAGTGTCATAATTTTCAGGAAACTCTAAAACAATAAATGCAGTATCAATATAAGTTGATGGAACAAATTAAAATGTGTATGTTGCTTCTTCTCCTTCATTCCTAGGTGCAAAGTCTATACTCTAAACTAATACTGGTTCAGATTTAGCAGAAATATATAATTATCTAACACTCTTCAATTAATCATCTGATATATCCAAAAATGTACTATCATATCTACTTGTTATTGTAAATAATCCAGCATCGCCAGATAAGGGATTTAAAACATTGTTAATTTAGAATGTTATTTCACCACTCTAATATCTCTCATCAGTTATCATTATATAAGTATTATCCCATAATTTACAACTCTTGAAAGAAGTTAAAGCACCTGTTACATTACATCTACAATCTATCTCAGGAATTGGAAGTTTAGGATAATACTCTTTTGGAAATGTTATTGATATTTCACCTCCTGCTAACAATTCATTTGTCAATATAAATTTAAATTCATATTTTGCATATTCCAATTAATTAGATGGAAAAGCTGTTATCGAATTAAATATTACCTTTCCTGAAACAAAATCAGTTCCATAATCAAAATAATCAAATCCATTTATTGTATCCTATGTCTTTACTATTGACTTCCCACCCACTTATAATTCTGCCAAAAATGGCTTTGCTTAACCAATTGAAGGCTGTCTACTTGATTTCACTCCTTATACTACAATTCTAAAGGGTCCACTTGCAGGATGCTCTTTAATATTCTTTACTCTTAAAACATTACCAGATACAACAAATAATAAAGGCTTTTATTCACTCTATGAATAAAATTATGGAGCTTAAAATTTTGGTTAAGGATAAGATCCATCTAAACTGAAATCTGTTGGAAATGTTAATATGAATTCACTTCCATCAGGTATCAAATATTTTGTCTTAAAATAAAATTCAAAATTCAAACCAACAAATCCTTTCCCTTTCTTAGGAGATAAAATTTAAGCTTCATCAAAATCATTCACATCAGGAGCCTAAAAATAAGCTGTACCTCCATTATAATATAAAGTTCTCGCTTCAACTTCATAATTCATACCTGAACTGAAAGGATCCTTTAACATTGTCCATTAAACCCAACCAACAGAATCTGAATAACGAGGCCATCTCAAATTATATAAATGTAATCTTGGTTTCACAGCAGCTGTATAATAATGTGTTTGAGGAGTTTTAATTCTCATTAATATCCAATCAACTCCTGGATATGTAACACATGGAGTTAAATAAGTATCTATGTAACAAACTACAATTTCTTCATCAGGAATGAACATTGTATCATATCCAGGTAATTTAACAATAAAATCTGTTCCATCTTCAAAATCATTACCAGGAACTATATCCAATGAGACATTAAATACTCCAGATAATTTAGTGTTACTAATTTACATCTAACTGACTGATACTCCTGGATTTAAATTAAATTAAGTTCTAAAAGACTATAACTTTATAAATCTATTTAAATCTGTGTCATCTCCAAATTGTTTCTAAAAAATAGTAATAGTGAATTATGCAGTTGCTATAGCAGGATTTTATATGTTAGGAATATGAATTTCAATATTACTTCTATAAGGTATCTCTTTAAAATTACGCATTATAATTAATGCTCCATTTGATGTAGAATATATATTGCATTAAATCTTTAAGTTCTTCATAGGTAATAATCCCTTGACTGCTTTACAAGGTATTTGATCTCCTTCCTTGTAACTAGTACCTAAATAACTATTGAGATAATGAGAATCATCTGGAAATTGAAATTTAATCCTTCCTTAAGCAATTTATTTAGTCTAATCATATCCTCCCTCTGGAATTATGATTTCATTATAAAATGTAGCAATTAAAACACTGTATCGAGGTTTGGAAGGACCAACAGTTGATTATTCAGGACCTACAAATTCTAATGTAGGAGATGCTAAATTTAAGGGGTCCACTTCTATCAAATTAGTGTATGATTATAATAAACTTCCTTAGGAATTGAATATTTCAATATCTACGGTGTATTTTCCTGAGTAGGTTGGAGTTTTCACTAAATTGATTATCATAAATTAATATTCTATGTTGACATTATATTAAACTGAAGTAGGATTTTACCATGTGATGAGATTATCAGATTTATTACACATAATAGAAGGAATTTAAAAAGGAATAATTAATTAATTTAAGGAGATACAGTTGGCTGCTGTAACAGTTCCTACATAAAATGCAGAATCTAAAAGCACTTTTATGTATGCTCCTCCTGGAATAACAGATTAGGGGGTAATTTTAAATGTAATATCTGTTAGAGTTTATTGAGATGTTTTTGGATTTAATACTGCATAGTTAAAAATAAGTGAAGCTATAAATAATAATTATTTATACCGACAAATTCCACTTAAATTTTAGCATCGACTTTATTTTAATCAATAATATTTGCACATGTACTATCTGTACAAGTACGAATATCTAAAGCGGAAGATGGACCTGCAGTCGAAGGATTCTTTGCTCTAAATTAAATTATAATCTAATTTGGAAGAGTTGGTTTATAATTTGTTATCAAAATATCTTACCCTACAGCCTAAATTAACAAAGGGCTATTCTCAGATATATCTTCTAAACCAGATTTAAAAAATAAATAAGCAAAAGGTGGCTCTACCAATTAAAAAGTTATTGGAAATTTGATCATTATTGCTGATCCTGCTGGTAATGAATTTGTAGCCAAGAATTTCAATTAATAATCTATTACTTTATCTGTAGCTAACCTTACTTTTTATAATGGCAATAAGGATATGTCTTTTATTAAACCAGGCAATATCTATATACCATTTATTCCAGTTTTCCAAGTGTAAATAATTGAAGTTCCATATCGATAAGCAGCAATAATAAAAGTTGAAGTCACTTATGAATACGAAGGATTTGTCAATGAAATTTGAATTCCTACTTCACTCCCAGAAGTTATATCATTAGAAAATCCACTAACTTATACTCTACTGCCTTCCAATAATTTACATACAATATTCCCTTCAATGACTAGATCATTAATTGAATAAAGAGAACAGGATGGATTATCTGATATTATATACACATTAGGTATAAATAATTAAATTGTAGTTCCTAAAGGTAAATTGATGTTGGTTTTAAAAGCAAAATTGTATTTTCCTAAACTTCCTGAAGTTGGAGGATCAACAAATGAAACTATACATGAACTTAACTAAGCTATATCATCTGCGATACCAATTGTTTAAAATATTAAGTTTTCATCATATATGAATTCAAATCTTTTCGTTCTTATAATAAAATTACCAGTTCCTCCTCTTTCTGCAGGATTTAGAATGTTATATATTTTGAGAGTATTTGCCACACTCAAAATTGGAGTATCAGCAAAATAAAATAATATAGTGTGTCCATTTATAGTACAATTTGTACAATAAGCTTTCTCTCCTAAACCTGATTAATATTGTATAGGAAATATTATTTCTATATAACCCCCTGCAGGGACATTAGTTTCTGGAATCACTTAAATTGTGTAATCAGAATACTGATTTCTATTAGCAATTGTATTACTAATAAAGCCTGGCCAAATCGTACCAGCATAACATAAGGTGAAGAAAAATAATATTATCATATATTTTTATATGATTGTAATTATTAAATGTTAATTTATTCTTTATAAACAAATTCTTTTTATCTATAAATTTTCTAATATAATTGACATGTCTAATCATTTTTATAAGGGTCATTTCAAAGGCCCAATACCATCTCTTTTTAGCAATAGAATAGGAAATTAAGATGGAGATTATTAGCTTAAGTAATATGAATGCATAATAAACATTTACAAAAGTTACTAAGACTATGAGTGTCTAATTTAAGGTAAAGAATAAAATTGAATATGATTTATAAACAAAAATTAGTAATAATAAAATGATGATGAAGTAGGTGATGTTTTGAGGAAATTAAGTAAACAACTCTAGGAATTAAATTAATGATTATTTATAATAAATTATAATTTTATAGTCCTGTTTTTTTTTTATTAAATTTATCGATTTTAATAAGATCAATTCAGAAGAAATTTAATCTATAATTTTTCAATGAATTTTCAATTTTTTTATTTCAGTTTGCATAAAGCTATAAACAAATAAAGAAATCATTATATAGAAAATAAACTTATCAACAATTTTCATTTTCTATCTTTTTCCCCCCTTTTTTGTCTTTCATAACCCTATTATAATAGCCATACATAATATCTACTTAATAACAAAATTGAAAAAAAACAAATAAGGAATCCTTCTGGGCCAGATAAGGTAGGGTTCTCTCGACTTTTTAAACTAAAATTTTTAATTTTTTTGATTAAATTAAAATTTTTATAAAGTCTTAAATATGCAAATTCATGTTAAAAGACTTATTCGCCACCCTATTTTTTTAAAAGATTAATTATTTTTTCAAAGTTGAAATATATATATAACTTGATAAAAAAAATACTTCCAATTAAAAAATGAATTTTTTTTTTAAATATTATGATTCCTATATAAATTTTCTTTCAAGTTACATATAACTGATTATGAATAAAAATCCAAAGAGATCAATTCAAAGAGGTTCACTTAAATTGTCAATATATATTTAAATGTAGTTTAAAATAAATTGTAAACTTTTTTACTTTTGTATTTTCAGCTCTCTCTATTATGTATTAAATTTTAATAAAATAAAAACTTGAATGGATTTCCTGACTCTAATTTATAAACAATATGTTAATTTTAAAAATAATTTACAATATAAATAATAATATATATATAATATTTGAAATGTAAGAGTGGCCTAAGAAATTATTTTTAGCAATAGCATTCATTTCATGTTTTACTTGCTATGCGAGACCAGATTATAATTTACCACTTTTTGCATTTGCATATTTATTATGGGATATCGATAGACCTGTATAAAAATTTGTGAATTGGAATAGGTTTCATAAAAGATTAGATTGATATATTTGTTTGTCTATTCTTGGATTATTGATTTTGTTTGGTTAGTTTACTGGGGTCCATTTTGGAATTCATCAACTTTTTCACATAATTGGGCAGATGGAATACAAACATTTGTGTTAGTATTATCAGTTATCAACTTTATTCTCAAAGTAGAAGATTGATTAATTTATAAGTTAGGAACAATAGTAGTGTGTATATTGGCAGAAAAAGAGTGTAAGGATGCATTGCATCCAGAGAATGCAATGGCTCACGCAAAGAATATTTTTAATAGTGAGGTTTAGCATTAATGAATTAGTTAATATGGAAAATTTTGAAAAAAATTAATATCTATTTTAAAATTAATGTCACAATAAGTTCTCTGGGAAGTGGTTAAAGGAAACAATGCTTTTTTGGTTAAGAGAAATGGATTGACATTGTCAACAGACCCATTCAATAACACAGGAGTGTAGACATATGGCAATACAGGTATATGGATGAATCTAATTAATTTAAGGATTCATAAGTCAAAATGCAATTGGTGTTGTTCCAACCTCAGGAAAAACAAACTAGATTAACAATATTAATTTGGTCGCAAGAAAGAGCACAAAATTCTAATAAGTTGATAGAAAAGCTAAAAACACTTAATCAGTGTATGCCTCTACATTGGCTGTTAAACATGGAGTACACACTGCTTCCAGAGTAATAAATTTATTAATAATCTTAGGTTATCAGAAAGAGATTCGGTACTTCAAGACTTGGATTACAAAAGGCAGCCCTTAGAAAGTTGGTAAATTTAAATAGATCAAATGCAGTCAGAAGAAGAAATGAAGTGGCTGCTGCTAAAGCTTAAAAGAAATGATTTGCATTATCAAACGATGTACAATATATAAAAAAATAAATCATTATTATAATCTTCTTTTCTGATTTGAGTTTTGTTATTGTATAATTCTGAATAAACATCATAAAACATTGAAATCTTGAGATTAAGATTTCATTTATATAAATATGAAATCATAAACCTAAGCTCCAAAACCTGATTTCTGTTTACTTGAAAAACAAGCTCCATTATTACCTGATGATGGTATCTCTCATGACAGCAAGAAATCTTTAGATTTTGAAAAAGATAAAACTCTTAAGACTCGTTGTGATAGATTTGGAAATCTAATTGATAAAAAAAAACGGCAACAGCAAGTGTCCTTTAGAGACAGAGTATAAAAGAAATAAAAATTATATGATCTTATTGAATTTGATTATTATGAACTTGAATTAGACTACAAGAAGAATATAAAATAAAGAGATAATTAAAAGAAATGTTGCTAAATTTAATGAAATTCATAATTATCTATTTTGTTTGTAAATATGTACTATACTTTAAAATATCATTATTTTTATTATTATTCTTCATGGTGTTCTCTGGCTTATTTCTTTTCAAGAGCTGTCAAATACAAACCATTATCATCTGGGAGTGAAATTAAAGATTTCTTTCCTTTACCAATTGTGAAGATATTATTAATTCTTGTTGAAAAGTGTTTTCCATTTGAATCCTATAATATAAATAAATGAATATTTATACCTTAACATGAACAATATCAAAAGATCCTAAATGTCTCTCTCTATGTTGAATGAGTCCAACTCTTCCAATGTTGTTACCTCCAACAATATAGCAAACATTTCCTATAATTTTAATTGCATTATATTACCTGGTTCTTCTTTAATGAAATCAACAACTTTTCCTGTTTCTAAATCAATTCTGAGAACATCATTAACATGAATTTCTGGATTTGGATATCTAATTGTTCTGGCATCATTAGTAACAATATATGGAACATTGTTTGGTCCAACTTTCTTTTAAGTGACTTTAACAAGCTTGAATTTTGCTTCTTCTGGTTTAATGGATTTTAATATAAATTTTCCTGAAACATCATACAACACTCTATAATTTTCTCTGGTCTTGTCAATTGTAATTACATCTTATTTTAGTTATAAAGTAATTAATACCCATTAATCCAACTGGATATCCAAAGTCAGATCTAACTTTTCCATCAACTTTAATATTTCCATCCTTATCAGCAAGAATCATTTAGACTTCTCTAGCATAAAGAGCATATTTCAATTTATGTTGCAATATAATAGACAATGGGATTGATTCTCTTAATTTATGAGGTCCTTATGAGGGTCTTGTGGTCCAATTTCCTCCTAATTTTGAAAGCATCCAACTTTTTGGTGCTGTAATTCTTTTCATATGTTTCTTAGGTCCTCTAGCCTAGACAAATAGAACTCATTCTCTTACCATGTTTGTTTAAAGAAAAAATTAAAATCTTTTTTAATTTAATTCAAAATCTATGTATACTCACCATCCCTAATATTAAAATTTGCTTTAAATTATAAAGAATATTAATTCTAATAGCCTCTATAAATTAATCCATTTTAACAAAAGAACCATTTTTAATCGTTATTAATTATTATTACTACTTAAATAATATACCAAATAATATCATAATGAATCTTCATTTTCTTCCTACAATTCATCATTATCTCTAACTTTGAATATTCTAATAGATTATTTATAAGCTTATTTTAAAAGCACATACACTCCATCTTCTTATGTCTTAAGATAATCTACCATGTATCTGACACTTTACCAAATTTCAACAGACTTAAAGTTAATAATTGCTGCCAAATCTCTTTATGTAAATGTTTCAACTAATAATAAAGAATGTTTATCCTAATCTTTTTAATTTTACCTTGCCAAATATCCAACTTTGATTTCCTCACATTCTAACAATTAAGCTTAACATAACCATTTGGCAATATTGTTAGTATTGTAAACTTAAGCAGTACTATTATGTTTAGATTAATAAATACTTAGTTGTAATACCAGCTTAAGATAATAAAGATTTCTTCCAATCAGGAGGTGTTTCACATTCATTTAATGATTTTACTAATACTGGTTATCCTTCACCATTTTCAGCCTCAACTGTTGTTCTCACTACAACTTTAAATCTTTCCTATCCAGCTCTTACTTCCTCTCCTTTCGCAGCTTTTTCAATTCTATCTTTAACTGAGACTTCTAAATATTTGAAGCAAAGATCTTCAGAAAAAAGATATCTTTCTGCTTAATCATTTTATTCACATTCTTCATCATTTTATAATGTGTTTTAAAAAAGTACAGGTTAATTGTAAGTACTTAATAGTTACCAACTCAATTAGGCTATTGTGCTTTCTTCGCAGTAATTTCTTACTGTCTTTTCATCTTCAGGCATATCAACTGTTATATTTTCATTTATTGTTTATAATTCCAAATATGTTAATTCACTTCTGTTTTAAGGACATTTATCAAATATGTAAGAATTTCCTTTCTTTGTTACTAAAATATCCCAAGGATAAATTGAATATTTAAGAGTTTAAACTGCAAATAACAATTTATCAGTAGTGTAAATTGTTGGAATCTCTTCTGTTCCTTGTCTTTCTGCAATTATTTACTTAAAATATTTATCATCCTAAACTGATCCTGATATAACCTCTCCTCCTATTATTGATATCTTTTTCTCATAATTTGGTCTAACCTTATCAAATTCCTTATTATATTTTTTTATTGTTCCTACGCTTTAGATTTCTTTTATGTCAATCAATGAATATTACACTTTTTCAATATTTTACTTTTATGTTTCTTGAATACTAATCCAATCAGTCTTAATTGAGATCGAATCCTTGAATCTGCATTTCTTATAAACTATAACTCTTTTAGCAGCTTATGACATTTTACTCTTTTTTCCAGTTTAATAATACGATTAATATACAACTTATTATTATTATTAAGGGACAAAACCAACCTTTTTTTACACAGGCTTTTTCACTACTTTCTACCCAACTGTCTCATATTCATCTTCCAAATCTTTTTATACTTAAGTTTATTTTGAAAAATCACAGCATCTACTTATTTTTTCCTATCTGCTAAATGGCTGTAATAATCTATCCTTAAACTCTTCAAATTAATAATTAGGGTCTGGACAGAAATCAGATAAAGGAGCATAATTCTTTATGAGATTTTGCAAATTAGAATCCATAAATTAAATATTTTATCTAATTTTAAATAATTATACAAATTTCCAATCACTAATTAACTCTGTTAACAAGTTCTTGCAATGCCTAACTTACTTAAACAATTTATAATTAGACAGATCTAAGTTTTAAAATGATAAAATACTCGTAAAATTGTTGACCGTAATCAAGGTTTTAAAAGGCTTCGATTATTGGTTTTAATTAATTCTCAAAAGCCTCCTCATCTTGATTTGCTATTGCCATAAATAATTATTGCTCCTTTAATTTTTTTGAAACTTCCTCCAATTAATTTAGATTTATGGATTAAAACTACAATTATTTAATGTATATTTACTATTGCATCATAATCATTAATTTTCTAGGTTATTATTTTCATAATCTATTACTACATAAACTAATCTATTCCATTAATCAGACTTTTATCCAACCTTAAATCATCTATGTATTTTTCTAAACTCGCTAATTATTATTTAATCATTTCCAACTTGTTATTTATGATCTCTACAGATAAAGATACACTTTTTAAATGTATTATATTCTATTTATAAAACTTTTAAGACTCCTATAATGAAGTTTGCATCTTGCTTGTAATCATTTAATTATTATTCTATTCAATAAATAATAATTGGTCCTTCACTTTTTAAATTTAATCTTCATTGTTTTTGTGAATGTAATTTGCCTCCAATAATCTTTTCTAAAGATCTATGTTAAATTTCATTATTTAATACCATCAAACACTCTTCTAAAAACTTCGATTTACTATTAGGTTAATTATTTCTTTCCTTATTCTACATTACCCTCTATTTGAGTTTGATGATCTATTAAATTCTTTATCTAAATTAATTGTTTTCCCTACTCCTATTATAATTAATGAACTTTATTAATTTATTATGAATAACCCTTCCAACCTCCTCTATCTTTTATGAAATCAACTTTTTATTGAATAGAAGGTGTTAATTTCAGTTGTTCAGCATTTTAAAATGCATCCAACATATATTATAGATTATTTTAAGTGAAAATTGTTGTATATTAATTTTGAAATTGCACTAATTTTTAATTCGCCTACAATTTTTTCGAATTAATTTCTTCAATCAACTTTAATACTGCAAACTTCTTCTCATCTTCTTGTTTCTATTTTTACTCGTTATTCTATGCATAAAAATCAGGTGCCTTTGGCTTTATCAAATCTTATTTCACAGTTAATTGCAATAATTCATACTCTTTGGCAATAGGATTCTTATTGACCTTGTCATTCAAGTAATTATACTCCTTTTTTTATACTAATATCTAAGTTCTATTATTTTTAATTAAACTTAATACAATTAATCAACAAGAAATTAATTTTTTGTTTTATATTTTTTGAAAATAGACGTAATAGCCTATTCAGCTTTATTAATATAAGCTATTGCCTTTCCCATTCTTAATTCTTTTGGGAATTCTTTAGCTGTGTCTGCCATCATTTTTGCCAATTCAACATATAAAATAACTTCTGAAACTGTGCTATCATTTGTAAATTTCTCCAATAATTAATTATATATTATTGGTGGAATTTATTTTTTTTGGCATTATTTCGATTAAATCAGATATCTGATACTGGAATCATATAATTTATTTGCCTCATACAAAAAGCCTAAACTATCCATTAATTCATCATTTCCTTTATTATTTTGTTTGAAATGGTCATATAATTTTTTATATCCAAAAGCTGATGCCTATATTTGGAAAGAAATAATTACGTAGCTATTTAACATATAAATGTGAACAACCGAGAGATCTGAATGCTACTATACAATTTTAGAATTTATAAAGGGTAAGACTTCTTAAAGTTTTTAATAACACCAAAGAGAGTTTCGACTTTTTGTCAAAGAATCTTTAATCTGTTGTATATTTTCTCCTTAATGGTAAAATAATATGCCTAAATTGTATAAATTACAAGCATATTCATAATGCCATTAATTTGATTATGTAAATTTGTTCTAAAATATATCTATTTAACTTACAGGCTCATAGGAATCATTCCAAGAGAATGTTATTTCCTCTTTGATTTGCTATTTGAGGATTTCATCTAAAAGAGCTATATATTCAAGTAAAAGCTTTTCCAATTAGGAGCAAACATCAAAATTCCCCTTAAGGCACTCTTAATACTGAAATTGAACCAACCTCTTACGGCATTCAGAAATACTGATGAGAGTTTTATTCTATTTATAATGAATTTAAAATACTTCTGTCTTCGGGAATTGTGAAAGTTTAGTTTATTTAAAACGAAAGCTTATGTTCATCTGAATTATAATATATATTATTTATTTTAATGCAATGAAGGATTGATGTAAGATAGAATAAAACTTACAATATATTTAATTAAATGAAATAAAATAGAGTTTCTGTATTGACCAAATAACACATTAGATATGAAGGATCAGTTTATGCTATCGATAAAATTCGAAAAACAGTATTCCTCAAAGAAGTGAAATGTTTTGGAACTGAAAATAGAGAAGCTACAATTTTTATTCCTCCATCAACTAAATTTACTTAAATGGCAGAGTTTTAAAATGAATAGATTTTAGAGATAAAAAAACTAGTATAATATTAGTTTATTTGTAAGAACAACAATGAGTTTTCTGAACATTTTCCAAGTACTCTTAAAGATCAAACTTAAAGTTCTCAAAAGGAGAAATTGGTTACATAAATTTTAAATTAAAGTTGTACATATGAAGTGAACAGGTCACCATTACCCAAAATTAACACCAAAAAACATAGACACTTTATTTCTTAGAGTCCAGATCATCAGAAAGTAGAATAGAAACCTGTATACATCACAAATAATTATTTATAAATGAAGAAAATGGAATAATTCAAAAAAATGATGATGCTTCGATAACATAGATGAAGTTGTGTAATTAAATTCATGTGATATATTTGAAATTCTCAGAATAATACATTATTTATATTATTGAATGGGGAATTGCCAGTGTTAATCAGCAGACATTCAAAAAACAGAAGAAATGTAGCCTCTAGAATACAAATAAGAGAACATCACTAGTTTTGAGGATCATTAATTGCAATTTTGCTTGGCTCAACAAATATAATAATAAGAAACAATCAAGTCTAATAATGAAACATCTGATGATACTCATAGACCTAATCCTTAAGTAGTGTGGTAAACGTCAACACAGTTTACTACTTCAAATAACGTAGTTGAAGTAATTTCATCAAATTATACCATTTTAGAAACTTTTGGATGAATTGGGCACTTACGAAATAGAAGATGAAGAGGGCCATTTTTATGGAGTCTATGAATAAAAGGATGGTTCATTATATAGAGGTTGTTGGTATCAAAGTGAAAAATTTGGATATGGTACTTGAACACAATTCCTATCTCTCTAGGATGCTTAATTTATTAAGATGGGTCAGTATTTTAAGGACAATGGAGAAGAGACAGAGCAAATGGGAAAGGACGTATGATATATGCTGATGGAGATTGGTATGAAGGAGATTGGGTAGACGATTTAAGTTAGATTACTGTTATTTTTTAGAGCATGGAAACGGAAAATATGTACATTTTGATGGAACCATCTATGAAGGAGAATGGAAGAATGATTTTTAGGATGGTTATGGATAAGAATAATTTGCTGATGGATCTAAATATATGGGATAGTTTAAGAATGGTAAAAAGAATGGATTTGGCAAATATTTTTGGGTTGATGGCCAGAAATATGAAGGGAATTTTGAATCTAATTATTTTTGTGGATTTGGGTATAAAATCCAGTATATTATCAATCAGAAAATATGTATGGTCTGATGGAAGGTAATACGAAGGTGAATGGTTAAATGGAAGTATGGATGGAAATGGCATAATGAACTGGCCAGATGGAAGAAAGTATGAAGGATAATACTCTAATGATAAAAAACATGGATAAGGAGTTTTAGGATGGCGTAACTTGTGTATATTTAATGTAGGGTAGCTGATGGTAGGAAATATTCAGGGTAATGGGAATTTGGAAAATAGCATGGAATTGGAGAATATTTTAATGGTTAAATCAATAAAAAAGGATAATGGAACTAAGGAAAGCGACTTAAATGGCTAGATTGAGATTTTATAAATATTCATAATCTTTATATCCCTTATTACTTTTTAAGCAAATGCAATAGGGTTTCTTGTCTTCTACTTTTTCTTTTTTTTATTTGCCTTTAAAAACCAAATACGCTCTCCTGATACTATGAATACAAGATATTGTAAAATCATACTTTATTCACTACAATAGACATATTATTATGGCAATAATAATGATTGAATTCTTATACTCTTTCGAATTATTAAAATAAATCGATATATTATCCCATAATTTTATCCTAATCATCTTTTTCATCTTCTGAACTTTCATCTAATTTTAATCTCACTGACTTACGTCTTAGTCCTATTTAATTTATTTAAAATTAAGGTTATTGTTATTATTATTGTTGATTTTATTATTATGTTTAGAAATTTAATTGATTAGGTTATTTTTGTAATTATTAATTATCATTTATTACACATAATGATTCATTTTAAACTTTTTTTTATAATTTTTCAAATTTTGGAACTTCATCATCAATTTTTGGTAATTCTGATTAAGATCCATGATTGATAGATATTTTATGATAATTTCTAAAATTCGTATTATTGATTATTTAATTATTGCGAAAAGTTTTTGGAGAATCATCTATTTAAGGAGGCAATAAATTTCCAACAGATTATAATACTCTTTAAGATTAGGAGTGTTTACTTGAAGAATTAACTAAAAGAGGGGGAAGAACCGAATTATTTGAATGATGAACTGAAAGGCCTATTGGAAATTAATTAAAAGTAAATTAATTGTTTTAAAGTTGTTAAGTTTACATTTGTAATTCTTTAAAATCTTCCATATGAATAAATTCTTCATTTTTCATCATGTAATTCAAGATACTTTCTAAAACAATAAAATGATGTTTCAAAGCATACATTTTTCTCGAGTAATTGTGTCTTTTAAAAAATGGTGTTCGATCACTAGGAATAAATTTTCTGTAATTGTAAATTGCCTTTACTCTATTTGGAGTTCCTAAAAGGAAAGGACAAGAATTGATAAAATGAGTATTACTTTAACAAGTATTACAATATACTGAAATCTATGAAAATTATTTTTGATGAACCAAATCTTCAGAAATTTATTTAAATTTTTCCTATTTATTTTTATAAAATATATTGTACATAATCTAAGGGAAAATCCTTAAAAATGTTATGAAGAATGTCTCTGGAAATATGAAGTATTTTAGTAGTTTTAGAAGCAATAGCATCATAAGAATAAGGTTGATTATAAAAGAAATCTAATTGTCCTACAAAGGCAGGAATATCAAGTTTCTACAACAATTTTGGCTTGTTCCTTAATTAGACTTATAACTTAATTTCTCCAGAAACGAGTATATAAAGATATTATGATTCTTTATTTTTTGTAAAAAGATAGTCATTTGACTGAATTTATTTCTCCTCTAAATGCATACATAATTTAGTCAAAAGGGGTTAACTAAAATTTTAGAAATAACTTATTTGATTTAATATCTTTATATTTACATCGACTATCATTTAATCTTTTAAGTTTCTAGGTATTAAATCAGCAAATTGAATGACCTTTTAAGAAGGTTTGCTCCATAAATATTCGAAATATCTTCTGAATTTAATTTAAAGATCATCAGAGACATTTTAACTTCTCAGAAACCTGTTTAATTAATTCATATTATTTTTAAGTTAAACAGATTGTTTAGAAAAATCCTAGAAAATACCTCCAATATTATTGACTGTATATGCAAATGTAGCAGATGAAATCATAGTCATAAAAATAACAAATATTCTTTCTGTCAAATTAACAGGAATAATATCTCCATATCCTATGGTAGTCATGGTTACAATACTCCAATAAAAAGAAACAACATATCTTTCTAACCATATTTCATTTTACATATTTGCAACTTTAATCCAAGTCTTACCATCTTCCTAACCCCATTCTCCCCATTATCCAAGAATGTGCCAAATACAAGCTGAAAAATGAGCAACCAAGATCATCAATGAACTACTTTTTATAAATTAATTTTACATCATTTTAAACAAATCGAATATGGCTGTTTGTCTTGAAGTTAATTCTAAACGATTAAATAATGAGGAAAATAAACCAGAAAGTTGGAAAACCTTTAAAACTATTACAAAATCCAAATGACTAAAATTTAGTAATTAACCTATAAAGAAAGGAACCACTAAAACTAAATCTATTATTAAACCTAACTTTAAACAACAACTTTTTACCTTCTTAACAATAATGTTTAATAATTTTTATCCTATTTGTTATGAGATTTCCTCTAAAATAAATGCCTGTGTTGAATTTCAATAATATGTCAATGAAAAATATGTAAACTGGGATTTATTCAAATATCAATTCTTTACCAATTAGATGTAAATCTCTTATTTCAGGAAATGATATTCTTAAGGATACATAAAACACATTAATTGTAACGATGACAATCATAGAAATATTCCATACTATCAAAATTGTATCATCTGGTTTCAAAAGCCATTTTTTGTGATTATTTTATAAAAATGTATTTTATTAGTCTGAAATAGTTAAGTAAATTACATAAAATGCAAGAGAACCAAGAATGAATCTTCATCAATAAATAAGATGGTTTATCTTTAGGAAGATAACCTCGATACTTGAAAAAATCATAATCTGAAGAAGAATCATGAATTAAGTTGAACTCAGATTTTGATATATTTCTTAAATCCTTTCTAAGTATTTGTTGTGTTATTAAGAATAGAAACTTAGAGACAAAAACAATTATCTTTAAAGCCTTTAATTTCCAAATAGGATTTTCAATGCCAAAGCTCAGTTTCTAACCTTTACGTCCCCACAATAAAACTTTTGAGCTTTTGTTCATATTTGTTTCTAGAGGCTCTTGCAATTCATCATTATTGGTTATTTAACTAATAATCATAAAATATTATTATACAACATTTAATGATTAAGAAAGCCTATTAATAGGTGAAAAATATTTGGAAATTTTTCTATAATGAAAAATTAAAATTCATTGATGAAATTGAAGAGAAAATGTCATTGAAGATACAATAACATCAAGCTAAATATGAAAACTCATTTAAAAGACAAATAAGAATAACACAATTGAAAATTTGTATACGATACCTAATTGGAGGAATGTTGATCACTTCTGCAAGTTTATTTTTTACAGATAAAATTCATGATCCAAATAGACCTATGGATATAAGTATTGAATTGTTGGAATGTGCAAATGATTTGGATGAAAGATCATATTTTGCATTTGATGATCTAATTAGAAAAGGATAAGAATTGAAAACTTTAGATGTCTCTTCTTATTGTGCCATAGGACATCTGTTGGCCAGCATTAATTAAAGTGAGTTTTCATAAACAGCTTTTTATTTTGCTCATCTAAAAAACCATAAAGAAATTAAAGCAAATTCTGATTTACAATTTGAAACAGTAACAAAATCAAAATCAGGAGGAGCAGAAGGATAATGATATTCATGTCTATTTTATAATATTATTTATTTATGGATAAACTCGATAAAATAATTGAATAATTAGATGAATTAGAAATTAGTCAGAAACATAGAGAAGATTAGATCAAGCGTAATCAAAGCTCTTCCTTACTCAAGATACCTAAAGTAAAATAAATTAATTAAAAAAAGGTGATACTAATTTAAAGAATCTGTGGATTTTTGAATGATCAAGATCTATATAGATTTACAGCAACTTGTTCAACAATGAGAAAGATAATGTTTTGCCCTTTAGGATTTAAGTTATTATCGCTAAGTAGAAATGCTCAACATATTGTGGGAGGAACAAAATAGCAATAACAAATGATTAAAAAAGAAAAATAAGAGGTTGTTTCAAGTGGAAGCATTTCTGGAAATAATAGTGTTTTTGATTCAGAAGAAGATGCTTTGGCTTAATTATAAGCTTTGAAATCTGTGAAAGAGTTTCTAACTTCTAAATTATAATCATCTTAAGCATAAATATAAAATCTAGAGGATTTGATAAATGATTCTTAAGACACATTAAAATATGAGAAATCAGTTAATCTAAAATTATAATCTAAAATTAACATACTTTAAAATCAACTCTCTATTTCTGAACTATAAAGACAAGATGTTAAAGAAAATTTGTCAGAATTGAATTCTAAATACAATAAAATAGTAATACTTATATCAAATTAAGATTAGCTAAATGGAATAAGATAGAGTAGTACTTCAAGATGACAAAGACAAACTTCTGGGTCATAAAAAGGTGCTAATATAGGAAGTTTATAGATTAAGAGGATAGGTTTCTTAAATGGAAGAGGATCAGAATAATTATCAATCAGCCTTAAAATAAGTTCGAGCATTTATGGATACGATTGAATTAAAACCAATTTGATTACATGATTTGATTAATTTTATATCTATGCAAGCATTGTCTAAATTTACAAATTTTATTAAATTCAGAAAGTTTTAAGCTTTAAGAAAATGTAAATAGTTATATACTCAATAAATACTTTTTTAAATTGAAATGAATTTAAGAAAATTTTACATTAAAAGTATATTAATTAATTAATGGATTATAAATTACCATCTTTATATGAACCTTTTACTTAGATCTCATAAATTATTTTGGAATCATTAATAGGGTTAGCTTAAGCAGATGAAATAGGAGGAGTTCCATTTGTATCTCCTGTAATGATGGTTTTGCTTTGATGTTCAAGTAAGCAGGCCATTTGGAGAACTTATTTTATATTATTTGGAGAAAGCATAGGTAATTTCGCAAGGTTAGGAAGAGAAGGAATTAAAATTAATAATAATTTAGAAATAGATTTAAGATGGAAATAGTCCAGTATTTCTATACATTAAGCTGGAGCAATTTTTAGAGTGGCAACAGGGAAGTAGTTACTAAAATTGGTGATTGTGATATTTTTATTTGCCATTTTATTAAATGTGTTTCTCAAAACTAAGAGTACATACAAAAAAATAAGGGAAAAAGAAAGAAGTGAACTTGTAATTAAAGTTGAAATGAAAAATTTAAATGTATCTGAAAATAATAGACAGTATCAAGATTTGGAACAGTAAAGGAAAATGAATTATAGCTCTATCTCATAGAAAATCTAAAAAGAATTACCCTTTTTGTTATTATTGTAGTTGCATTAACCTTATTAAAAAGAGCAGCAACCTACCTTCAATTTTAGGTATCGATTATTGTGGATATGTATTTTAATTTCATCAATTTTATAATTTTTGCTATTGAAATTTATAATTTTAAAAGATACAGAAAATAAATTAAGAAGGAAGATAAACTAAAGCAAGCTGTTGAATATGACTTTTAAGGTGATTTTTTTGAAATCGCTGTAAAATTAAGTATGAAAGCAGGCTTTTTAGGTGGATTAGTAGTTTTAGGAAGAGTTGTGGTATTAACACATGTTTGGCTTGAAATTGGGGTCAATCCTCCAAGCTCTGATGTTCATTTCATTTATTACAGTGTTTATTATTGCTTCAGAGGTTATCATATTTCTCAATTTTTAATTTTAGCAGTAATTTAATCAATAATATTTTGAGAGTGTTTTCGGATGTGGAAGTTATTTATGTGGTAGAATATTAAAAAGATTAGTTAAAAATATAAAAGAGAATCTATTATCATTTAAATCTTGCTAATTGTCATTTATGTTGATCTTTCATTTAATAACATTTTATTTAAAAAATCTCATATTATTAATATATATAATATAAAGTCACATTCTCACAGTGGAATCATAAAGCTTTCTCTAACCCATTTATTATTTCAGCTATTCATTTTCTTCACGCAACACACTGATTTGTGTATTATAAGCATTTTTCAAATTACTAATCTAATAAGAATTTGAGGCTTCTAATTTATTTTTCAAATCTTCCAATTATGTAAACTAAAATTAATTATTATTGATACTTTTTCTTTTTCTAAAGCTAACTATCTCTATTTAAATTATTCAATTTCATCTCTAGCTCTTCTTAAATCTTTATCTAATAAATTTCTTTAATTAGCTAGATTTTCATTATCTTATTCCTTGACTGATAGAGCTTCTCTTAATCTTTTAATTTCTAACAATTATTATTCCTAAGATATATCACTCTATCTGAGTTTTTCTCTATATTAAATTGTAACTCTATCATTCTTTGATTAAAGATCTTGAATTTCTTAATTCTTCGAACTTGTAATTGACAAAATTTCTTGTTTCAGAGAATGAATTTCATCTTTTAATCTTCTAATATCATCTTCTAATTATCTTTTATGTAAATTAAATTAAGCTATTAACGATTCTTAATCTTTTGTTTTTTATGATAACATCTCTTTAAGCTTTTCAATTTCACCTTCCAAAAACAAAATTTACAATTTTTATTAATCAATATTCTCATTTAAGAGAGATGTCGATTTTTAAAATTAATCATCTAATTCATTGATCTCATTATTCTTTTATTTTTCTTATTCAAAAGTAATCATTTTTTAATTTTCAATCTCTCTTCTTAAATCAATAATTAATTATTCTAATTGTTATCTTTATATATTTTTTTCTTCGATTTAAATTTAAATCTATTAATTTTTATGTTCAATGATTCCCTTTAAATCATTAATTTCTTTTTCAAGATTAATAATTTAAGTTTAATAATAGGATTTCAAAGTATCTTAATCTCTCTAATGTTAATTTTATTGATCTTTGAGAGATGTCTCAAGAATCATTCTTGCTTGTCTCTCTTAATCTATTAATTTCTACTTTAAAATTTAGATTTCAGTTCTCAAATCATTAATTTAATCTTCAAACATTTACTTATTTTTAACATTTTATCCTAGTAATGTTTCTATTTCAGCATTCTTGATCTCAAGAAGTCCTTTAAGTTTATCTATTTCTGATTATTACACATCAGATTGTCTTGCAAATTCATGTTTCAAAAGTTAGATCTATTACTAAGAGAAATTATTTAGGTTATCATTTAAATGTTCTAATTCCCTTTATTTTTCTGATTCCTACTGATGAATTTTTACTCTAAGTAATTCATTTTCCTTTAATAATCTTTCTATTTATATATCATCTTCTGTTTTTTATCTAAGTATCTTTTATTAAAGATCACTAATTTCGTTATTTTATTCATCTATATGATCTCTTAATTTTCTAATCTAACTTTCACTAATTTCTATTTATAAATTGGTAGCCTTCTTGAGATTCTCAAAGTCTTAATTCGATTAACTCTCAATTTGACCAGAAATACCAACTAATTAACGTTGTCTTTCAGCCTCTGCTTGAGATAAGACAGCTCCTATTTTTTATAATTCAGCATTAAGTTATTTAATTTCAAATTCATAATTAGATTTCATCTACAAAATTTATTGCAATTAGTTTTCATATTTAGATTTCCATAAATCAGCATCAGTTTTTCTTTGTCTTGATAATTTGATAAGTTTCTCATTTTCAGTCTATAACATATTGTTTTCTTTAATATAAGATTCCACATTAGCATCATTCGTTACAATATCATGGGCTCTTCTTTATAATTATTATTATTCTTCAAACAATAACCTATTCTCTGTTTCTAATTCTAAACACTTAGCTTTTAAGAACTCAATTTCTTAAACAAAAGATCTTGTGTCATGTCTCTATGGTGATTCTCGAATGGATGAATACATTAAATTATTAACGGATGAAAATTATTATTAAAACTTAATTAGTAAAATTATGTTATATATCAATATCACTTTAATTATTGAAATTGTAATATAATTCAAAAAGCATTATTTATTGCTTAACAAAAATAACTCATCCATAATCCAGATGAAGATAACTTTTTATAATTGGAATCTATATTTTGTTTCTTCATTTATAAACTCATTATCTCTAAATCATGCTTGATTTTTCTTTTTATTGTATTTTGTTATAAACAGAAGCAAATATACATGAAGAAAATAAAGTTACAAAAATACTAATAAAAACTTCGAAAGGATTTATTGGTGTAACATCCCCATATCCTATTGCTGTCATAATTGTAATTTCAAATTATAATCAATCATAATCCATTCAAATTTATCTCAAACAAATGTAAAAATCTAAATTTCTCTATACAATCCAATTATTACTTATAGAATTCTAACCAACTCCTATTCAAACATATGCAAAATATTGAAAGTCATCAATTTAAAATGACTTTTAAATCTTCCTTTCGGAACTATTTAAATACCTTCATAAAATTTGACAATTCTTTTATTTTAAGTAAATAATTATTTTAGTGGTGTAAACGAAAAAAAGAATAATGCTATCAATTCAGCAAACCTCCAAAATCAATTTAAAATTCTTTCTTAAACTATTATACGATCATTTATTTTGTTTATACCCTAATCATAAATTTGAACATCTAATCCCATAATGCTAAGATAAACATTTCTATAAAGAAAATTTTAAGTAAACCTTCATAAATTCGTTTTCTTAGTGGATAAATGAATCTAAAAATGAAAAATAAAACATAATTGCAGCACCGATAAAAATTTGAAAAACACCAAAATATTAACAAAGGATGACTTACCTTAATTCTTCTTAAAATCTTTTATTCTTATCATTGACATAAGGTTCATAATTATCAACTATGAAAAAAGATTCTACTGTTTTTATTAGCAATACTATTTTGTAATTAGGAAGTCTCCTTCTCTATTTTACAAATTAAATATGATAACTTGACAAAATCTTTAATGGCTGTAATTATTACTTGCTGTAGAACTATATATTCTTTAGTTTGTGTATATTTTTGTAATTTTGTAATTGCTGTCAATAATATTTCTTTCACCTTTAAATCTTATATGAATTTACAGATATTTTATATTTCCAAATGCCTCTTCATACAACAATCTTTATTCGACAAAAGATGATTGAAATTAGTAATTGCTAATTTGAAGATCACTAAGGTTCTTTAATTTAGAAATTCTTATCTTAATGTAATGTCAACCTATCATAATTGTTTATTAAGTCGATTCTAAGATAGAGAATACTCCAGTTAAATAAAATAGCAGTGTTATTCAATTAACTATTTTTCTTTTCTATATAAATAATACTACATAATTTTTAAGTTGAATGTTTATCAATATTATTTTCTGAAGACCACTACAAACAATTTTTTCTTACTAAAATTTATTTAAACAAATCAATCAAAAGCTTAATAATTAAAAAAGTAAAATTATTTTATTTAAGCAAAAAAAATATTTTTAGTATATATATGTATTATTTTATGATGTAAAATCATCGATGGTAAATAAAAAATATAAGAAATCAAATTTATTTGAAAAAAAATTATTTGAATATATTAAAATCTATGAACTTTAGTGATTGGCTTTTAATTTTTTTCAGGACGCCTAAGTTTTCTAATCACCACATATTTTAACTTAATTTATTTTGGCTAAGTTATTTAACTTATAAAATTTAATTTTAATTATAAATTGGAATAATTCTTTTTTATAGAATTTCCTAAAATGTTCTAGTTAAAAAAATATAGAAATTAAATTATTCTTAAATTAACTAAAATAAGTATGCGATTTACTTCATATACCTGTGGCTTAATTAGATCTTTTCAGAAATTAAACTCAATCTCTTATTGCTTAAATCATTACATTAAACTTCAAATATACAGAAAGTTTGATCCTTTAATTATATTTGACTTTTCATGTTAGACACTATTTTTAGATTCTTTATTAATTGCGCATATTCGTTAGTTATTTAATAAGCATTTGCAAAATAAAGAAGTTGAAAAAATGAATCATATTAAGAATATACTGATAAATAATAAATAATATGAACCAACTTGATGAAAATGAAGAGAATTATTTAGATTTTTAAATAATGCAAATGAATTCACTCTAAAATTCATACATTTATTTTAAATCTCAAAATTTCTTAAATTTAAGTTTTGAAGAGGTTAATGGATAATTTCATGAAGCAAATAAGGGAAAAATTAAGAGTGCTTAGAAGGACAAAAATAAAAAAAGTTTTATAGTTATATATGAATCTGTTTTTATATATTAATTCAAACTTTATCTTGAATTTGTGTAAATAAAAATAAAATAATAAAAATGCAGAAACTTAACAAACTACAAAACAATGAACAACAAGTCTATTTCAAATCTAGGTTGATTCATAATCTCTAAAACTACTTACTGAGGAACTAAAAAATGAAGGATTGTAAAATGATAAGCAATCCGCAAGATGCTGACTTATTCCTGAAATAACAATACTAAATTAAACAAAATGGATTGTAAAACAAACCACTTCATTCATTAGTGGTCTTATGTAAAAACCAGCTCAATAGCTGAATTTTTGATTTCTATTATATAGTATTTTCTCAATTAAAATATTTGAAAAGAACAATGTTCTAATATAATTTAAGTTTTTATAAATTAAATGGGATGTTAGAATTTCATTTTTTTGTGAACTTCAAAACATATCTAATAAAATCTAAACGAAAAAAATAAAATTAGAATATTAAGTTAAAAAAAATATGTACATTTTCACAATCTTAAAATTTTCTGGAAAAAATTTGGATCATGGGCTTCTTTATCACCAAAATTTTTAATTTGTTTTCTTTAATAAAGATATTAATACAAAGGATTCCACAATCTTTATTCATTTAATAAAGCTTTTGAATTCCCAAATATAAATTATCCATATTGTGCTCTAGATGTAGCAACGTTCGCTCTCCTGTAGTCTGTTAAGAATCCAAGTCCTTCACTTCTAACAAGCGAAATAATCATAATATCATTTTCTTTTCCTTGAAAGGCATCAATAGTATCAATTTCTACATAATCCAAAAGCTAAGGGTTAAATTTAAAAAGATATTTTTTTATTAATTTGACCTAGGCTCTATAAGGAGTTATTATGGATATTGGTTTTTCATTTTACTGATTATAATCCTATAATAAGTAGCATATTAAATAGAAGACCCCAAAAGCCTCATATTCATTGAATAATGAATTATTGCTATTAAATTAAGTCCCATCATGGACGTCGAAAAATAAAAAATTATTTGAATTATTCAATTTATTCATTAGATATTCGGGAAATTGCATTTTGCTTACTGATTCTGAATCTTACACTTTTCCTTCATAGAAAAAATGGGATGTAATAGTACTTAAATTTTGCATAGATCGATATTGTATATTAAGCATAATATATTGCTAAGTTGTTTGTAGTAGCCTTTCATAGAGACTTCTATTATAATTATATTCAAAAGCGTTTGTGTTGTCATAAATGACTGGGCCAAGTTATCGATGATCTCCAATTAAAACTAATTTGTAGATTTTATGTTTTGAGAGTGGGATAAGTGTGGAAGGTTCAAAACACATAGGAGCTTCATCAATAATACATAATGAGACATATTTATCTTCCATGTATTATTCTAAAAGGGAAGAGGCACAACTCGTTAAAGTTGATACTACTATTTAAATACCTTAGAGATTGTTTAACATCATCTATTTATAGGTTTCTTTATTTTGTCCTAAAATTTACACTAGTGTAGAGTAGAATCTTCGTAAATCTTTTTTCTATGATTCTAATCTATACAAATCTGTGTCTACTGAATATTTTTATTAAGGATCCAAATCATCATAAAAATCTTTTAAATCATAAATTTTTTCATTCAACTATGATATTTTTTATTTGATATGAATTAATGTCAATTAATCAAATTTTTATTTATTTGGTTTGATTAATTCACAAATAGATTTTTTTTCATATTCTGGAGTGAATTTCATAAAGAATTGTCTTTAAGTTTTGATTTCAAGACAATAATCATAAATATCAGGATCTGACTTTTCAGCCACTCCAATTCTCATAACTTTAGCATTAGAAAATTCTTTATTGATTTTTCTGACCCAATCATTGATAACTGTATTAGAATGACCACATGCTAAAATAATACTATCTTCTTTCAATTGATTCATCCTTTACATAATAATATTCATTATTCCCATTGATGTATATGTCTTACCTGTGCCAGGAGGTCCATTAATCAATGTGAATGGATGTGTATAATTAGTTGAGTGTCTAATGGCATTCATTTATGATTGATTAAACTTTTTATTATTTTTTAAATATTCTTCAGTTATTTACAATAGAGGGATTCCAAACTCATAAGCTGATTTCATCAATGGATGAGGTTCAATGTAATTCTGTGGCTACAATAAACAATTTATATATTTTGATTTCCCAATATTTAGAAGGGCTTTGAGTTCAATAAGGTATGTTGCAGGAGAGAAAATTGGATTTAGATGTACTAAAAATTAATAAGGGTACAATTCATCGAAATTTGGATATGTTAAAGGAACATACTATTATTTTAATTTATATAAATTTTTTCTTGTATCTCCTTACTCTATCACAATGTTTGGAATTTTAAGAGAGTTTATGACTCTTGAATTCCATGGCAAATATATTAAATTTTTATCTCTATTTGATTCTTGTTTAGAAATAATACCTAATAAATTCACATATTCTCTTTCATTTCTAATAAATATCTAAACTATATAACTTTTGGCAGCTATAAATTCAAAGTATTCACTAATGCATGTTTTTTTCCATGTGTATTTATCAGCTTAATCAAAATCACCTTCTACTGCTTCCAATACTAAATATTTGCCAAGTATAGTATTTTTTCTATCAATCATCAATTAATATCTTAAAGGCAATGGTAATGATGTATTTTTATATTTTTTAGCCATATCTTCAGCTGTACTTTTAATATAGGCCAGAGTTTCATTAATAAAAGGAGGTAAAAAATATTACAAATATTCATTTTCACTTTCATAATCATCTTTTAATTCTTTCATTTAAGATTTTGTTTCATTAAGCAAAAGTGTAAATAAATAACTCACATCTTCTTGCCTAAATTTGAGATGTCTAGTTAATTAATCTTCTTCTTATTGTTCAATCAACTTCTTGAGTGAAGTCGTAGTTTTTGGAGTGTTTAATCTAATTATATTTAACATAGGTTATAATTAAATTGCATTGCTTAATTTATCAATTTATTCAATTTATTATTGTTCATCCTTTTCATCATCAAATTTAAAATCCTTTAAACTATGAATGACAGGCTCAAACACAATATTCGTTAGTTTAAGTTTCTTTTTCTATTTAGTTTGTTATTCAGTTGCTTAAATGTCTTTTTTATTTTATTTTGCTGGTTTTGCTGCAACCAAAAAATCGCTTATCAGCATAAATTAAAAATTATTTTATATATAAATTACTTATTCAATCTTCATCATATTATCTTCGGCATTGTCTTAAAAAGACTTATTCTAAATTTGCCTATTTAATAGTAAATGTTCCAATCAAATCTTCTTAACATAAATTTTTAAGAATTTTAATTGTTGTAGGAACATCATATTCATTTCCCAATTTAATAACAATTAATAATCCCTCCCTTTAATGTTGGGGAAAAGCCAATATCACTTAATCTAAAGCTTCCTTATTCTTGGCTCTAATGGATAGTAAGATTCCACTTCCATATTATTCTATTAATTATGCAGAACTTTGTTATGGAAAAGGTTACTATCCATTGATTATAAAACTTATGCTATCACTTAAATATTAGGCTTCATCCATATCATGAGTAGTAAGTATGATAGAACTATTTCTTTTTTGGACATGAGATTTTATCATGTTTTAGAGATTTCTTCTTGAAATTGGATCAAGTCCATTTGATGGTTCATCAAGAATAATCATGCCACTTTCTCCAATTAGACTAATGGCCAAAGCAACTTTCCTCCTTTGACCTCCAGACATATTCACTATTTTACCTTTTATAGAAAGAGTTCTTAAAATTTATGAAATTTCATTTTTCACATAACGAATACTACCTTTTATTCTAGCAAACAAATAGAGGATTTCTTCAGCTGTTAGATCTTCCCATAAACCTTCACATTATTAACATGATGATATTATCATATTTTTGTTATACATTATACTTCCCCATTTTGATTTAAGACAATCAGTTATTAATTGTATGAGTGTAGTTTTACCTGCCCCATTTGGACCTAAAAGAGTCAAGATTTTTTGTGATGATAATTAAAGATCAATTTATTTCAACACTTGTTTATTTTGAATATAACCAAATTAAATATTCTGAATTTACAATTTATTATTACTACTATCTTGCAGATTCTTTCTATTTTCAAATAATATCAAATGTTTTTCTAAAATTTAATATAAAAACATGAATAAGACAAATTATACTAAAAAATATATATAGTAATCTTAATCTTAATTTTTATTCTACAAAGCCAAATTTAAAGTATAAAGTGGAAATAAGTAAGCAAATAATTCACTGTATTGATTTTATAATTGCAAATCAACCATAGATGGTAGGAAATAACAAAAAAGAAAATTGATCACAGGGAATATCTTAAATGCACTTTGATTAGAACTAAACATAAATGAGGCTGTATATGAAAATGAAATAATCGATAATCCAAATAAACTTAAAATAATGAGCAATTGTTCTGATTCAAGGGACATGTTAACTTAAAGTGATAAAACATAAATAAATGAAGTGACAATAAATATTATAATATAATCTCCAAGGAATGTTGCAAATATGTAAGTAAATTGAGACATTCCCATTTATTTTAATTACTATCTAATTTTGAGTTCTCTTTCTAGAATTGGTGTGTTAATAAATATTGATGAATTAAGGCTGAAGGATTGCGAGATAAATAATGATACAAAAAATTAGGTTTGATCTTCACTTGTTAATAAATGTTATCCAAAAATATAAGCAAATAATAAGATAAGCATAGGCAATATGAGCATCAATTGTAAAGTGAAATTCCTTTTGAGAATGTAATATTTTTTATAGAGTAAAGCAGAAATTTGGAGTAATTGTTTAGTTTTTACATCATTGGTGGATTTAATAGGAAAAGAGTACTCATTAATAATTTTATCATCTTCTAAATTATCTTTGTTTAATTTAAGATAGGCTGCCTCTAAAGTATTCTAAATTAAATTGATTTTAATGTTATCAATTTTATTCAATTCATTAAGTTTCTCGACAATAGAAAATAGTTGATTTTAATTAAGAATGTATTTAATATTGTCATATTCAAGCTTAGAACCACTTGAACAGTCCAATTCATTAAACATTTACTTAATTTATGATTATTATTGAGATGATTGAATATTCCCAAAAGTAAGAGTGAATCCAACTTCCAATTCTTTTTTTATGTTTTCAGGAGATCCATAGATTTTAATTGATCCTTGTTTCATAATGGCAATTCGATCAGCTAATTCTTCAGCTTCATCTAAAAAATGAGTAGTTAATATTAGAGTCTTATTAATCTATTTGATTTCCTTTAATATTTTCCAAATTTATCTCCTAGATTCAGGGTCAATACTGGCAGTAGGTTCATCAAGAAATATAATTTAAGAGCCTCCAACCAAAGCTAAGGCAATTTATAATTTACGTTTATTTCCACCACTTAATTCATAAGTTTTGTAATTTGAATATTATTATAATTGCATTAAATTTAACCACATTTCTATTTCTGAAACTAATTCACTGCCTCTCATCATACATTGATATTGCAATGATTCTTTTACTGTCAATTAATCATATAGTAAATTCTCTTAAGGACAAAACCCTATTAATTTTTAAATCTCATCTCTCTTCTTATCAAAGTTTTTTCCAAAATACAATATCTTACCACTGGTTTTCTCTATCAATCCTGTCAATATATTAAGTGTAGTAGTCTTTCCTGCTCCATTCTATCCTAAAATACAAAGTATCTATTAGGAATAGATCTTCAAATTTAAATTTTCAATTGCTAAAACATCTCCATATTACTTAAATAACTTTACAATTTCAACCGATGTAAATGCTAAACCTTCCTCACCACCATTACTTATTACCTCCATATTATCTACGAATTAAACATATCCTGTCTTATTATTCCTTTTCCATAAACATTTACCACCAATAATAAATTAATCTTCCAAGAAATTGAAGAATAGATAATACAAAATTAGATGGATAAATAAACTTATAACACAATAATAGAATGCTTCTGTATTGCTACTATCTTTTAGTATGTTCATCAGGTAATAAGAAATAATTGATTAAGGACAAACGTAAACCAAAAATTCCAATTTATATAAAGATGCAAAATAGAATGTTGACAAGATTGTTTGAAAAAATGACCCGAATTCACCAGCCAATTAAGAGTTGCTAAAAAAAGTTGATAATAATAGTGTCTATCCAATTTAAGCCATAATAAATAACATAAAGCACAATAACACTTCAAGGGAAGCTTTAAACTCCAATTTATACAATATTGTTAGAAGTATCAATGACCCTATTATTACGCTTTTTATAATATAAGTAATAAACCATGCTATTCGATAATTTTACAATTTCATTCCCATTATCTATTGTTAAGAATTTATTATACTTTATATAAATCTCTGTACTTATTTGTCTTCTCATGTACATATTCTACCAACAATTATCTACATAACCCTACAAAACAAGAGGGAATGTAAACTGGTACCATAATTGCCATGAATAGTCCCCCAGTACCATTATCATCTTTTTGTACCATTAATAACACGAATACTGTTATAAATGGTATAAAGAGCTCTTTGCCTAGCTCTTTATGATTGGTCATCTTCATGTTTTTCCACAAAATGGCCCATATTTAATTGTTAAAATACATAATTGATGATAGTTATATATATAAATCATTTGATATTTATTATGGAGCTAATACAAATTAATTAAATACACGTACCTGATGATGTGATTGTTAATGGTCAAGTCAAATGTATCCGAATTTACATTTCTTGATCTTCCTATTAAATAAACACCTTGCTACAAATCATTTGTACTTTCTATCACTTTACCCTTTTCTAATAACATTATGTGAAATATATAATACTGCCCAAATCAGCTAGAATTTCTATTGTTGGCTCCAAATGAGTAGGCTATATTCCTAAATCTGTCATATCAACAAAAAATAATTTTTGATCAGGCCCCATTTTAATATTCTTCCATTCATCTTCAGTAAACTGCTTATCTAAATAATCTCTCCTTAACTTTTCATAGTATTTACAATACAGTTCAGGAATAAAGACATCATAAAAGTCTCTTTCCTATAATGCTTTAACTAATACTATTGCTTCATTCTAACAATTAATTTGCTTACTCAAAGTCTACTATAATATTTTAGAATCATCTTCCTTTATTTTCTCAATAATCTCTTTTGGATTATTAGCTGTAATTTAAACCCAATAACAATCATCAAGATTAAATTGACAAAATAAATCCAATTTCTTTATTTCACATAAATTGTATGCATATTCAAATTAAGATTAAAACAATAATGTGATAATACTTTTTTTAGCTAATTAATTCAGAATATTCACCTTTTCTTTTAATTAATCAATGAAGCAATGTATAATGTTTGAAAAGATTATAGCAAGATCTTTACCTTTTTCATTTTTTTATGGTATAACTTCATTTTATGACCAACCTATCTATTTAGGATTCAGATCACAATTGTAAATTTAAAATGAACAATTGAAATCATCACATAACTCTTCAAATTCTTCGTGTTTTAGTTATTTAGCATTTTTAATACCTAACATAACCTAGCAATTCATGTAATGATCTAAAAAATCTGTTATTTCAACTATGTTATTTTTAAATTCGTTAGAAAATATCTCGATTATAAATTTTAATTGATTTTATTCGCTGGAATCAGGCTAAATAACATGAGGTAAATTGTAATTCTCTGTACAATATACATCAAAATCTGAATAAAACAACTCTTCATCAAAGTTATTTAAGAAGAGATAAAACTTGGATTTTTCCTTATAATTAAAGAACTCTATAATAATTTTGTCTTTTAAGGTTTCAATCTTATGATCTTTTATGGTCTTCAATTATTTCATATCTTATTATTCTTCCTCGTCTTCTTCATCTTACATTTACAATTCATTGCCATCTTTTTGATTTATTTCTTACTTTTCAATCTACTATTTTATTGGTATGACTATTTCAGAATCATTATTTTTAAGGTTTTCAAATTATAAGTACTTTTTCAAATCTTTCTATTCATTATATTAAATTGCACTGTTATCTTACTATATTTAACTATCTGCTTATTTAGCTACTTCACTCTAAAAATTACTATTGGTCAATCTTGAAATCTAATTGCTCTCTTCGTTCATTTATTTTTATTTCATAAAATTTAACTATTCTGTATCCGCAAATACAAAATGATTCTTTAAAAACTTACTTGTTAATCTTTTCAAGATCTCTGTTCCAAAACATTAATCCAATCTATTAGCTATTGATTCTATTTCTTCAATTTATACTATTTTCATATCCATCCCTTAAAAATCATGTTATACATTTTATATTTAAGATAAGATCTTTTGCTTTAAATGTTTCTCTATGGTAGACATTGCTTCTACACATCCAGAATCGGATGACCCTTATATAACAAATATCACAAAGTCGCCATAATCTTATAAACTAAAAGATGCCTTAAAATACTCTTCCATTCTCCTTATATCGAAAATTAAAAATATTTATATTGCTTATTCATCTCTCATTTTTATTTAATAAATCTTTTTATATATATTTCTATTTGCTAAATCCCTATTTCTATAACTATAATATTAAGAATTATAAGGAGTAACTCCTTAATCAATATTTTTGTTTATTTGTTATACTAAATATTAAATCCTCTAAATCAATAAAGATTGCTTGCTTGAAGGTAAAAATATTATCACATAATTTAAAGGATATTTTCTTGATAAATTTACTATGTAACCAAATTTATCATTTAAATCTTTTTTTATTTGCATAAACTGCTTTTTTGAAAAGATAAATAATCCCTAATATTACCTTTTCAAATTTTCATATTCCTAATTACTTAATAAATCCAGATATGGTCCATAATTCTCATCTAGATCATTTGATTGCATCAAAAAATCATAAATAAATTCATGTTTTGCCTTTGTTACCGCATCCTAAACAGCACATTAAACTCTGTGTAAATCTACTCCTTCTAAAAATGCTCTGCTTCCTCTAAACTTTATAAATGTTTCATATCTCCTTCTTAAATCTACAAAGTATCTTAAGTGGTACATCCACATAATATGTTCAGCATCTAGATCTAACTCAACTTCGAAGCCCTTCATTTAATATAAAAATTATCATTTTATTTTTTATATTTTCCTGATAATATTTATATTATCATTTTCTCTGGTTATAATCTCTACAGAAATAGAAATAAAGATAAATAGCTTGGAAAGATTTATTTTCTTAAAATTTCATACCTGCTTCCAAGTTACCCCTCTACAATTACATAATTGTTATAGTATATTTTATTGATAATTAGAAATAAAAATTAAACTAAATAACTCTTTATTCTTCTCTAACAGATTTACATAACTATGGTATTATTTTATTTGAAATAGCTGAAATTCAAAATATTACATTCTCTGTATCGTTACTGTAATTTCGAATCCATACAGTAATAAATGCTCCTTAAGATAAATCAATTATTTTTATTATTTTCGGTTAATCTATCTTGAAAATCAAAAATAAATTTAAAATCTGAATTAAATAAACAAATTTCAATAATCTCTGAAACACCATGGATTCTATTCTCTATTTCCTAATTCAATTATCGCTTCATAATACATGAATAAATTCTAATTTACTTAATATTCTTCTAAATTCAACTAAATATCCATCACCTTGTTAAGTAATTTCTTATTAAATTTAAAATTGATATAAAAAAAATTTAATTACTTAACATTAGATTTATTTATTTAAAATTCTGCAATTTAATAGTTCTGAAGATTTCTCTTCATCTTGCAGTTATTAAGAATATTAGAAGTTATAATTATTCTGAAGGTATTCATTAGTTGTTAATTTTACAACTTACAAAGAAGCATCCACCTCATTAGTTACTTTTTCACGATATTTAGCCTATTCAGATATCACTACATTTTTGATTTCTAATTATAATATTTCCATGCACGTGTATTTTTAATATAGTTTGACTAATGTTTTTTTTAATCAGAGGAAGATAATTGTCTTGTTGCAAAGTTTCATTAGCAAAAATTGCATTTTTTTTTGGTATGAATAATAAGATTCCTTTTAATCTGATAGAGTTTAGAAATGAATATTATCATTATATAATTCCTACTAGTATTCATAATTTGCAAAATTTTAAGGTCGTTAGATAGATTACTACTCAAATTATTTTTAATCATGGTAAGCAAATTGATCCTTATAGTTACTTTTAGATTTATTTTAGAAAAGTAAATATTATTATTAATTAAACTTAGGGTTTCTCAAGAATCTAGTGTTTGAGCTTTCTTAATAATAAAACTATTGTGAAGTTTTCTATACTAAGTCTAATCTATACTTTTATTTGAGCTTTCTAACAATTTAAATTACTTTATCAGTTATTTCACCATATAAAAATCCTCTCCAAATATAAATAATTCATCAGAACTTATAAATATCAAAGAAAAATATGCTAAATCTCAAATTTAGAATTTCATTCAAATTTGTATCAAACTCTTAATCTAGTTTTTTTTGATTCATGTATCATATCTTCATATATATGTATCTTATTTTCTGCATTGGTTCTGATCTAATCATTTAACTCTTCTTACAAATAATAGAGATAGTTTGAACAAAATTTAATTTCTAAATAAGCTAAAAGCCAGAATTGTTTTTTATCAAATTATTCTCTAAAATTTCCAATATTTCATCCACAGAATTTATACTATTTGCTTAAATCACCAGGAAGAATTGATTTGAGATTTATTTCAGTTCTATCTTTAATTAAAATTAGTCCATAATTAAAAGCACATCTAAAATAAAATATGCAATGAAACAATCTCTAGAGCTGCTATTTTATATATTTATCGAATTTAAAATATTCTTATTTACATTGATTATATTAATTACTACTCTTTTTAAAAATCTATTATTATATATATAACATATTTCTCCTAAAAAACTAAGTTATAATAAAATAATTAAGAAGATTAGGGAAATTTAAATAATATCCATTTTATTTAATAAGAGATTAGAATGCATGAATCCATATTCTGTTGTTATTTAGCTTATTTCTCTATATTCTGGTTAATAAAATAATTGATGAAAAAGTTTGATTTATTCATTATTCATAAATTCATTTATTTGCATGAAATAATCATCATGAATTTTCTCTTTAATTCTTTAAGCTGCATCATCATAAATAAAACACATACCTAATAACATAATGAAATGGTTTTAGAGTAATAATTGATTCCATTTTTATGGAGTAATTTCTTTTTAGAAACCCTGATTGCTTAATTCAGAATAACTTCAAGGGTTTCTAAAAAAAGTTCAAAATGATTATTTGAATTTTTTTTAATTCATTGTAAAAAAATATTTGTAATACTTAAACATCAAGTAGAAGAAACTAGAGATGAAGAAAAATTTAAATTATGACTGATCATTTATGTAATTATGTGTTGCTGATACATTAGAGAGAAAAAAGAAATGATTTGTTAAAATGGATTGTTTGAAGTAATTAGTATGATTATTATTTAATAAATATATATTTATAATGAAAGTAATATAATATAACAATGGATTGTATTATGGTTAACTTGATTACTTTTATAAAAAGATTGGATTGGGTGTTTATGTTTATGATGATTCTTGCCTTTATTATGGATAATGGAAAAATGATTTATACAATGGAGAAGGTTTAATTATATTTCCATTTGGTGGAATTTTAAAGGCAACATTTAAGAACCACTCAATTGAAGGAATAGGAATATTAATAACAAACAATGAAGTAATGATAGGAGAATATCAAAATTCAGTATTAATAAATAAAGCGTTGTTGTTTAATGGCAAATAATGGAAATTGAGATCATTTTTCAAAAATGGCTAATATGAAGATTAGGATTGTTAACCTAGTAAAGAATAAAAATTATTCTCAGAATTCATCAAATAATATCCCTAGCTATATAAAAGCAAACTTTTATTGTCTTTGGTAGGATTTATCATACATGAAAATTAAATGTATATAGGTGAGTTTAAGAATAATAAACTTGATGGTTTAGGTAGAATCTTAGACTTTGATAAACGAGTGTTAGAAGATGGTTATTATAAGAATGGATTACTGTAGAAAGGATATAGATATTATGTTGAAAACAATTCATTTGAATAGGTTTAACTTGTTTATGAATAAGGATAATTTGACTATAAGATTACAATGTAAGGAGCAGATTTTCCTGGTGAATTAATTTAGAAATAAAGAGCTTTAATACATCTAACATCTAAACAATATATAAGTAAATCATAAGAAATACATTACTTTCACAATAGATTTCAAAAATGTAATAGCTAAATGAAATAATTATTAAAAATTACATTAAATCAATTTATTTTAGATGAAGATGTATCAAATGAAGGGGAAACAAACAAACCAATAGAACATGTGAGGAAAGCTTCTTTTCATAATGAGAAGAATAAATAATTGGATGAATAAATCACAACAAGAACTTCTTCATTTCATGAAAAAAGTAGATAATATGAATTAGATATGTGTAAAATTGAATTTGAAAATACTTTAAAGCCTATACCTATAAATGTTAAATAAAAATAAAGAAAAAGGATTTTTGATAACTATAATTTTTGACTTAGAATACTATCATATCACATGTACTAATTTAATTTTTTAATATTTAAGAATATTGAATTTCTCATATAATTAACGAAATCATTTTATACTCATTATTATACTTCAAATCCTCTTATTAAATCTCCAGAAGTATCTAATTTCACACTGGATCTTGCTATTTCTAACTTTTCCTATAAATATTTGGTTATAGGTCCAATCTCACCATTTCCAATGTTTTAATCATTAACACTTAAAATAGGAATAATCTAATTATATTATTCAGATTATTTACATGATCATTACTTAAATGAAATAATTCTACTATTTCATCAATATTTTTAATGTTTAATTCAATTTCTTTTACTTCTTTAACAACATTTTTTGGTAATAAATCGTTATCTACAATTTTCAAAGCTTTATTTAAAGTATTTCCTCTTATAGTTTTGCTCAAAGGTGGATAACCGAATGTATTGTCTTTAGTTAAGAAAGCAACATTTGAAATGGCACCTTCTAATAAATTACCTTGAGGATCAATCTTAATTCCAAAATATCCTCCTCTCACTTTTGAATAGTCTGCCATTGTAGCTAATTCTAAATAGTTGACTGTTTTGGCATTTGAAAAATAATTCGGCTGAGTCCACATATCTAAATGAATATATTCTTTAACTCCTTTATCTGAATCATCATTAACATTTCCATTAATATATAAAGCAGCATAAACTATTGATTTCTTATTCTAAAGATTAAATTTTAATTACACATCCATAAATATCAAAATCTCCAATTCCAGTGGAGACCCAAATTTTCAGAACTAAAATTTAATCTTATATATTTGGATGATTCTCTCTCTCCAAAACTTTATAAGCTAAAAAGGCCATTTCATGTATTTTATCTATAATTAATAAAACTATAACCTTTGATTTATTCTTTTGTAAGATCAATCTTTAATCCTATAATTTCAGCAGATCTAAATAGTCTATTCATATGAAAATCGAGTGAACTGATTCTATAGTTTTTAACATTGCCAGTTTCCATAGCACCATGTGCTCTATTTGCAAGTCTATCATCTATTGGGAAAACCATTAGATCTTAATCATTGCCTTTAAATATACTTAGAAATTTTACCTTCTATTAGCATATCCAAATGGGAATTATACATTGCAATAACCCGAGATTATCGATTCTGAGCACAATTTTATAAATATTTAAGTATGTCATCTCTTGTTGCTACCTTTGTTTTTAATTAATCCATATATTTTTTATAAAATAAAATATTATAATTAACTTACAAAAATTGTTTGAATTTAATTGATAAGTGTCAAAATTAAGAATGAAAGATGAATAGAACTTAAACATACAAATGTAATATGAAAACATATAATTTATTGAATAATTATTAATTAATTATGGAATATCAAAAAATTACTGCAACATTAAATTCTGAGTTAAAACAGAAGTATCAAGACATTGAGGAAATGCAAATTCTAAAAGAAAATTTAAGAAAATTCAAATGTAAACATTAAACTTATATTACATAGTGGATGCAAATCTTAAATAAATTAAGTAAGAAAAGGTCACAAAGCTTTGTGAGAAAATAAAAGATGCTGACTCTAATCGAACAACAAAGAAAAAATATGAAAGTGTATTGAAAGAAATAAGAGAATGTGATTTATCAAAGTATTAATAGGTTATAAAATTATAGATCATTATAAGAAATCGCAAATACTATAATTGACTGTTAATTACATTAATCTAATGTTAAATTTTTTGTAGAATTATGCACAGTATTAAATAGTTATGAAGAATTTACTAATATACTTTTATAAACAGCTTTAAAACATATTAAATTATTGGAAAAAAAAGGAGGAAATTATGAGAATGAAGATAAAAGAGCTTAAAAAAGAAAAAATCTTTTGAGACTATTTGGAGAATTACATTAATTAATAATTTAAAATGATTAATTTGCTGAAATTTTGAGAATGCTTCTTCCAACAGGTTAACCTTTAGATTATTTACTAATAAATATATAAGTGATGACTAATTTTATGAATCATTTTGGATATGAATATTTTGGATATCACAAATATGAAACCAGAAAAGATTTAATTGATAATCCAGATTTAGAAAAAATATTTAGAGATAAAAAACATAACAAGACTATTAAAACCATATTAAACGAATATATTACATATATTGAAAAAATGCTGATTGATTTATACAATCAAATACAGAAATTAACTGAAAATCAGAGTGATTAATCAGACAATTAAAAAATCAAAGAATTAAAAGATAATTTTATAAAATTAAAAGACAATTATAGAATCATTAAAGATTGTGTTGGTGATTTTAATCCATAAAATACTGATTAAGATAATGAAATTTTAAATTTAAATGGTAGAGACTTTTAATAAACAAACAGTGATGACACTGATTGTTTTTTAGAAGATGAAAGAAAATTATATTGTTAATTAATTACTATAAATAATCCACCTGATTCAAATTAAGTAACACTTTAACAAAATCAGAAGTAAAAAGATTGTTCATCAATAGAAATTGTTGATTAGATGGCATTGGAATTTGTTAATACAAAATAGAATAGAAAAAAACTTTTAGAAGAATTGCAAAATTTTAAATAAAATTATACAATTGTTATTCCTTATTAATGTCGCTTATTTGCAACTTTATGCAAATATTACAAAGAATTTGAAGAGGAAGTTATTAAATCATTTCTAGAATAATACAGATAAATCAAATCTAGTGATTACATAGAAAGAAAAAGTAGATATCTTAGATATTTATGTGAATTAACAAAATTCAAAATTTTGAAATAAGATATAATATTAGACATTTTAGCTTAATTACTTGAAGATTTGATTGGTTAAAATGTAGAATTAATAGCTTTAATATTAAATAATTGTGGACGATTTTTAAAATACTCTGGAGAATCATGCAAGAAATTTGAATATTTACTCACTTAGTTAGATAAATAGAGAAAATTAAAGCCATTAGGTTAAAACCATGATAGTATATTCACTTAAGCACTATTGAGTTTTGATAGATAAGCTAAACCAAAAAAAGAAAAAACATAATTACAAAAGTTCATAAAGTTTATCATTTTTGATTAATTAGATAATTTTAATAGTGCCTTTGAAAGTATGGAAAAACTTCCTTTAAATGATTAAAATTGTAAACAATATTTGATTAAATAATTATTTAAAATAAGCATAAAAGGAAGATACTCATCATTAAGTTTAGTAGCATGTCTTTTAGCAGCCCTAAAAGAAAAATATCCTGATATTACAGGTTAAGTAGTAGATTGCTTATTAGATGAAATTTTATGTGGTTTAGAAGATAATAATATCAATAAAAGGTAGAGAAGAATAACAATAACAAAAATGATTGGAGAATTATATACTTACAATATTATAGACAAAGAGTTACTATTCAAGCTTCTTTATTTGATTATAGAATTCGGACATGCTTCTGATATCTCTTAAACTGAATAAGACTTAATAGATCCTCCTGAAGATTCTTTTAGAATCAATTAAGTTATTGGTTTAGTAGAATCTGTTAGAGAATATCATAAATAATTGAAAAGTGATTTATTAAAGTTCTTGGTTTAATTTTAAAGATATGTTCTATCAAAACGATATCTACCGTAGATTGTTGAATTCTCATTACTCGATTTGTATGAAATTATAGATCCAAGGCTTGCAAGAATTAAGACTATTAATCAAGCTGAGCAAATATTTTAATCTAATAATATTGAAGAAGCATTATCGAGACTTCCAGATTAAAATGCTTAATTATAAGTTATTGACAAGAAACTTATAGAAGATTAAAAAGAAATAGAATTATAAATTAAGTTAGAATAAGAATTAGATTTACAATACTAATAATAAATGAAGGTAGTTTTATAAATCTAATTAGGAATCATAAATGGAAAATCAAATCAAAAAAAATTTTAACTAAAATAAAAAACATGTATAAATTAAGGGTGCAGGTGATGTAAAAGTGATAACAAAAGTAGAAGTTTAGAATAATAAAAAAGTAGATATTAATTAATTATTTAGATCAATTAAGTACCAAATAAATATGTTGGATTTTCTTAATGAAGTGCGATATTATTGTATGAATGAATGTTTCTTTAATGATTATGATGTGATGTACAAATTATACCAAAATTTCAAAATCTTATATAGTTTGTAAATAAGTGTTTTACTATTTTTGTAAACACTAAGTTTTCAATATCTGTGTCTTTATAACTATCATCATTTTTTGAAGAAAATTGAGATAAGAGTCTAGTTATTTCTTGACTTAAATGCTATAATCTTACTCTTATAGTGAATCTTTATCGAAGTTTCTTAAACTTCAAATACATCAGAATGACTAATACTGCAATATATTAGATATAACTAATACCTATCACAATTAATGGAAACAACTTTAACAAATTCTGTTAAATCCATTTTAAATATTCTTAAATGACACGATTGTAAGATTAGCTTATCTGATTTTTTTTTTCCAATCTATATTGATAGTTCTTTAATCTAAGTTAATAATTTTATTCATTTTCATATTATTATTAGATGATTGTTTCTAACAGTACATTCACTTTGAACTAATCTATATAGATTTAAATAGGTATTCTGCAAATAGGGCATGAATTGAAATTTTGATAAAAGTATTTGTCACATAAACAAGGTTTACAGAATGAATGACCACATGCAAGAGTCACTGGATAAAGTAGAGTTTATAAGCATATTGGACAATTCAATAGTTGTTACATATTTATATATAATAAGTACCTTTATAATGTGTAATAAAAATTTAAAAAGAGATGATTGATGCATAGTAATTAGATATTGGTATGAATAGAAATAAGCATAAAAAATCATGAAATATTTACACGTTTAATTTTGCGTATTTTTGGTTTAATAAATTTTCCAACTAATCCATCGGATTTCTTTTTATGTAAAGAGCGTTGTTGCCAAGTACTTTTACTTAATTTGACAGGACGATTGCCAACATATTTACCATTCATTTCTTTGAATGCTTTTAAATAATCATTTGAGTTTAAGAATGAAACAAAACCATAACCTCTAGTTTTCATGGTACGTTTATCTCTAATAACACGAGATCTTGCAAAGGAAGGATATTTTCTAAAAGCATTAGCCAAAACTTCATCGCTCACTTCATTTCCAAGATTTCCACAGAACAATCGATAATCTCCTTCTGGCCAATCTGCAAGTGTAGAATCTTCCCAAATGTCTCCTGCACATTTTCTTAATATTTTCATCTTTCTCTTTCTCTTTTATTATTATTATTGTTATTGCTATTATTACGTTTGTTATGGTTATTATTCAATTTGCTTCTACTAAGATTACTCAACTAGATAATAGATATAGAAATAGTACCTTTCATTTATTCTTCAACTTTTTTAATTTGCTCTTGGTTGATTTCAGGCTTCTTTTAATCATAGAGTTTGTTAAGCAAGGAGAGTGCATTTAAGAGTTTGGACATATTTATAATTTATATTAATAATGCAAGTTCATACTGATAAAAGTCCTGTAATTCGAACTACAAAATCAAGAGTGGCAGTTTCCCCTAATTCTATAAAGTCAATTCCAATTACACATAAAGTAATCAATCGTATAATGGTTCCAATATACTTAAGAGATCAATAATAATAATAACAACAACAACCATAAAATCCAGATGTGATTAGATTGTAATAGGAATTAGAGATGTGGATTCAAAGATATCGAGAATTAGAATAAATGTATTAAGGACATAAGAATCATTTAGTTATTGTATATAAAATAATTATGAATAGATTACATAATATTAAGAGCGTATTGATATGTTAGTTTAAGAGAATCATCAATTATCTCTCATTTTAGAATCACGTATTTAAGAAGTGTAATAATGGGAAAGAAGTTACTAAGAGTTACAATAACAATTACAATATACTCACACAAATAGAGAATCTGAATTTCAAATTCAAATTAATTAATACTCTAATGTAATTACAAATTATGAAAAGAATATTAATGAATTGAAAACCACTCTCCAATTAAATCAATAAGAAGGCTAATAATGGAGAGAGCGTTGTGAGTATTTATAAAAGGAATAAGAAAAATTGAGACTCTATTATGAAAATCAACGTCAATAGGATGCTGAAATGCTTATGCAAAGTGCAGATCAACAACGTTAATAAAATGAAAATGAGGTTTATAAACTTAGAAGTTAATTGGATAGCAGAATGAAAGAATTAGAATAATTTAAGTAATAAAATCATCAATTAGAATAAACTTTGATTGAAGTTGGATCAAGTTAATAAAATTATGAAACTAAATTATTACTATTAACATAAGAAATTGAAAATAGTAATAATGTATTCTAGAAAAAAGTGTAATAATTTGAATAAACAAAAAAAAGAAATTAAGAATTAGAATAAGAAAATCAGATCTTGAGAGAATAATATGATCAATTTGCTCAATAATTAGATTTCTATAGGTAAAAATATGAGCAAGAAGTTTTGAATTAAAGAAAACAGGAAAATTCGAAGTTGGATAGAGAACGAACATTATCAGAAGAAATGAAAAGAATTTAATAATAAATTGAAGAGAGAGATAGAAGAATTAAATAATTAGAAGTTTAAATATAAGCCAATTCTTAATACTAATAATAATTGATATAATTAGAAGATAAATGCTAAGTTTATTAATAAGAAATTGAAAGATTAAATGGTTAAGTTAGATTGAAGGAATAATAGATCTAATAGATTTAATTACATAATGAATAAGTTTAATAAAAACATTACAAAAATGAAAACACTTTAATAAAAATTCAAAATGATTATCAACAATTGATTATACAATAAACTACATATTAAAATAATTTAGAATAATTGTAAAAAGTAAAATTGTAATTAGAAGAGAGAGTTGTATTATTAGGAAGTGAGATTGAGAGATTGAATGATATTTAAAGATAATTGATAAATGAACTTGAATAGAATGTAAGAACAAGAAGGAATGAGAATGAAACTCTAAATACAGAAAGATAGAAATACTCAATCCTTATTGAATAATAATCTAGAGAATTATCAGAATATAAATTAAAACTTAATTAAATTGAGTTAATTAGAAGTTAATCTGAATAACTTAAATCTGATAATGATAGATTAAATTAATTATTAAGACATTTATAGAATGAAAATGAATAATGGAGATCTAATTATAATAAATTGGAGGAATAATTATAATAAGAATATGAAACAAAAATTATTATGTTATCATAAGAAATAGAAAGATTGTCTATTCTCATTAATGAGAGAAGTACTGAAATGGAAACTAATAGAAGGAAAGTTACTATTTTGGAAGAAGAATTAAATAAGAAAAGATATAGTTAAGATGAAAAATTGGCTATGCTCACAAGTGAAATAGAAAGACTCAATCTTTTAAATCTCTCTTATTCAGAATAAATTGAATTACTCAAAACTAAATTAATTAAACAAGATTCATAGGATTTACTCTTATTAAAAGAAAAAAACTTATATTTAAATTAGGAAATAGAACGCTTATAAAATATAGTAGAAGATCTTACTAAAGAATTAGAAATTTATAGGTATCTTATTTTTATATATTTTCAGACTTAAATATGCTGATTAATTTGGAGTAGGATCAAAGTATGAAGAATTGCTTCTCTATTTATCATTATATAAAGTAGAAATTGAAAGTTTAAGAGCTTAATTGACTGATAAAGAAAAAGAAGTTAATGATATGCGCAGATCATAATTGGCACCATACAGAAGATGATATTATTTGAATTCTATTTTAAATAATTAATTTTAACAATTAAAATTGATATCACTATTGGATTTCATAATTTTTATATTGTTGCAACATACTCCATAATTTATCTCTTGAAACTACTCCTTATTCATCACTTCCGATTTAATTAATCATAATATCAATATCCTTATCATTGAATTACATTCCTATTCATATTTACATCATATATACCCAGTATCTCACATTATTTTTTTAATTCCTATTTGCTAATCTTTTTTGAATTACTTGAATCAATTATTTAAAATAACATCTCAAAATTTTCATAAACATCAGGATCAAAATTAAAGCATTACGCAAATTGAATTAAATTCAAATTTTCATTTTTTTTCATATTCAATTTCTTTGTTAACATTTAGCAGTTTTTTTCCAATCCAGCTTCTTATAATAATTACAAAAACTCTTTCACATTCAATAAATTTGTTTAAGCAGATTTAAATTCATTAAACATATCAACTATTTCTTGAGGATGCTATTGCATTTATTTTATAATTTTTAAACAAAATAATATTTAATAATAATATTTGATGATCAATATATGCTATATCCTTCTTCATTCTTTCGAGGCTCAGCATCTTAAATCTATTTTCTTAATGCTTAAATTTCTTATTTATTCTATGCAATCTTCTGCTTCATTCCTAATAATTGTCACTCACTTAAACCTTATTGAGATTATCTTGCATCAGGTCCTATTGATTCTTTCTATAATTTAATCTATTACTATAAATCCTTTATTTTCTAAATTAAAAGATTTCTTTTCTTCTCCTAAAAATTTATCTATTCTTTTTTCTTTTTCAATTCCTCTTCCTTGTTTATCACCTAAACTTTAGATTATTATAAATTTAATCATTACTCTTCAGAGTCTACTTATATCTTTGAATATTTTGAAAATAGATTCTCTATCATTTTTTTATAATTTCGTCTTAAGCTCTCTACAAATGCATTACATTATTAAAATTAGTAGTTTTACTTTCATAATTAATCTATCATATTATTAAATGTTTAAGAGAATGAATCAATATCTTTATAATTCATTTTATTAATATTTTTTGTCAAAACATTATCATTATCACATAAGCTTGTCTCTACACTAAATTAATAAGCTTATTTTTCATCAATTCAAGAACTTTTTACAATTTTTTCTTATATTGTTGATATTATCTATTTTATTTATTTAAAAAGCAAGTTGGAAATATTTTTTACAAAAAACATCTTTAAAATCTCTAAATTATCTTGTAAATTTTTATTTCATCAAATTTTTAATTTTCTTTCATTCATTTATCAACTGATTGGACAAATGATTTAAGACTTTAATTATAGATATCGTTAACAATCTATAAAATAATAACTTTACAAGTGGTTTTGATAACATGTATATCCCATTATTTCCAATTTAGATTGACTATTTGTATTGGCAATTTCGTTAAGTAATGAACTTTTACCTGATTTATTTTACCCCATAATTGCAACCAAAATAATGGAATAGCGATCATTACTAAGAATATTAATGCAACTCTATAATTCCATTTTTTTAGACGATAATCTCGCAAATATCTTAACCTGAATCGCTTCGAGGAGACAATCCACCAGATGGTTATATATATGGGTCATCTTTTCCACTATCATTACCACCAGAAAAATATTCTATGAAATTATAATCTTTTAATTTTGTATCGTTGTTATTTTATTGAAATGACTTATCAGTTTATTATTTTCCAGATTTTTGTGATTGTTAAATATAAAGATTATGTTTTGGTTGATACGATTATTTTTTTTACTAATTTCTTGAATCGATTCTTTTTTTAGAAGTATAATTTGGATTGGCTTGATTTTTAGATGACAAATAGAGAGATCGAGTTGCCCTATTTTGATTTTAACTTAACTCTCTTTAGGGTTTTCTGATCCTTGAAAATCGTCTTCGAAACCATATTTGTTTTAATGTAAGGGATTGATTATATAATTACAGATCGATTGCATTGAAATACGTTTTTAATTTATAAATGAAATATTATAAAGAGGGGCAATTACTTCGATATATTGGTACATGGATTCCATTGACAATTCTTGTACTAATAGTGCTATACTTTTATGTAGTTTATATGGAGGTATGTGGTGCATATTCATGTTAAAGACTTATTTGATGCCACTTATAAAATCAGAGTATGTTTCTAGACCATTAATGGAGATTAATACATACTTGATTCAATTAGTACACATCAATGACTATGTTTTCAGCAATCAAATAATGGGAATAACGATATCATTACATGTCATTCTAATATTATTCACAATTACATTAGTAAGAGTAGTTGTTACTATTCCTGGTCATGTACCTGAAGAATGGTTAAATAAAATACAGAATGAGATTCTTTAAATAATTGTAAATGAAGAAAAAATGATCAATCATAATAAGAAAGGATCTTAAACATCAACATCTTTTTCATCAGAGATAGATGATGGATAGCGTATCAATTTTAATGAGAAAGTCAAAAATGAACTCATAGATAAATAAGGGAGAAGACATTGCAAAAATTGCAACGCTTTTAAACCAAAACGTTGTCATCATTGCAGACAATGTAAAACCTGTTGGCTAAAAATGGATCATCATTGCTAATGGTTAAATAACTGTATTGGTTATGGTAATTATAAACTTTTCATTAATTTGCTTGGTTATGCATGTATTCATTAAATAGATATGCATAGGGTTTTTGATTACATTTATTATGATTACCTACAGTCGCTGTTATTATGACACTATGAATTCATATTCCACTGATGCCAAGTTGTTCTTAGTGTCTTTTACATTTCTATATTGTTGTTTCCTATGGATCCTTTTAACTGCTTTCACTCTCTTTCATTTATGGTATTATCATCAATAATACTGAGATTGTTAGGGCAATCAAACAAAACATCACAACCCTTGAGTACTGTGAGAGTAAACCAAGAGAACAAATTTAAAAAGGAATCTGGAATAACATATTCGAAGTTTTCGGCAAAAACCCACTTGTTTGGTTTTTACCTATTCAACCAGATACCAAACCAATATTAGATTGAAATGAATATTATAAATATTAATGTTCAATAAAGATTATTTGTCCAAAATACTCTACTTTCAACGACTAAAAAATATTACATCTGAAAAAGATTATGAACCCATACTAATGAGCTTCATCTAATAAGCTAAACTTCATTATTTGCCCAGAGATAGATTTGTGTTTAAATACAAGTTAAAAATTGATTATTTTCTGATTCTCCTTAAAGGCAGATGTTTAAAATTAATACCGAAGCCTCTTGATTAAATTACTTAAGAGATAAAGGATTTAGAATTGAAATATCCTGGTATATAGCGACTTCCATAAAATTTTTATTTAAATCCAACAACTAAAACTCTTTACTATAAGGGTAAAGAAAATTATCCGAAAGAGAATCTAATAATCCTATAAGATTAGTTAAATCAATTGAATATTCAATCATTCTAAATGTTAAGTTTGATGGCACATCTCATTGAAGGACATGTAGTTCGATTTCAAAGCGGTCACATTATTGATGAGAATGATGCCCTTGTAGAATCTATAACAAAAAATGCTTAATGTACAATCATTACGTTAGATAATTGTGAGTTTCTACAATTATAAGTTCAATAATATTTAGAAATCATTGAAACCTCAAAAAGAAGAAAGAATGAAAAAATTGAATATTTAATGTGTCGAGCATTTTAAGATGGAATTAAATATCCTGATTTTAAGAGAGTTCTTCAAGAATTAATCAATTCTTCAGAAAGATTAAAACTATGTAATCACCAAAATCTGTATACTTTTGAAATGTAATCTCAATATGTGTATTTAATATTAAAAGGAGAATTTTATGTTTCTTATAGCAGTTATAATAATAATTTTGAAGTTTAATTTAGTGGAAGTGATACTCAATATGATAGATTCAAGAAAACATTAAGACATGATTAAAAACAAAGTAAACAATTAGTTCGTTATCCTATTCAAATTAATGAAAGCACTTTTGATCTTTTGAAACAATAAAATAAATTATCTTAGAGAGAATATATATTATTAAAATTAGGACCAGGATAATTATTAGGTGAGGAGGATTTTAATCATGATTGTTTCAATAATGTTTATCATTCATTTAATTGTTAATGTGTTAGTGCAAAAGGAAGTGTTCTAGCAATAAAAAAAGTTGATGTCTATCGGATATGTATAGTTAATGATTGGTTTGCAAAGCTTTTTCATAAGAGATGTGAAATGAAACGAAAATGGCTATAAGAAAGATTTGAAAACCATTTTAATAAAGATATATAACATGAAATAATGAAAAAGATATAACCTGAAAAAACTTAAAGAGTAGATGATTCTTTATTCTTAAGATTAAAATTTTTAGATGAAGAAGCTACAAAATACAAAACAACTAAAATATAAAAAACCCAGATATCTCCAGAAAGAGATCTTACTACTCGTTGTAATCAAAGAAAATTAGCACTAAAAAAATTAATAGAACATAATAGAAAATCTAATCCTAATAATGATCCTAATTGTATTGGAATGATCTAGTATCTAATTAAACTTGATCGACATAAATAGATGTTACTACAACATTCTATAAGATTAGCATTAGGATCATAGATGACTAAATAAAGAAATGTTTCCCAGCATACTTAAGCTAATGATCAATCAATTAGTAAATCTAAAATATCCCCTCAAAGGACATATTCGTATAGATTAGGAAGAAGCAATTCAATGATTAGTAGTGTTATTAATTATAAAAAATGAACTATTAAATTTTCTTGAGAATTCGAAATTATGAATACATAAAACCTATATTCAAAGTTGAAGAGTTTCAAATCACTCTAAAGGTAACTAAGTAAATTGAAAAGTTCATCTTTGATAATATTTATCAAGATGTCACAACAGATGATATTGTTAAAGAAATAGGGTTGGAATAATTAAATAAAGTGATCATAATTTATGGATAAACTGGAAGTGGAAAATCAGGTACTTTATTTGGAAATTACCAATATCCTGGAATATGCCTTTGATTATTAAAAAATTATTAGTTGATAAAAATCAACTTAAAATTAACAATAAATTAATTGGATTTGATATTTAAAGCAATTATGTAATAGATGATATGACATAAATAAACATTTTTGATATGGAAACAGTTTTGGAATATTTATCAGCATTTTATAAATAAAAGCGTAAATAACATTTGATTATACATTAAAAAACTAAATTAAATTTTAGATTTAGCAGGACCAGAAAGATAAACTAAGGATCTTTCTGAACCATAAACAATATTAAGAAGCCATGTGAGCTACATAAGAATTATAAGTCTTGAGAAAATGCTTAAATTCTTTTTAAGGTAAAATACAATCATTAAAAGATTCTAAACTCACTCAATAATTACGATTTAATCTTAATACTTAAACCATTTCAATTGGCACTATCTATCCTCCAAATTCAATAATGAAACACTATCTATATTGCAATATATTTAATTTCCTAGAAAAGCTTATGGAAGAACATAAGAATCTCAAAAATATAATCTTTGTAAAAATAAGTTAAGTAATTTGAATATGAAAACAAAGACTTAATAGTTAAATTTAAAGACTCAAATAAGAATAGAATAACAAAGTGAAAACATTAAAATACAGTTTATGTATTGAATTTGAATTAGCAAAGAAATTCAATAATATAAAATATAATAAGAAGCACTAATTGCTAATTAAAATTTACAAATTAAATTTTATTAAATATTAGACAATACCTTTTAATGTCAATTTAAACAGTATATTTAAATATATTTTAGTTTAAATCATTTTCTTGAGAGAAAAAATCATTTGAGATTCAAAATAAAAAATCACCGGTGGAGAAAAATCTTTTCTTTTAACACCTTTTAATAGAGTTTAAAGATTTAAAACATCTTTTAAGATAAAACTATCATTGTTAATTCAAGTAATATTGAACTATTCTATTTAATATTCATGAGACGGATATACCTGAATTGAGAGCTTTTATTGTAAAATTAAAGGAATTACTTAAAAAGGAATAAAATGAAAATAAAATCAAATCAGAAAATAAAAATTAGCAGAACTCAAAAAAGGTATTTTGTGATGTAATATTTTTAGATAGAGAAGAAATGCAAGCTAAATATTATGTAGAAAGTAAAAAATACAATTTTTAAAGAGTAACAATTTAATCTTAAAACAGGTTTCTTACTAAATTACGACAACCTAGTTCACTCTTAGAAAAATAGTCTTGATGATTTTTATAAAATTAAGGTATAAACTTTAATAAGAAATTTTTCGTTTTTTTTTGAGTTGATTCTTAAAATTAAAATGTCTTAAAGGTTATAGATATAATTTTATTAAAAATGTGTTTCTTTATAAAAAATCTAAAGGAGATTAATTGTCGTACAATGCATAAAATTATAGTTGATTTTGACAAAAAAAAAATTTAAGTCATATGAATCAAATAATTTAGTTATGACAACATAATATATATAATTTATCATTAATGAATTTTATCTCTGCATGTAGGACATTCTGCCTTTAGTTACAACCATTGTTTGATACATTCTTAATGGAAAAAGTGATTGCATTTAAGAATTTTGATAACTTTTTATTCATTTAAGTCTAAGAGACAAATTGCACAAGTTCTACAAACTATTCAAAATATTTCTTACTCTTTATGTTCTAGTTCATCAACACCAATTAATATTGGAATATCATCGATCCAATTTTTGATTTTTCTAGGTTTCATATTCTTCAATTTTTATTAGAAACCTGGTGGAAGATAAATAAAATTGAAATTTAGATAAACATTATACATGAACCTAAAAATGTATTTAATTTTTAATTCTTACATAGGATGCCAAAGGAATAAAGGGAATTAAGTCTATGACTTATAAATCCTCTTTTTAATTTCTAAAATCTTATCATATTAACTATTGTTTTATTCATTCTTTCTTCTATTCATTTGATTATTTATTTCTCATTTTTTAGTTGAATTCAAACTAGATTTATTGAAAAATAAAATCTTTTTATTTGAGATACATTTTTCTATTTATAAATTATAATAACAATTATTAATTAAAATGCCAAATATAAAAAATTAATAAAAACAAACCAATAAGAGAAACATTAAAATTTATGGATAGTATTTAATGTGATTTTAAGGGTATTATGCAAGAAAGTTTAATAAAAACTATTTAATTAAATTTATCAGAGTTATTTATGAATTTCATTTGCTAAATCAATTAATTTGGAGAGCAACAAAATTTTTTGATTATCCATATTCTATGATGCTGCTTATTTGTATTATGAAATTTCTTGTTATAGTTATTCAATAGTAGCATCTTTTTTTCTTAATAACTTCTAATTATGAATTAATTCTTTTTAATAATTCTTTTTAATTTTCATCATTTCTCTTTCTTTTTATTTATGAAACTTTTAGATTGTGGCACCAAAATCCTAAACATCTTCATCAGTTTTTTAAATCTTGGATTCATCATTTAAAATAGATCTGTTTTTAAGATCTGAATAAATATTGTCTTTAACTTCTAATTCTTTTTATAAGATGTCAATTTTTTATGATAAGAGCTCTATCTTATTAAAAATAGAATAATTGAATACCTTTTATTCATACTTTTATTAAAGAAGTTTCATTTCTTCTTTATGTTCTTATTCAAATTGTTTGATATCTGAAAGCATTTTCAAAATTACAACAACAAATATAACTTCACAATAAAAATATTTAAAAATAAATAAAATATTATTCATGTTTTAGCAAGCATTCTAATCATAGTTTATTTTCAATTCACTTAATTTAAATAGATAGCTCTTTTTCTTATTCATGAGTTAATATTACATATTATTCATATTTTTATTTTTTTAAGGTTAAGTCAGAAGTTTTGATTTATTGATTTGACTTTTTTATTGATACATGGTCTAAAATTTAATTTTCTATTTTTCTATAATATTGTCAAATTGATAATGAGAGGATAGGAATTTTTGAGGATTTCCAAATTTGTAAGTTTGAAAAATCAATTTGAATTCAACAATCTAATCGATTTACCTATCACTAAGAATTTTAGATTGTTATTATTCAATTATTTATTTATTGTGTAGTTTTATTACTCCACACTCTAACTTTCAAAAGAATTTGTCAAATACTATTGGGAGGTTTTAAATTAAGTGTTTCATAAATGCCTTCATAATCATGAACTTCAATAAATTTTTTCATTTGTCTCTTTTCTTGGCACTATTAGCTTTGATTAAAAAGACTCTTTTCGATAATACTTATGGTTTGCCTACAACTTAAAATACATCAGGATCTGTTGTTTTGACTTTAATAGTAATTCTTTGCTCTAGTTTAACAATGACTATAATTTAATTTCCTTGCTTAGATTAGTGAGTTAAAATACACACTATTTTTATTTTCTTCAAATTCGATCTCTTAATTGTCTATCCCTATTAATTCGATAAATGACATTAAATTAATTAAAAATTTAAATAATGAGTAATCATGAAGACGATTTAGAAGTACAAGAACCTGTTGATCAATAAAAAGAAGAGGAATCATAAAAGAAAGGAGGTAAGTTTATATATATAAATATAATAGGCACTGATAGCAAACATTAATTAAAAGATATTGACTTAGCATCAATATTTGTGAGAAATTTAGATGAAAATACAACAGAAGATGATCTTAAAGAATATTTTAAAGATTGTGGAACTATAGTTAAAGTATCAATAAAATTATATTTTAGGTGACTCTAAGAAGTGATAAGAATACTGGCACTCTTTATTCATATATTCAATTTCAAGAATAAACTTCAGTTGATGATGCATTAGTATTAAGTGAAGGTATAATTAGAGGCAAAAAGATATTGGTATGAATTCAATTTTAAAATAAGGTATTCCAAAAAAGAACAAACTTAAGAAATAGAGGAAGAGGTAATCGAGGTGCCAGAGGATAACGTATTTACAAATTAATATAACATAGCATTTTAATATATTACAAGAGGAAGATATTTGTATGCAGAACCTATTAGAGGAAGAGGAGCTTATCGTGGTGGCAAATGACATATTTTCATAGCCACCTTGTATATTATTACAAAATAAATAATAAAAAAAATAAACAAAAAAAATAACAAAAAAAATAGATGCTTTCTCTTTCTTAGATTTATATTAAAAAAAAAGCATAAAAAAAAATGTTTCAATTAATATCTTTATATCAATATCTAATTTCATAATTAATTCTACTGTTCCAAGGATTTTGACATATTTCTTGAGTGTTACTTGAAATATATTAAATAATATATAAGAAGAATTAAATAACTAAATAAATAATTGATCCTACAAATGCAGCATAGATTAAACTTAAATTAGAATTGTAAATTTTGAAGGAATACTAATGTATTCTATCTAAAGCAATGAGTATTCCTTCTATATTTATACACTAATTTGAGATAAAAGCATCTAAATTATCATTTATTTGCTACAATCCATTCTAATCATATGAAGATTTCTTACTGATGCTAAAACATCGTATAAAAATAATGAAGTATAAATCAATGTTACGATCACAATGATTAATGTCCAAAGATTTACTATTATGGTGATTCTCTTATTTATAAATGATAAATATTTCTATAATAAAACAACTTTTATACATTATTATGAAATTTAATGGTTAAAATTGAAAATAGAATAAGAGTAATACATCCAATAATTAATGGAAGATTATTTCTTCTCATAATCTTTGTAATTCTAAAGCTCTTCTTACTAGAGTCATAAAAGATATCAGAATTTAGATTCTTGCATTAATCAATCTCATTTAATTTAATACCTCTCAAAACTTACAATTAGTATTAATCAGAATTTTATAAATAATCGTCAAAATGAATAAGTTTATCTAATGGAATTTTATTTTCCTTTAATACATCCTTAACAAATGCAGAATCTAATAATTTGGTTATATTATTATAATCACCATATTCATCACAACCCATTTCAGGTAATTTGGATATAGGGTAAAATTATTATGATTTAAATTAAGGTTATTATAGGAAATTTAAACAAGTGGATGATGAAGAAATATTAAAATAGAGCAAAGGAGTTTGTTGATTATCTCTTATTATCTTATATTATATTTTACCAAATTGAATATCTCCTTACTGATGGATTGTTTATAAATCAGTGATTGGACATTCAAATTATTATTTAACACAAATGTATTAACTGCACTCTTTATATAATTTCTAACATTGATTTCCATTTCGCAATTACGCTGTTTTATCATATTTAATGCAATAGATTTTTTATTTCCAAAATGTTAATGTTTATGGTTCTAAACTTTAAACTTATTCACAATTTTAGTTTTATTTATCACAAACTTAACCATTTTGTATTCCTTCCCAAATACCTAAAGTTGCTAATTCAAATTCTGGAGGACATCCCATAATATGATAAGAATATTGAGAATACTCAATAATATCTATTATGGGATACATAGATTAGATTTTATGAGCCTTTTATAATATATTATGGGCTGTCTATGGATATTAAATCTATGGAGTAGTGATATGAATGAATGATATTAAAAATAATATCACAAGTGTATAACACAAAGGAGTGATTAATACAATCCAATCTAAGACCTATAATTAAGAACATTTTACTTTTGTGTTTTATTGTCTAACTTCAATGTCAATAGGTCCAGGATCAATCCTTAAACTACCGTTTGAATGTTATCTTTCAAGCTCTATATTTGGAGGTAATTCTTATAGATTTTTTGAACTTCTTCGACGATAAGGAGCCATGGCTAATTTCATACTATGTAATTATGCTTAATACATTAATTATTATTTATGTAATTATTTTAGAGGTGTCTAGTGGCTAGATTTTCATAAGCCATTCCTAAATTTAAGCCTAAAGAATAGCCATACGTTAAAGACATTTAAATGCCAAAGAGACCTAAACTTGATCCGAAAGACCCTTATGAGAAATATGAACTTGTTAAACCTCGTGAATATGAATTCAGATTAGCTTTAGGTAATATCCAATAATAAATCATATAGATGAAAGACATTCTAAAAATACTTATCCAGGATCTACTTATGTTGCTGTACATAAAGGTGGAATTACATATCATTTATTTGATGCATCAAGATTCCCATATGGCAAAATGTGTTCAAGAATTGCATACTATTTAAGTGGAAAACATAAACCTACCTTTCGTAATAATGAACCTGGCAAAGTTACAGATAAATTTATTATTGTTAATGGTTGCAATATGTATTTGACAGGAAAAAAAATCAATTATAAAGTACTTACCTATCATACAGGTTATGTTGGAAATTTAAGATAAATCAAGTTTCGAGATCTCATTCTATAAAAACCTGAATAATTAGTACTATATTATTTCAAATCTAGGTTGCTTGGACTGTTGCTAAAATGTTACCTAAAACTATCTATAGAATGGAAAAACTTGATCATATTCATTTATTTAGAGGTAGATTTCATACTTTTGATGATGTTTTACCATAATTCTTACCTCATCACACTGATTTTGAATATAGAGGAAGCATTTATAAAGATATGACAGAAGGAGATGATAGAACTCTTGTCTATTCAAGTAAACCGGTTTCTGCAGAAAAAAGTTAATTATCCATTTATTCTTAGTCTAATAGGATCTTGGTGATATTAAATAACAAATTATGGATCCAAGTGAATTTGATAATGATTTAATATTTACACCATTTGTTGAAAGACCTTAAAAAATTAAACTCAATATGACTTAGCATGATTATGATAAATTAATTCGAAGAAGAAAACGATTAATGTAAAGACATAGAAAATATATGCCCATTCCTTACAGAAATAGACTTGAAAAAGCTGATTTCACAAAGAGTTATGTCGTTACATCAGAGAAATAATTAAATAGATTAGGACTCTAGAAAATTAAACCATTAGACGACGATCCAGAATTAGAAGACGAAACAACTAAATTCTGAGAGTATTTTTATTAAAATATATTATTTATAAAAATATATTAGTAAAACAACAAAATTTCCTTTCCTTCTTAAAATATAGTAAAAATACTTAAATATTAATTGAAGTATAGAAGAAACAAATCAGATAATTTGAAATGTTTTATTTAATCTTCATAATAAAATATATATATTTCATAAATTTTGATATAGAAACTTCTTTTTCATAATAGATAAATTTATGTTTATTCATTAATTTAGAGCAAATATTAGATAATAAAGTAGTTAAATATATTTTGGTTAAGATACTTCTATCAATTTATTAATCTATTTATTTTCCTCCCATACTAAGTCTTGAGGTATATTATGTTGAAAATGGTAAAAATTTTTAAAATACATTATTGGTCAAGATTTTTGTTGCAATGTATTTAAATATTCGATCTTCTTTTCTTAGCTTTTATATAATTTTGATAAAAATAAAGTGAAAATTGAAATCACCATCGTCAAACATTTAACTTTAAAAGAAAATAGATACTTGATAGGGACCTTGTTTAACTATTATTAAACTAGATATACTTATCAAATCAATCACCTAATGAATAAGTAATGATTGACACAACTATCAAAGTATTTATTCTTCTCTAAATTAGGATGGCTTTTTTAAATTGTAAAAAGGATTTAAAGTTTATGATAAGTAAATCGTTTAAATTTGCCAAAAAAAGATTCAAACAAAAGTTGATAAAATTCAAAAAGATTAACATTTATTTAAATTGTCTCTCAAAAGGATTATGTCCATAGATTGATTAGAGTAGATTTTGTTAAGAAAAATGTTTATTTACTTTGCTCTTGAATACTTCATATAATTTTTAATTTTTACTCTAGGAGGTCTTTGAGAATTATGGAGTTGCTTTTATTTTTTTGGCTGTAACTATTATGATGATGTGTACTAGAATTGTAATGAAGGGCCATCAGTGTTATTCTATGTTTCTTTAACTATTTCAATAATTTTGTAATTCATTCTATATTATGGAGGAACAATTTTTAGAAAAGTATTAAATATACGTATGTTAGGATCCTTATCCTTAATTTTTCTTAATTCCTTAATTAATTTCTTTGCATTTATATTCACAACGATAGGCATTGTTTTAATGTATGATGGTTCTGTTTTGATACCTTTAAGAAGTACTCTTCTAATTATAATTTCTTAAATGATTTACTTTAATTTAAACATAGAAGATATATCATTTATAAGTATTTATCATCCCATATTTTATAGACTGATCAATTTAAATTGTTCTTATAAATATAATCATACTTATTATAGCTATATTTATAAATGGGATTCCTCTATTGTTGTTCTTTTTATGTTAATTAGTCGGAATAATCTAGTCAATTTATTTGATGTTGGAGACAAAGTTAATAATGTGCTACGGAGTAAGAAAATATAAAATATGATTAGGCTTTCTAATGTTTGGAATCTACTGAGAATTTTGGACATTATATGTAATGTTACTTGCAATTAGAAATGAAAATAATTATAATTATTATTAATTTAAAAAATATCTAAACTTGTATCTAAATTATTAAATTACAGAAGAGTATTATCTTAAGATTATATAAAAATAATTGATAGATACACATTTTGCATTATTTTTATCCCAATTCATTTATTTTAAACATTTATGTTTTATTTACTAGTGTTAAAAAATCAATCTAAATATCATTGTTTTAAAAATCAAGTTTTGTTTTGAATATTTAAATTAATATATAAATTTGTTTTTAATCAATTTTTTATTTAACTTCATGAATGAAAATAAAAAATCAATGAATTTAATTTCATTTCAATTAATTTTTAAAAACAATTGTGGGCATTATCATTCTTAATTAGAAAGTTCAAGTTAAAATTTCCCAAAAAGCAAGAGTAAAATTCTTGGATTTGAATTCCCTCAGCTTTTTCTGAACCAAAAAATTATTGGAAGATTCTATTTTTAATATTAAAGGAAAATATTTTCATTGAAAAATTAGATTAAATAGAATAAAAAAAATTTAATAAAGGAGAGTTTTGTTTGATATAGTAGTTATTAATAGGATAATGGATTTAAGTTCATAATGATGATTTATTTTAAGTTTCACTCACATGAACTAGAATAAATTAGGTTAATTAATAAGGATTTTTTGCAGTATATATACAGCATTATATAAATCATGAACAGCATTTATCAGAAAGCTTTTTAAGTTTTAAAACGTGCAGAAATATTCTGCCTGGAATAATTGATGCTTTTTTGTAATGGTGAAATCAAGTTATAAATTTATGAGGGACATGAAAGAATCATTCTATATGAGGGAAATTAGATTACAAGAGAAGCATAAAAGAGATGATTTGTGTTATCGATTAGTCTAAATCAAAAGGGTTCAATAATAAAAATTCTTAGATGGATTTTCTAATCTAATTGATACTGCAATGAAACAAAAGAACTAAAAAATAAATTTTACTTAGCAATAATAAAAATAATAATTATTCTATATTAATTAATATTTGATTCAAAAATATAATAAATCATCTTCCCATAATTTTACAAAATGCTTCAACTAACTTTGTTATTAAATATAAAAGTGGTTCTAAAGTATTTTCTTCATCTAATTCTCTTTTCTGGCTATCAATAAATTCTTAATGTTTTCTTTTAACTTTGTCAGATGTTTTTTTATTAATTTCATTGCGTTTTTCTTCTAAATCTTCAAATGCTCTCTTCATACGAGTTTCTTTTGTTATGTTTTTTAATTTTTACCAATTTAATAAATATTTAAATTTTTCTTTATTTTCTGGATTTTAAATATGTAGAATAATTTTATCAATAACAGATTTTGAATCCTCTTCTTAAATAGTTAAAGTAGAATATTAAATTAAAATCTCTTGTAATACATCAATAAATTCTTCAGATAATTCTTTATTAACAATATTCATTTTATGAATCAAAGTTTTAAATTATTGATCAAATAGATTTTCATTAATCAACTTATATTAAGTCTTATCAACCAATTTTTCACCTTAGAATTCATAGTTTCTTTTTTTATTAGACAAAAAAAAGAATTATAAATTCTCAATTTATAATTCTTCAAGTGCCTTTTTAATATTTTCAGCCACTTCACCTAATTATTCTTCATCTGCTTTTTTAGCTTTAGTTGGTCCTGTTTTAGTGATATTTTTATAGCTGCTTTATCTAGCAAATAAAGAGAATATTTTTTCGCAATCAGAATCATCTGCTATATATTCATTATCATCATCAGATGATCTTAGCATTTCTTCGTTTTCTTGTTGATTTGTTTTACTTGGCCTCCCAGGTTTTACTCTTTTTTATCTATAACTCATTTAATATAAATTATAATAATAATCAAAACAATAAACATATTTTCCACCTATTAAAATAATTAAAAATATATGAATAATTCTGATTCATTTATAAGCTCACATTTATTATTAATTTTACGTTATTGTTATTGAGAGGATATAAATAACTAAAAGTAAGAATTTCCTAAATATCAACTCTAATTACAAATACTTTATGTTTCTTTATCCAAAAGATTTCTTATATTGTGATTTATTTTTTTTATATTTTTTTGATTGTTTTCTATGATTATAATTATAGTAATTGAATGCTTATTTATTTCCTTTTCAAAAGTAAGATTATTCATTTTATAATAATTTTAATTAATGATAGCAATCATTTTTCATCTATATCATAATTTGATTTTAGGTTTATGTATATAATTAAACAATATGTGTTTATCTTCATTTAACAATACTTACTTTAATTTATCATTTTCTATAAATTATTCATATAGGCAATATCTAATTAGTTTTGAATCGACACAATACCTTATTCAATTAATTATCCATCTTATCCAAAAGTAAATGAATAATTACCAAACAAGTAATTTAATTTATTGGGCTTTTAATTTGAGTATTTTTTAATTGAATTAATTTTAATTAAAAAGCCCTTCAGCTTATCTCAAAACTTACTATTATGGCTGAATCATTTATTAACCATTATATTTTTCAAAAAAAATATTTCTGATGCTAAAATAAATCGCAAGAAAGTTTGTTAAAAGGTTTGACCATTATTCCTACCAAAACTAACATGAATTATAATAGTCTACCTTTTTAACCCAGAATGTCTAAAATATTATTAAAGATTCTGTAATATACAGCTTTTATGTCATCCTGATACATGGTTATATCAATCAATTTAGTTTACTTAATATTAAAAATGAACTTAGATTTTTTTTAAGAATAAAGGGTTATATTCTTTCTTATTCTCAGATTAATAAAAAAGTTTTCTTGATCATAAAATTTTGGAGAATAATAAGGATTACAAAATTATTCCCCTTTAAAGCTACCAAACTTAGAAGCAATTAATTATGATTAATTTCTTTATATGGAAAAAAAGATGAATATAAATAAAGCCTTGACAAATGTATTGATCTCTGATACTTAGATTCATAAACATGGGTCTTTTTTGATACTACATGATATCTGGAATCATCTAACTTAGCTATTAGTACCTAACTTTGCTCAATTTATGATTGTTCCACTTAACAAATATTATCCCAATATTCCTACAACTACAGACCAATAACAATATTAAGTCCTCTTAATAAGTGGATGTAGCTAATGTTTGAATAATATGCCATGAGGCAGCATTCTTTCTCCATTTTTTTATTTAGCATGTATCCAGATGTGTTTGCAGAGGAAATAAATTGTTGAATGATAACCTGAGAATTTGTTTAAAAGAGGAAGGTTAAAATTAATGATTTTGTTGTA